CCGATTGGGCTGTGCGAAAGGAGGCAGTAGAGCTGGCGCGCGATCTGATATGGTCGCTCATGCGATGGGTGTTCGCGTGAAGACTACCTCGGGGGTCAACACCAGTATCTGCAAGAAACAGCCCATCGCTTCCTGATAACGGTAAAAGCTGCTGCGCGTTGGTTGAAACAATCCCATCCTTTGCCAGTTTCATCAGCAAGTGCCGCTGTAGCTCGACCCGCAGCGGTATAACTGTCATGTATCGGTTACGGATTGGCCGGACATCGAATGGAGATTGTGGCTCAATAATCATCGATTTCACCCTACGCTTTGCTTTGTCGGCGACAGGGAATGCTGTAGGATCGCTGTCATTATCACGACTGTCGTCAATATCAGCCTGCTTGCCCGTACCAACAGTGTTACTACGCCTGCGTCCGCCTGACGTTGCGCGTGCTAGACGCCGCTGAACGGCAAAGCTCTGCGACCGGCGTGCGCGGATCGTGACTATATTGCTAGCTTGTGACGCTAGGAGGCGGCTGCTGATGCAGATGAGGCGAGCAGTTGCGACGCCCGCCCACAGCCGAGATGCTAGCCTTGTGCGAGAGCGCCATACGTGGCGGCGACATAGGTGACATAAATGATATATGTGGATACACTGGCCCCGCAGCAGATGGCAATGGCCCAGTAATCGTTTTTGGGCTGGAGAGCGGCGACGTAATAGCGGAGGATTTGGTCGATGGGCTGCGGAGCACAATCGACATGCTCATCTCGGATCGATATCTTTGCGCTGGCCATCTGGGGGCTAACAACCTGCTGCCTCTCCTCCCTTAGCGGGGACATTGGTGGGTCACAGCGCTGAGTACGCCGTTTGCGACGTGAATTCCTGTTTGGGGCAGCGTTTTCTCTCTGCTTTTGGACTGTCAAACCAATGCACCGACTTTGATGTAGCCGGGGGTATCACCTGTTTGCGCATCTTCGAAGCTGCTTCAATGACACGAATGTCGTGCAAAGGGTTATCGGCCACAAGAAGGGCTGAGGCGACAACCTGTCCTGTGTGCTTCCATCCGAGCAGCACGTGCGCTTTTCTGTGCTTTACCGCTTTCGTCAGCAGAGGAGTGCCCGAACGAGGCAGCACCGTGGCTGCTGATATAGTCAGCAACGGCAACTATCTCTCGGAGCGCCATGCCGCGGTCGAAAGACGCCTGAAAGTTGTTTGGCGATATGGTTGGCAGGGGTGACAGTCGCTTCTTGGCGGAGCGTCGGGCGATCGATAGCGGGGGTGGCTGAATCCAGAGCCTTGCCTCATTCAGCATAGGCGTGAAGCTACTAGACGTAGACGCTGGCGATCCTTGCCGAGCATGCGCCTGGCGAGACTGGCACCCTGCCCAGTTTGCGGGACAGAAAGTTCAGCCGGCTCGTGGCGCCTATTGCCGAGGGCGGAAGCGAGAGGCTGGAATGGCGCTTGTTTCGTGGCAGATCGAATGAGTCGGTGGAACTATGCGTTGAAGCGCGCAGACGCAATGTGCTGGTGGGTGTGTCCCGACCGAGACCATGATGTAGCGAGCTGGCTGACGGCGTTGCGCGCATAATCGAGCCGATAATCGACGCCTTACGGGCCCTCAGATGTGACATCAGGCTGGTACGGCGCTTTGCCTTCTCCTGTGACGCAACCGTGCTTGCTTGGGACTCGGGGCTGGATGTCATCCAAAACTGAGCTCGGATCGGGCGCGGAAATGACTCTCCGCTCTCGGGGGTTCCAACAAGATCAGGGAGAATCTGCGGAAACTGCGGCGGCAAAGGTGGTGGAAGCTGGTGGGCTGGCTCATGGGCGAAACCGCCTGTATCAGGCTTGACTCCATCAAAACTAGTGCTGCCGGAACCCCCAAGATCAGACGGTACATGTGATGTTTTGTCTGCACCGTTGCTGAGCCACTGACCACTACTACTACCAGTTGGAGCAGATATGTGGTGCTGCTGTTGCTGCTGTGGACTATCGACTAGCATAGGCGGTGGCGATACACTGGTGTCTGGACTTCGTAGCGGAGCAGATGCATACGACTCGTCGGCTGCCGCGTCGCCCTCGGCATCTTCTGCTAAAGACTCTAGATGTCGGTTGGCCCTAGTAAAATTTTGGAGCATGACAGCATCCGGCGCTAGGCTCTGGCCAAAAAACTGGCGCAGCTTCTTGGCACGCGTCCGTTGCTGCCGCGTCGACTTCTTTACTGCGTCCTCGACCTCTGACTCTGAAACTCCGCTCAGATCGTCGTTGTCAGGTGCATTGGTAGCATATGATGAAGTGAATGATGATGGCACGTCTCCCAATACGCGCATAAGCTTATTGCGCTGCCAGCGAATGCGGCTGCGCATGCGATGGGACACGGGTGCTTCAGCATTTACAACATCCGATGACTGCACCAGCGACTCGTGCATACAGATAGAGTGCCCGCGCTTTGTCTTGATGCTGTATAGCAGGGGCTGAGGAGCAGCCTCGCCTAGCACCTCGCGGATCTTTGTGAACTGGCGGATCTGTGCATCGCGCAGCTCAAAGTCTACGTTCTCTGACCCAATCGATGACGGGGCCGACGCTTCTGGCGTAGGCAAGGCGGTTGCAGGGCTGGCTACACGCAAGCTCCTCTCCGACACAGGTGGTGCTGACTCATCGCCGCTGCTATCGATTGTCGCTGCAGCAGGTGTAATCATAGATGCGGTGGTAATGACGCTGTCCTCCACATGATCGCCCAGCATGGCTTTCAGCTTGCGACGCCGTCTGACCAGCAGATTGCGCTGCTCGCTGGAAAGGCCCTGGTCGACCGATGGCTTGCCAGTAGTTGATCCGAGGCTTGGAGATGCAGTGGCAAGCGATTGAGCAGTGCTCTTGCTGCCGGACTCGGCATAGCTGTCACTACCCGCCCTCCCAAAGAACTCGCGGATCTTGTCTGCACGGCGCTTGCGCTCAAACATGATCCTGGGGCTAAACATCCCGTCGGTACTGAGATGGGAGATTGCCTGTGGTCACGCCCATCATGCAAGCCGAGCGGTTTTCGGCAACAGTGCTGCTGCCACGGCCGCTGTAGCCAATGCTTTCGGTTTCTGAGCTGGAACTCTCAAGCGACTCTGGCTGCGAGACCCCAATCATCGAAAGAGCCCGGTTCCACGTCTGGTCGTTTACGCGGTACACGCCCCGCCTGGCCGATTGCCGCAACTGATCAGCAGAGCCAAGGCCGTCGTCGTCGGTATCGCTCCAAGAGGTGCCATGCATCGGTGTATGTTCGGCGGTTGGGGGTCGCTGCATGGCCTGAGCAGCCCATCCTTGCATGTACTCCTTTTCCAGCTCGCTGTCGCTGTCAATCCCAAGCAGGTCTTGCGCTCCAGTCAGATCAGACATATCGCTGCTCTGACGGCGATGGAGCCGCGATGCCCGGATCTTGAGTTCTCTGTTCTTCTTGCGCGCAACAAGCTCGGCTGCGGCACGAGCAGCAGGCATATGTGAGCTGGGTGGGACAACTGCCATCAGCTGCTGGCGCAGAAGCGCCTCGTGCGGGTTGTCGCCAAAGAAGTTGCATATCTTTTTGGTCTTGCGGATCTTGCGCTGCTTTTGTAGTGGCTGCAGCTGGGAGAGTAGCCGAAAGTATCCGCTGCACAGGGTCACTGCTCGCCGCTCGTCCACAAACTGAGCTGCGATCCGCTCCAGTAATTGCTCGCGGAAGCTGACGGTCAGCTGCGACAGATTCGTCACCAGGTGCGAGCCGGCAGTGTCAAACTCCAAGTCGTTGACCCAAATCACCACGTCAATGTCAGGCTCGAAATGCTCGGCGATGGCGACCATGGGGATCGTAGTCAAGGTCGCACTGAAGCGGCATAACGATAGTCATCCGAATCAAAGTCCGGACTGCTCATGAGCGACACCAGCCCCACTGGTGAGCGCTCGAAGCGAAGCAGCGTGTGCTTCTTCAAGGGTAAAGCCGACACTGGCCAGAATCTCGTCAAACACCCATGGATTGTACTCCCACCCGGGAAGGAACGGCCAGGGGATGCGCTCGCGCATCTGGTTGCTGACATTGATGCGCAGTGGGGCTGATGGCGCGACATAGCTCAGGTAGATATAGTTGGCCAACAGACGAGCCATCGATCGGCTGCACATGGCGGAATCGCTCGACATCCAGCACAAAGAGCAGCGATTCAAGCGCCAGCTCAGATGGCAATGCGCAAAACTCCTAGAAACGCGCGCAGCGGTACGGGGTGGGTCAGTGTGTTGATAAAGCGCGCTTTGAGTGGAGCCTGCGCGACAAGGTCGCCGACGCGGGTCATATCGATATTACTCAGCGTGCATGACCGAGATGGACATCAGATGCACGTCGCTGGTGCTGCGAGCGGCGGTGGTCTTTGTCGGGTGCCGGAGGATAGCTATCAATCGTCGTCGTCGTCGATTTCAGGGATGTCGCCAGTCTTGAACGCAGTAACCACATCCCCTGCCTTCCAGGACATCGGCAACACGGCTCGCAAACTGCAGCGGCCGCCCGCCCTTAAACAGCGCCATGCAGTCGCCTGATTCCTCGCCATCGTTGGCCAGCCCCTCGATGCGCGTTGCCAGCTCCTCAATGGTGTGCGACGACCGAACAGTGAGTGAAATCTCTCGCGTGTCTGTGCTGACCGACATTGAAGCGCGCCGCCGCGACGGGGTTCTGACTAGCGGGGAGAAAGTCTGCATCGACATCGCGCTGGCGTGTGATCGCCTCGTATCAGGGCGTTTTGACGACGACACGACGGTTGTCGAGGAGCAGCGCTGGGCATTGTTCCCCAGTACTGGATTGTTGGCCAGCGGTGGCGCGGGCATGTCCGTCGTCATCAGCCTCACTCGCACGCTCACGTACTCTGGTGCTGCTCCGGCCGGCTTCTCAGTACGGTTCTGAGTTGTCCTAGCCACGGTGCTGACATCGGATTCTGAGGCCAGCGCGTCGATTCCGCAGACACCCAGCAGCGGAGACGCGTCCATGTTATTCGCGTCCATGTTTCGTGTCTGCAAATAGCGGCGGTGCATGGTATATGGAATTCTACGCATAAAACAACAGTCCAACGCACACAAAATCCTGTCCATTTAGTGTGGTTGATCAGGCACAGGCTCTCCCCCAAATCGCGTATGATCGGACATGTCCCTTGCGCGCGCACATGCAACACTTACCGCTGAGCGCTGGATATGTGCAAAAATAAAAATATAATACTAGTGCAAAATAAATCTGTAACAAAATATGCGGGTAACCTTTTTCAAGAGGCAAACAAATTTTTCCTGTGTGGTTCAAGTGAACGGGAAACGGGTCGGAGGGCACAATTTCATTTGTGCCAGCCTTCTCTTTCTGGGACCATATGGCTGGCCAAACAACCAGGAAAACGGGGGGGGGGGGATTGCACGAAGCATGTCCACGTTTCTGATATGAGAGAGAAAGGAAGAGAGGGAAATAGTCCGTAGCAACCTTCGATTGACACAAGCAAGGCGGGCGAAACAGAAACATGTCCCCTGCTACAATGGGTCCCTTCTGAATTGAGGAAAAAATAATAATGGTCGACAGAAAAAGTTGTTTACTTTAAGCCACAACTCTGTTGTACGAGCTTTTCTCTTCCTTTTCTTTTTCTTCGTCTTCTTCTTCAGACCAGCCCGAATCCGGATGCATTCTCTATGGCAGTAAGCAGCCGTTCTCGGAGCTTGTCCTGGGTCTTGTACGCAGGCAGCAACAATCTGCCGAAACACGTCAACGCCGTCGGCAGCCTGTCGGTATCAGGTCCGTTGCGCTGGACAACAAAGGTGATGTTTCTGTATCCGCCCAGGGGGATCCGGTCCGAGGCAGTGACAAAGCTCAGAAGCTGGCGCATCTGGCGCTGGTCAAACGTGTGCACAATGTCCCAGAAACGCTCAACCACGGATATGCGAGCTGGAGTACTCATCGTCGTAGCTGGCAATCCGCTCCAGCTCATACGGATCGATCTCACTGTCGGACGGCGTTAGCCATTCGATCAGCTCCCAGGCATGTGCCATGCGGTAGATGACGCCGTCGGCAGCTCGAATGAAGCCTCGACGAAGGGCATCGATCTGGGCACGCGCATGCTCAAACCCAATGAACTGCAGGTAGCGCTGGACGTACTCGGTGCGGTTCGATGCAGTCACCTCGATGTCGCTGCCGCCAGAAATCAGCGGGAATGTCACTGACCCGTCTGTTGCGCTGAGCGAGTCGACCGCTGGGAGCGGAAGGTGGTCGAACGGCGGAAGCAGCGACTGGCGGCTTTGCTCGACGATACTCTCGAGCTCGGCCGCACCGCGCCGTGCCTGCCAGATTCCCAGTGGGTCCGGGCACGGTTACATCGAATGTGCGGCAAAACACGTCCTCCACAGAGCCATCCTCCTCACTCCACTCGAGCAGCTGCTGCAGGCCATGCACCAGCTCAGGGAAGGTCCGATTCATGCGGCGCATCAGCACGTCGATGGGCCACCGCATGGGGTCCTCCGGCTTGTAGGCGAGCTGGCTCACCAGCAGCGGTGCCAGGGGAGCGACAGCGGTGCCAAGAGTGATGCCGTTGGCAAAGGCAATGCCCAGGAACACGCCAACTAGCTCGAAATCCGACAACTCGTGGGGCGAGGCTGCGTCGGGCCAGACATACCCGCCGGTCTGCGTGAACAGCCCCTGGCTTGGCGATAGCAGCTGGGGCATGAGCTGAGAGAAGAACTCCTTCTGCACACCGCCCATGTCGACGCCGTCCTCCCCGCTGGCAACAAACCTGACCTTGAATGGGAAGCGCACACGACTCAGCCCGAGCTGCAACATGTCCATTGCATCCTGGACCAGCCTGTCGCGGCGGACCGCTAGAACCAGATACGGATTATTAGCATCGGCCACAGCCGAGCGATTTGATGTGAGCAGAGGCCACTCGGGCTCAAAGTTGGGCCGCACAAGCTGCTCGGCATGCGCATCGATATGCAGCACCCGCTGATTCTGCACGCCCTCCGCCTGGCGGTCGTGGGCACTGAGATACCGGATCTTCATACGCGCGTGGGACTCGAGCGCAAGCAGCTGGGCCTTATCGTCGGTACCAAAGAGGAACGGGTAAGCGAACGGACTCAGGGCATCTTCCTTGCGCTGGACCCACTGCTGGATCTCGCGCTTCAGGTCAAAGTGGGCCAGGATACGCGGGCTATGGAACTCCTCCTTGCCAGATGTGGTTCTCCTTGGCCGTCTGCAAGCGGTTCGTGAACCTGTACGCGTACGAGAGCAGCTGGTCGTTGGCACCGGCGAGAATGCGCAGCAACTCCAGCGGCCCGAGCCACCGGACTGGGTCATCTCGAATGAGCCGGTCGATCATCGTGCTGCTGCTGGCGCAGCCAACCAGCGCGCCAACTGCATCACAGGCCTCCTGCTCAAGCACGTCGATCCAGAAGCGCACCACAAACGCCGGGGCTCGCGCCCACCACTCGGTCCACTCGGCCCTGGCTCGGTCATCAGCGACAAAGGTCGACCCAGACCGCTGGGGAATATCAGCTTAGCCATTGCGTGAGCTAGACAGACATTCAACGCCTGCAGCTTGTACTGGTATCCGTGTAGGCGCTGTCGCTGCCGGCCGATCACAGCCAGGAACAGTGCCGCTAGCGCCAGCACACGGCCTGTAGGCCCAACGATTTCTTTGGTCACAGGCAGGCGCCGCTCGATTTTGGTCAGACATATATCCAATGCCCGATACACGGTCCCGATCAGCTCAGCGCTCGCCGCCGCCGCCGCCGCCGCCGTCGTCTGCTGCTCCTGCTGCTGCTCAAACACACTAGCAAAGCGCAGTGCTGGCTCGGTATCGGTAGCCAGCGCATCCTTTTCTGCAACAAAACATTGCGATAGCAGCTTCGGCGAGGCCAGCACCACCTTCCAGCGTATTGCGGAGCAGCTTTCCACCAGCGCTTGCTACAACCGGAGCTGACCTGCGATCAAGCCGTGTCACAACCATGTGGGGGTCACCATCCTTGTCGCACACAAGCAGCTCGGCTGGCAAGAACCCTTCCATTGGCGTGGAGCGAGGTCGCAATACCTGCTGCAGCGTGTCCGTTGCATTAGCTGCTGCAGATTTGACAACCGGGCCAGCACCAACAACCACTGGCGGTGCAGTGTACCGTGGACTGCCGAGTGCCTCGGGCCTCGTCCCGGTGAACTCTGCAGCAGCAATATCCATTTTATGGCCATGCTCGCGTGTGCCCAGAAGCGCCTGGAGATTCTGTATTAGCACCGAGGCAAATGTTGTGCCAAGCACCTCGTTCCTCTGCTGCCCTGCTCTGGCATCATTGCGTAGCAGCGCCTCCTCGTGCGGCTGGTACTCCTTGATGCCAGGGCTCTCCATTGCACGCACTGCCAAGTCCATCGCCAAGATCTCTGCCGCGGCCCGGCTGACTTTTCGTCCTGGCAAACCTTGTGTTGCTGCCGCAGAACGCCGAACGGACAGCTGTCGGCAGTGCACCCAAAGAGCATTTGCCGCATGAATGCGTCCACCGAGAAAGAGCCGCCGCTCCTTTTGCGTCCTTCGAATTGCAGCTGCATTTGGCTGTGTTTTGTGTGTAAAGCGAGGCTGGCTGTAGGTAGGGCCGCAGCGCCTGGTTGCGGAGGGCTGCTACTAGGCAGGCATCGCTGGCCTTTGTGTCGGCCCACGAGAGCCAGACCTCCTGCACCGCTGTAAAGTCAAACTTTTCTTCGCCAACTGCCTTCATAAGTGCTGGGGGAAGCAATTAATACTACGAAAATATAGAGAGGTGAAAGGCGTGCTGGGAACTGACAGGTTTCGGGGGCAAGGCGCGAGGCCTGCGAGCAACTTTTCGCTTGTAAATAGATGATGGCCCAACCCTGAAGCGGCCGCCCCGATTGGGCAGTTTGCCAATTGCTTGCTAGCGTGACCTGCGGCAGCCTGAGCCAGGGCCTATAGCTTGGCGTGGTCGTAGGTCTGGTTGGCGATAGTGCTGCCGCCGTCGAGCGGGATGACAGCGCCGTTGATATACGATCCGCCGCGGGAGCTGAGCATGACGCACAGCCCAGCAATGTCGGACGGCCTACCAATACGCCCCGAGGGAATGCCACTGACGATCTTGCTGCCCTCATTCTTCAGCGTCGCCGCCATCATATGCGACTCGAACGGCCCTGGCGCAATGGCATTGGCAGTGACATGCTTGCCGCCCAGGTTTGCCGCCAGCACCCTTGTCAGGTGGTGGACGCCAGCCTTGGATGCCGAGTACGCAGGAGTTATAAGATGGGTGACCGTCAAGCCGTTGATCGAGCCGATGTTGATGATCCGCGACGGGTCGTCCCTGGTGCCGCGCCTCTCGAGCAACGGCAGCAGCTGCTGCGTCATGGTAAACACGCGCTGCAGGTTGAGACCCAGCACCTTGGTCCATGCCGAGTCCGGATATGAAGCCAAGTCCCTAGTGGCCCAGTTGGCGCCAGAGTTGTTGACCAGAATGTCGATGCCGCTGGGCTCCAGCTCCGCCAGCTCGGCCCCCAGCTCGGCGACCCTGCCCACATCCTGCAGATCGCCCGGCAGTGCGATGCATTGGCCGGGCCCCATCGCGTTCAGCGTGGCGGCCGCCTTTTCCAGCACGGCAGCCTTGCGACTGACGATGTAGACCTTGGCGCCGTTCTTGACAAACCCCTCGGAGATCATGTAGCCAACTCCGCTGCCACCACCGGTAACCACAGCAATCTTGCCGCTGATAGAGAAGAGAGACTGAATGTCCATTGTTGGTGGAGGGCAACAAGTATCTTAATTGTAGCGTTCAGAGCAGAGTAGAGATAGAGAGAAAAAGAGCCGGGTGGCGGTCTGCAGACCACGGGTTTTATATGCGGCTGGTGATCCTCAACCAGAGGAGAGCAAAGGCACGGTTGCCATCTTCGGAGCTACACCCTGTGCGTACGGAGCACCTGGCCATGGATACGGAGCGCTGGTCACGCCCGAGCTCCACATGCTACGGCTGTGATTTCATGTCTTGAACTGCATCACACACTGGCAGATCGGTCTGTTCTGGATGGCCACTGATAGAGACACTCGCTGATTTGATTATTTTGCGCCACTACATGCCGCCTGTTGTGCAGTTTGGCCGGGGAGTGAAACAGCCGCCCCACATACAGGCAAACATGCAGCCCGTGGCTGTCCGTGCACTGCTGTCTTTCTACCCACTCCAGTATTAATTTTCTACTTCTACCCTCGTTATAAATTCACTCCTAATGTCCAATTGGTATAACCCGCCGCCGCCGAGAGCAAGGTCGCAGCTGGCCAGGGAGCGCACGCTGCCGAGCCGGAGCACTACTGCGAGCAGCAGGGCAGCTGGTAGTAGCAGCACCCAACCCCCGCCAACCCAGTCACTCGCTGACAGGCGTCGCCGAATGACCATGACCGGGCCGGCGCCCAACCGCAGCGCACCGGCGCCAGCGCAGTGGAGCACGATGCGGTCGTCGTCGTCGCCTAGCGGGATTCCTCGCACAGCCGGCCGCCGGCTGTCCGACGCAAGCTACACGCCGACGATGCCGAGCCGGCTGAACCCGAGGGGTGCGCCGGAGTCGCTGCTGCAGGTGTTTACCAGAGAGCAGCACAATACGCGGAGGCCCAGTGCCGACAATGGCAATACTACACCCAGCAGCGCCAGCCACGTACCAGGCGGGTTCCCAGGCGGCCAGTCGCCGAGCGAGTTCCCGTCGCCCGGGTATGCGGGAGATAGGAGGCCCGAGTCGCGAGCCTCCATGCGCAGCGTGACATCTGCACACACATACATGTCCTCGCATACAAACAATGCCTCGGGCAGCAGCAAGGCGGCCTATTTTGTCAAGAGCCTGAAGCTTGACGCAAAGGTCGTGCCGCCGCTGCTGGATCAGCAGCGTGCTAGTCGACGCAAGGTCAGGTTCCAGCAGGAGTCGGAGCCGCGGGTGCGGGTGCGCATGGACGCCCTGGTGCATGTTTTGCACCAGGGCGAACAGTGCGTGGATCTGCTATGTGTTGGCGATCCCCAGGACCCGGACCAGGGGGCCTGGCCCACCATAGAGCGAGCCGAGTTCTCGCTGGTCGATGGCAGCGCCGATTACGCCGAGTCTGTGGTGTCGGTGCCTGCATCGCCAGCGACGTCCCCGGGGATTCCGCCGCAGCCGCTCGCCGACGAGTGGGTGTCGCAGATGCCAGACCTCGACACGACCCCGATGACGACGCCGGTGCGTAAGCCGCAGGACCCGAAACAGCGCGGCGCTCCCGTGTTCCATATCAGCGAGGTTTCGCCATACCCGCCGCCCCCGCCAGCGCCTGCGCCCCAGCGCCGCGCGAATGGCGATAGCAGGCCGGGCAGCAGGAGCAGCGCCCAAGCAGCAGCGGCTCATCGCACTACGAGTCGCACACCCAGGCCAGCTACTCGCGTGCCCGCGCCCGTGCTACAGACCGTGCTGCCATCTATGGTCCAGACCATGCCTCGGTCATGCCAAGCACGCTGTCGCGCCGTCGCTCGACATCGTTCACCGAGGACAGCCCCTTTGCCTGTTCGTCGCCTGGCCGTCCTGCCAGCGTGATAGGCACTGGCGCTCCCCGAGACGGTCGCTGGCAGACATGTTCCGCGATCCCGGCATGCCGGGCAGTATGCGGGCGCACTCGTCGATGGGCTTTGCTAGCCATCGCTCAGCACCCCACTCTCTTGATACTGTGCTGACGGAGCAGCAGCCGGTGCTCAAGGAGCCCGAGTCGCTGGGCATGGGCTCGCAGTGGAGCCAGGCAATCGGTGGTAGCGAGGGCAGCTCGAGTCTGTGCGTGTTTGATACTGACGACCAGCGTGGAGTATTTGTGGCACGCATCCGGGAGCCCCGGCGGGTTCAGATTTCGGTCTGGTTCTCACTCCCAGCCCAGCCAGCTGCTAGCGATAAGTCGCCGGTGAATGAGCACGCAGCGAACTCGCCAATGGCATCTGCCTCAGCCATGACCATATTCCCGTGGGAGTCAGGATCAGTTACCCTCCATGGACTGCCTCGCTCCCTGAACACCCGAGTCTGCATTCGCTTGCCACACCGCCGCACGCTACTAGGCGATGACGGCGATGACATAGTGCTGCTCAGCTTCCCTAGCCCCAATGACCTTACACCAGACATGCTAACGACACCTCGCAGACGAGTGATGAAGGTCGATATGAGCGATGCGCCCAGCACAATGCGCCGAGCCGGGATCTGCCGTGGGCCGCTGCCAGAGTTCTCGCCACAGGGTCTCCCTGGCGACGGCTGCTTCTACCGGATCCGGATGACACAGCCATCACGCAGTGAGCCGACGGGCTCGCGTGTCATGGACGCGCGCCTTGCGTCTGCTGAGGCTATCGGACGAAAGGGCAAGCCGACAAGCACCACTGCCCATGGATGGCTGTCAACAGACGATTCGGACACACAGCCGGGTCGCGACGACCTGATGCAGCAGCTCTGCCAGGACTCGGATATGCTGCTTGACCGGAGGCTGCAGAGACACATTGACGAGACCGCCGATGACCTGGCCACATATGCGCCCCCTGTCAGCATACAGGTTGACGAGTTTGGCTCACCGCAGCCAGTGGCAGCCAAGGTCAATGGCAAGCGGCAGGAGTGGGACGCGTTCGCGCAGGACCAGACCAGAGCCGAGGGATTTGACTACTCCAAGACCGAGCTGACTACATACAGGCTAAAGTCCATTGACATGGTTACGCTGGCGTGGTCGCCGCGCTTGGTTGAGTACTGCCAGCCCATCGATGAGCCAGTGCAGGCTCCGGCAGATGAAAAGGGAGACGAGCAGCTGGTTCCACGTAAGCCGCTGGCGCCCCCGGCGGAGCTGTTTGGACTCGAGACCATCATGTCGGCGAGCACCACACCCAGCAACAGTGTGCGAGCCAGGTCGGACGAGCCTGCGGCTAGGCTGTCCACAGATCGAGTCTTCGAGGCGCTGGCCAAGCCAGTTGCTGTGGCTGCTGGCAAGCCAGTGGTTGACAGCGTGGATGTCAGAGTCAGGGTCTGCCCGCAGTCTCTGGGGCTGCTGACCCGAGTAGTACTGTCCTTGGAGACTGCTGGCGACGCATCGTCGGCTGCCCAGTGGCCTGAATCGGTCAGCATCGACTTTGCTGCGCTTCAGCTGATGATACCAGGCTGCATTAGCACTGCAGGAAAGGCAGCCGCTGTTGAGTGTCGGCTACCAGCACAAGTCGGTGATCATTGAAAGCAGTGGATCTGGTTCAGACGCCGCTCTGGGCCGTCGACAAGAGCAACCCTTCGTCTCTGCGCGTGTGGGTCCCGGCAACTGTAGGCTCTGCCTCGCCCATCGTGCTTGAGGTCGAGTCCACGACCCAAATAGGGGTTGGCGTGCGTGGAATGCAGCTGACAGACCGTGTCTGCCTGGCGGTTCCTGAGCGCATTATCTCGCTGCCCACCACGTCCAGCAGCGCTGGCGCCAAGGTGACTGTTGACAACATGTCTGACCTGTGGGTATCTGCGTCTTTAGCTGACCACGATGCATCCGTGTCTGAGGCGCTGTCGGCACTCAACGGCGCTGGGCAGGAGTACTTTGTCGTGGATATCATCCGGCAGGGAGTATCGCAGTCGCCGTCTGCGCAGCATCTGCGACTAGCTAGTGCATTGAGCAGCTTTGAGGCGTCAGAGCTGCCGTGCATCTGCCCGTCGCAGCTGGATATCGATGTCAGCATGGCGTCTGGGTCGCCTGCTGCAGCCGGGCTGATGGCGACGGTTACGCTGGTGTGTACACTCACCTCACTGGACCCGTGGTTTGTGCAGATGCGGCAGCCACTACCGGGGTCCTCAACGCGCACCGCCTGTCTAGCCATCCGCACGCCGGCGATCTCGGACTCGAGCCTGTGGGTGCTGGACCATGTCAATGTCTCGGGCGACAATGGTAGCACTCCACTTGCGCCGCTAATCACCGGATCGCAGATGCTTGTGGTCCTGCCCATCCGTACAACAAACAGCAGCGCGGAGGCGGCGCTCGGTGATGAGGTGGCAGTGGACACTGTGAAATGTGTGTTTTCCGCCTCGCTGCCCGACGTCCGAGACAAAGCCATCCTGCCGCTGCCTCTCCCCTTGCTCGATCTGAGCGATAGCCGCATGGCAGACTTGAGCGTCGACCTGGACAAGGTGGCCCATGTGAGGTTTGCGCGGCGGTCCAGACACCTGCTGAGCAGCACCAGGCTGTCGCTCGCCGTGCCGTCATCGGCCTCATGGAGGATGGCGCAGCCAGTGCTCGTCGGCACAGACACGGTATCGTGCCCGATTGAACCTGTCGGCGGACAGCACGCTGCTGGCAACCCATCGCCTGTATCTGTCGCTGGACAGCTCGCTGGCGCTCCAGCTGTACACGCCAGAGCCGCCCAGAGAGCTGGTTTCCAGGTACGTCGAGACCGAGCCAGCTGTCAACGGAGTCAGAAAACTTGCATCGAAGGACTCGGCAGCAAGCCTCTCCTTTTCTCTTTCAGCGTCTGAGGCCGAGGACGAGGAGCGGGACGATATCAGCCCTGCTACGACTGCATCAGGGTCGCCGATGATTGTGGAGATGACTGAGGATAACGGAGCGGCCGAAGTCCCGCAGCAGCAGCAGCAGCAGCAGCAGCAAGAGCCAGCAACCGAGACCGATGCACTGCTTGGAGGAAGAGATAGTGTCGGGGCACGCACTGAGCAGGGATGCAGGCCGAGGTGTGCTGAACACGCTCTGGCGGGCGATTAAATGGGTAATCAAGGTATTCCTTTACCTGACCGTGACTGCAATATTGCTGTACGTTGCGTCAGATTACCTCGAGATGCAGTCACCGCCGCCACTGGACATGCATGTGCAGCCGATAGCAGCAGCACCGCTGCTCCCCACCGAAACGACAATAGCAGCGGCACTACAACAGTCCTCTGCTTCACCCTCGGAGTCGACGGGCGTCGCACATCCGCTGGACATAACGCTGGTTGGTGGGAAAGAAACAAGCACACTGCACAGCGGTCCCAGGGTCCGGGTTCGCGGCAAGTCCCGGATCAAGCCTATGCGCGGGGGACCGCATTCCGCCGACGGAGCACAATCTACGTCACCGGATTCCACGACTGGGTGGTGGGTATATTCGGCAGTGCTAGAAGCCAATTCTTGACTTTATCAAGGAGCTCTGGTAGATATCCCCCCACCGCAGGAGACTCCTGCGAGTCAAGGAGCCTGGGCTTTTGACAGAGGCTTTTAAAAGGCCCCTCCCAAGACACCATTTGTTCTACAGCACAACCCAAAAAGAATCCTAATACCACACTGCAACACCATCTACAACAATGACACAGAGCAAGCCATTCATTGCGCGCTCGACGATCGAGGTGAACTCGCCCAGATACTTCATGGCATGCGGCATGGGCGGCATCCTGGCATGCGGCACAACGCACTTTTCGATGACACCAATCGACATGATAAAGTGCCGTATTCAGGTAGATAAGAAAGCATACACGGGCATATTCGACGGGCTGCGCAAGGTAGCGGCCAAAGAGGGCGTCAAGGGGCTGTTCCTCGGCGGCACACCGACATTTGTCGGCTACTCGCTGCAGGGCATGGGCAAGTACGGGTTCTACGAGTTCTTCAAGTACACATACAGCAACATTGTCGGCGAAAGGGCAGCCAGCCGGTACAAGACGTCGCTCTATCTCTCAGCCTCCGCGACAGCCGAGTTCTTCACCGACTTTATGCTGTGCCCGATGGAGGCGCTCAAGGTCAGAATGCAGACGGCAGCGACGCCGTTCGCCTCCAGCTTCGCGGGCGGGCTCGCCAAGATCTACCAGCGCGAGGGCATAAACGGCTTCTACAAGGGCCTGGTGCCGCTCTGGCTGCGCCAGATCCCGTACACCATGGTCAAGTTTGCGTCGTTTGAGAACATCGTCGCCGGCATCTACACGCGCGTTCTCGGCAAGCCCAAGGACTCGTACTCGAAGAGCCAGCAGCTCGCGGTTACCTTTGCCGCTGGGTACATGGCGGGCATTCTGTGCGCGGTCGTGTCCCATCCGGCAGACACTGTTGTCTCAAAGCTCAACAACGTGGTCAAGGAACAGGGCCAGGGCACCGCGGCCGCCGTCGCCGGGATTTTGCGCGGCCTCGGCTTCAAGGGCGTCTGGACCGGCCTGGCGCCCAGGATCTTTATGATCGGAACCCTGACCGCCATGCAGTGGTTCGTGTACGATACGTTCAAGGTCAGGATGGGACTGCCCACCACCGGCGGCCATTAAAGAAGGAGCCTGCAAAAGGCCCAGCTCCGGCCAAATCCGACATGGCCAAGGCTTATCCATTCTGGCCCAGGTTCTTGTGTTTTGTGTAAATCGCTGTTCCGGCTCAAGCGAGCTTATCGTGCCGTGTAATTTTTTGAGACCTCCCCGCGCAGGCCACCCCCGCCAGGCCTCGGAAGTAAAGCTGGAAAAACCTCCGATAAGCGCCCAAACTGATTATCTCTTCGTTTTCCAGCAAAAACTCACTTTTATTTATACTCTTTTTTTTTCTACCACAGCACTGTTTTTGTTTCGATTAGACTCTGCAATGAACCGGACTGCCTTTTCTCTGCTCGCCCGCCGCTCGGCTGTTGCTTCGCAGCGCGTCGCTGGCATTCACACTGGTAAGCAATAGAATTTACGGGCTGAAAGCGACAGCTATTATTTCCTCGCTTCACACGCGAAATCAGAAAGCGCGCTGTTGGGCAAAAGCTAATACGAACATGGGACGCTGCTGTCTTTTCTTTTGTTAGCCCGCCCTCTGCTGTTCAAGGCCACCGCCCCGAAGGCGCTGTTTGGCGATGACGTGCCGAACCCGCAAGGTGAGTTTTTTTTTTTTAATCGAGCAAAGGTATACAGGCTCGCGCGCCCTATCTCAGCTGTGCGGCTAATCAGTAAGATATCTTGGTAGCTGTGCCGCAGCCGCCGGCGCACCGGATGCACGGGTCGTACCACTGGATGAACGAGCGGGCGCTGTCGGTGATTTCGGCGCCGATCATTGTGACGGCGATGGTGTACGGGGCGCATCCGATCAACGACATGCTGATGGGCATAGTGCTGCCAATCCACGCGTACATGGGGTTCGGGCAGGCGCTGGCGGACTACTTCCACCCGCGCCGCTGGCCGGTGGTCGGCCGGGTGCTCAAGTACGCGCTGGTGGCAATCACGGGCCTGTCGATGTTTGGCGCGTGGAGAATCAACACGACCGATGTCGGCCTGACCAACTACTTTGCGCGGCTGTGGAATGCCAACAAGCAGGCCGAGAAGAACTAGACAGTGCATGGGAAAAGAAAGACAAAATACATCATGTCATGTACAAGCTATGTCTTCGAATGGGATAAGTTGATATGGATTAAGAAAAAGATATGGAATGGAAGAAAAAAAGAGCGTATTTATGTTGGGACAATGTCCATCGCAGTGTTGTCGCCAGCCGCATCGTGCTCTGCAGGGGGAGGCGAGGCAAAGCCCTCGTCGTGTTGCTGGTGGGAGAGCATAGACACATCGCCATCGACGTCCTTCCCCGCAAGCGGCTGGCTGTGGTCGAGCTGGTGCTCGATCTCGTCGTCGTCTTCGGGCAGGTCGTCCTCGTAGTCGTCGGTGGCGGGCACGGGCGCCAGCAGCATCTCGGCCGTCGGCTTGGTCAGCTCGCCGCACGGACGCTCCAGGTTCGCTTCGATGGTGGCAAAGTCGACTGGTGCGCAGCCGGCGCGTCTCGGCGTAGACCTGGCCGCACTCGTCGCACAGCGTGTGCATTGCGTCGGGCCCGCGCCGGATCAGCGGCGTGCAGTCCGGGCGTCAGGCCGCACCGCATGCAGCGCCAGCGCGCCTTGAGCTCCTCCTAGCGGCCGCCCGGTCAGCATGCCCGGGATGGCGCCCTGGCGGAACCCGCGCTCGCCGCTCTTCTCCAGCCGCATCGCGCGCGCCGCCGACGCATCCCGCAGCGCCTTCTCCAGAATCGATGGCCGCCCGCGCGGCCGCCCGGTCGGGTTGCGCAGCCGCTCCATCGCGCGCTCCCGGGGCGTCATCGGCGGCGGTGGCGGCGGCGGCGGCAACACCGACATGCCCATCCCCGACGAGGCCGCGCGATACCCGCCGCTCAGACCGCCACCGCTGCCCATGCCGGACGGCGACCCGAGCCCAGGCCATCGAGCCCGCCAGCGGACTGCCCATACCGACAAACCGCCGGCTGGACCGCTGGCCGACCAGCTCCTCCAGCGATCCGGGCATGCCGCCATCGTAGTGGCCCATCGAGCTACCATCGCCCCCTGCCTGGCCATTGTTCGCATTCAGCCCCGGCAGCGACGCCAGCGTGGCCGATATGTAGTCGGAATTGCCAGGCCCCCCGCATCGCCATCGCCTCGTGGTTGGCGCGGATCTCGTAGCTGTCCAAAAAGTGCGCTCCCTCGCCCGGCACGTGCACGAAGCTGCGCGTGCCCTGCGGCAGCTCGTCGTCGAACCAGCTCGGCAGAGCCAGGATGGACCGGCTCGTCCGATGCACGTCGCGGTCTGGCAAAGGCCACCACGCCGTTGCGGCCACGACCACGGCCCTGCCGGCGCTTGCGGCGCGTGTCGCGGTCCGTGTCCTTCTCGAGCCGCTCGACGTCAACTGTGTGCAGCTGCACGATCAGCGGCTCGAACGTCTGGGCTATGGACGAGTCGCGCAGCGCCGACTTGACCGGCGGCAGAATGCTCTTGGCCAGGTCGCGGTCGTCGATTGCCGCCGAGAGCTTGACCGACCCCAGCGCCGACTTGGGCACCAGCCGCGGTCGGTACGTGTAGCCGGCCAGCAGGAACGACTTGACAAACGCGTACAGCTGCTCGCGGATCGAGTGCGTGATGGCCGTCTCAAACTCGCCGCCCAGGCCCTTCTCGGCACACAGCACGCTGGCCACCTGCTCGGGGCTCACCGATCCCAGCAGCGCTCCGTCAACCCAGCTGCGCACGCGGTCAGAGAATCCCGTCCGACCCAGCCTTTTGCTGCTGCTGCTGCTGCTGCGATGCTGGCGACAGAGGAACCTCAGAGTCGTCGTCGGTTACCTCGACGATTTTCGACGCAACACGTGCATCCTCGCTGCCACTACCACAGAGACTGTCGCGCAGCTCCTGTCGATACCAGCGGCCGCAGCAGCGGTGCAATGTCCCACTCAAACTGGTCGCGCAGCGCAATGTGGCCCACAAGCACATCAATCCGGATCACCACCCGCAGCTCGTCGTCCACCCACGCCAGCGAGTCGCCGTCAGCCAGCTCCTGGGCCTTCGACGCCTCGTCCGCCGCCTTCAGGCTGCGCTTGAGCGACTCGGTCCGACGTTTCCGCCGCATACCCGTACTGCCTAAAGTCATCCGTCTGCTCCTCAATGGCCTGCACGATCATCGGCACAAACAGCTCCTGCGGCAACCCGACGTCTATGCACAGGCTGCGCGCGAACCGGTCCGTCGAAATCAGCTCGTTGTTCATGTCCCATGTGAACGTGTCGCGGAGCCGGTACCCGTCCGCGTCCAGGTCCAGCCGGATCGGCACCAGGATCTCGGTCTTTTCTGCTTGCGCCCGCAGCTGCTTCTTCGAGAACCGCAGCGTGCGCAGCCGCCCTGGCGCCAGCTTGCGCTGCTCGGGCATGATTATCGACACAGGCGCCAGCCAGCGCGATATCTGCGACGGCTGCAGGCCCACCAGCGCCTCTTGCAGATTAGGCGACAGCGGCACGCCCACTGGCTGACGTGTGCCGGTACTGGCTCATGCTGAGCGACAGCGGCGCCAGCGTCTTGCCGTTGCCGAACCCGTCGTAGCCCTTGCCCCACGCCATAGGCTGCATCGCCAGGTGCTTTTCGTACTCGAGCTCCTGCCGCATGCCGACGATGATGCTGCCGTTATGCTGCCGCTGCTCATCCAGCACCGCCCGGTATATGTCCTCCCGCCGCTTGTACTTCTCCGTCTCGTGCACCTTGAAGTTGTTCGACCGCGCTACCGTTTCAACCTGCTTTTGCCACTTGTCCAGCTGCTGCTTCTGCTCCTCGTCAAGCCGCTCTCCAATATCCTCCAATGCCACTACTGTTGGCGGCGCTGGCGGCTGCAAGGCCATAGGAAAATTTACAGCCGGCTGGAGCTGCTGCTGCTGGGATACACCAGTTGCCGCGGCGGAGGTCGCCTGCTGGATGGCAGCTGTGGACGCCGTGATGGCCATGGATGATGACGGCTGAGCTGCCTGCTCCGCCGTCTGGCTCAGCCCACCCAAACCAGCACCCGCGGCGGCGAGGGCAACGGCCTGGTTGCCCTGTGCTGGTTGTTGAGGGGTGGGCTCATTCACGTTTCCCGAGCTACCATCATTGAGAAAAAAAGACCCTGCGTTGCTGCCGTTCAGAGCTGCTGCCGCTGCCGCCGCTGCTGCTGCCGTGGCCGCATCGCCTGGCATCGACGACCCTGGGACACCGATCGTGTTGGCTATCATTGCCGCCGACATCATTGGCTGCTGCGACTGCATCTGAAGCGCCTGCTGCTGCTGTTGTTGTTGTGTTGCTTGCTGGAGACCAGCCATCAAACCAGCTGCTGCATTACTAGTAGCCACTGACTGTGGTGGTACTTGCTGCTGTTGCTGTTGCTGTTGCTGTTGCTGCTGCTGTTGCTGCTGTTGCTGGTTGACTACCATCTGCTGGCCAGCTTGTCGCAACTGGATTCGCAAACGCCAACAGCTGCGTGCTTTGGAGGCTCAACTGCTGCTGCAACGTGCTGAACTGCGCTGTCAACACACTGCGCTGTGCCGCTGGAGTCGTCGGAGCCGCCAATGCCGCGCGCGCAGCGGTCATCTGCTGCTGGAGTCCGTTGATCGCGACCGCCATGGCAACAATCTGGCTTTGGATCCCCTGCGGGAAGTAAGGGAAGTGTGGGAAGTGCTGGCTAATAATCAGCTGCGCCTGTGGCTGCAGCGGGACACCGCCCTGCGCGAACCCCGCCAGCGCCGCCGCCATCTGCTGCGCGGCCATCTGATGCTGCTGCTGCTGTTGGAGCAACAGCATCTGCTGCTGCTGCTGCCGCTGCGCTGCCGTTATGCTGCCGCCCATTGTGGCTGCCGAGACAATCGCTGCGCTCATACCAGGAACTGTCGCCGCCGCCCCTGCTGAAGCCACCGGCGACATTAGCTGCTGCACAATAGGCGCCGATCGACGCAGACGGTGCGGTCGCGGCTGGCGGTGCAGAGGACCCGGTGCTCAGCGCCGGTGTACTCAGTGCAGTGCCCAGCTGCGAGGCGTCCGCCGCCGATGCCTGAATGCTGTACTCGGCGAGCAACGCCCGGGCTGCCGCTGCCGAAGACCCGCCTGCCGAAACGACTGCTGCCGCTGCTGCCTGCCGCTGCCACAGCTGCGGCCGAGACTGCTGCCGGTGTGCTCGTGAGGGCACCGGCGACTGCTGGCGAGACTGCGCTGGCTGATGTTGCTGGCGATACCGTTGTGCCGGCGGGTGCCTCCACCGACGTGGATGATGAGTGCTCCGACTTCACCACCGCTGCCAGAGCTGCTGCTGCTGTGCTTGCGGCAGCGGCGGCGGCAGACGATGCGGAGGTCGTCGTGCCGTTGCTATCAATGCCTGGCTCAGTCTTCACCTGAACAGCATCAGCAGTACCCGGTGCTGCTGTCGACGGCGTGGCTGCACCAGCGGGGGCTGGCAGCTCCTGCATTGGACACCACAGGCTGTTGCAGATGCCCGAGCATTGCTGACAACCGAGCCCGGTCGCGCAATCTTGGCCGCCTTAGGCGACATCATCGGCGGCGATTTCGACTTTGGGCCGGACACTGGCGAGCTAGCAGTACTCTTGCGCTTCACTCCGCGCGAACCTTGCTGGGTAGGAGTCACGGTAGTACTCGGCGCTGCCTGAGGCGGTGGCGACATCATCGGATTGGAAGGCGGCCGAACACCAGTCGCTGCTGCCGCTGCTGCCTGCTGCTGAAGCAGCAGCTGTTGCTGCTGTTGCTGCTGGAACGCCTGCATCTGCTGTATTGTAATGCCCGCCGGTAGCATTCCCTTGCGAACGGATTGAACATTGGCCGAGCCCCGGGCCCAGACACACCAATCTGCTGCGACTGGAGCTGCTGCTGCTGCTGCTGCAGTTGCTGAAGACGCTGCTGCTGCTGAGCCTGCAACTGCTGCTGCTGAAGTTGGATTTGGAGCTGCTGCGCCTGCTGGTGTTGCGCCTGCTGTTGCTGCTGCTGCTGAGTCTGAATCTGTAGCTGCTGAGTAACAAGTTGAAGCAGCGAGTTCACCACTGGCGAGTTATGGAACATGCCGGTTAGCAGCTGCTGCTGGAACTGCATAAGGCTGACTCCCTGCAGCTGCGTCCGCAGGCGGTCGTAGATGAACTGGATCTGTGGGCCGTTCAGAGCCCTCACTACGTATTGGTGGTGCTGCGGCGACTGCGCCGGATTAATATTGGCCAGCGATACTGTCGAATTCGCCGCTCCTGGCGTCGCACCGCCGGCCCCCATTGTAGTGCCCGGCAGCGAGGCCAGGAACTGTGTAAGCTTGGCATCGGGCTGCGACGCGCCAGGACGCCCGCCGCTGAGCTGCTGGAGCTGCTGCTGCTGGGCTGCCGTTAGCATTCCCTGGGCACCGGAGATTGCCGAGAGTCCGTTGGCGACAGCATCGGTAGCCACTGCGCCTCCGCTGCTGAGCTGCATTGCCTGCTGTTGCTGTTGCTGCTGTTGCTGCTGCTGCTGTTGCTGAAGCTGCTGTGCTTGCTGCTGCTGTATGAACTGGTGGGCGGCCACGAGTTGGTTCAGCGCCTTCTGCTCCAAGCCCGTCTTGAACGCGGTAATATCCATTGCACCTGCGTTCGGGTTGCTAGCGCGGTAGATCTCCAACTGCTTCTCAATCTCAGCATACGTCTCGGGCGGCATCACAAAGTGCGTTCCAGGGAAGTAATGTACCTTTTGCTGCTGCTGGTGGGACTGGCTGGCAGCACTGGCGGCGTTGACTGCTGCCTGATACTGGGCAGCCGTCTGAGCGGCAGCGGCGGCAGCGGCAGCGGACTGTGGCAGAGAGGCAGCAGGAAGAGTCTGGGGCGTCGGCGCCTGGGAGGCTGATGACTGGGGCAGCTGGGCCAGGATTGGGCTGGGCCGAAGTCGGAATTGCACCCGGCTGCTGCAGACGGGGTGCCCACGGCAGCTGCCGATTGTTGTCCCTGGGGTAGTGGCTGAGGCGGCTGACCGGCTGCTGGTGCGGGTGTGGCCGTAGGAGTGCCCGTCGGTGCTGCTGACTGGGGCCGGTTGGCGCTGGCCAGGCTGGCAAGCAGCATCTGCTGCTGCTGGATCGCCGATGATGCCGGCATACTCGCCATGAACTGTCCCCCCGACGACATCGGCATGCTAGTTGCTCCGTTGCCAGCCATGCTGGCCTGGAGTGCCAGAGACGCAGCCGCTGCCGACGAGGCAGCCTGCTGCTGCTGTTGTTGCTGTTGCTGTTGTATGAGCTGCTGCTGTAGAGCCATGGCCAAAGCCTGGTTGGCTCCGCCACTGGCCTGCAGCTGCTGCAAAAACTGGGTGCGCTGGAGCGGCGTCAGGTTGGCAAGGTTGGGAATGCCCAGAGTCTGCTGCGGCTGCTGCTGCGGCTGAGCCTGCTGCTGTTGTTGCTGCTGTTGCTGGAGCTGCTGTGCCTGCTGCTGTTGTATGAACTGCTGCTGTTGGCGAATTAGCATAGCCTGCTGGAGCTGCTGCTGCGGGGTCAGGTTCGGGTGCTGGGCCTGCACCTGCTGTAACACCTGCTGGAACTGCTGCTGCTGGTACTGCTGGATGAGCAAGGCCTGCTGCTGCTGCTGCTGTTGCTGCTGCATCAACATGGCCTGGTGCTGCTGCTGTGGCGACATCATCCCCTGCGTGGCCGCTGCCGCCGACCCCGGCATGGACGTGCCCATGGCAGGCGGCATGTTGGGAGTGGGAACGGCGGCCGGTGCATTGGTGGGCGAGAACACATCGCCGTTGAGACTGGTGGAGCCGGGCACCGACGCATTGCTGACGAGCGGCGAGTTTGCGTCGAACTTTGGGCGGATCCGCCGCATGGGGTCGGCCGGCGATGCGGCGCGCTTCGGGCCCAGCGGGCTCGGGTTAGCAGCCATTGGTATTGGCGCTGTCGGCCTAGCACATTGCTGGCAGGCTGCGGAGCCTCGGACGGCAGACTGGCTGCCGATGGTGTGGGCGACTTGAGCTTTGGCGTGCTCTTACGGCTGCCCTTTGCCTTGACAGTCTTCTCTTTGACAGTCGGCGTTTTTTTGCTCTTTGTCTGGCGTGCCTTCTTTGTGCTGGGGGTCGGCGACTTGATCGATGCCGGCGGCGGCATTTGCTGCTGCTGCTGCTTGTCTGTTGTTGAAACACCAATTGGTGCTGCAGCTGCTGGGGAGCCACCGGCTGCTGGGCTACCGCAGGCTGCTGACTGTCCCTGCAGCACGTCGAGGTCTGATGGGACCAAGGTGGTGGGTGCGCCACTGGCTGCATCCTGGATGCCCGAAAAGGCTGCAGACGTCAGAGCGGACTCCTGGTGGTCTGCCGTGATGCCCGTCCCAATGCTGTCGAACAATGAGGCCATGGCCTCGTTGTCCAGGAGCATGTTGAGTGCGCCCTCGCCAAGCGCAACAGAGCTCGAGTCCACTGCGTAGCCGTTCGCGTCGGCGGCAGTAACTGAGCTGCTGGCGCCTCCCGTTGTTACTGGCGAAAATTCATCCATATTGAAGTATACGCTGGTTGTGTCAACTCCCCCGTTCAGGATATCATCGAAATTGGTCGTATCGCCGGTGCCTCCGCCCAGGTATCCTTGGCTGTCGAATGCTAGGCCAAAATCGAACTGGTCGGCACCAGACGTGTCGCCGGTTGTGTTGTCAAAGCCCGACATTTGGACTGATTGTGAAAGGGATAAAAATGGAAAGTGAAAGGGGGAAGAGGAGAAACGATGCGGCGGTGGGGGGTTCTACGGAAAGCAGGGAGAGGGGAGGAAATGGGTGAGGTTGGTTTGGTGATTCAACAGAGACCCAAGGCTGAAAACGCGTTGGAACGTGGAGGAGGCCTACGCGCCAGACTTACCTTTTAGTAGAAGAGATAAAAGGAATAAATTGAACAACCAAATTGTTTGGAAACAAGCGAAAAAAAGTCGAAATCTACGACGCAAAGAGAGGGGGTGTGTAAGTAGACAAAAATAAAAATGCGAACGCGCCAAAATATCGAAATTGTCTTGCGCTCCTCCCCACCACAAGAATGGGAGGGAGCTTTGGGACAAATCACAATCCATAATTCTATCGCCCAAGGAGCGCAAGCGCGCGACATTTTTACGATTACTTGGTGATAGCATACCTGTTATTAGACTTTTTAATTTCTCTGTATTGCCCAGGACAAGTGGCCGAGTTGGAGAAATGGAGATTGATGGAAACGACAAATAAAAAAGAGCATGTGTGCCCAGAAAAAAGGGAGGAGGGAGAAAAGGACCAGGTCGGCAGCAGGTCTTTTTATACCGAACTGGCGTGTTTTCTTAGTTTTTGCGTTTCAAAGTGTCGGGAGGGGGGAAAAGCCGGACTTGGTGCCCACACAGGACCAGAAGAAAAATCGCAGAGCGCCAGAGTGGCTTCAAGACCGCTCTGTGATTGGGCAGCAGGGCGAGCCGACCAACGACGCACATGGCTCGCCACAGCGAACCGCGCAACAACTAGGCTGTTTAGGTCCCTCCTCAGGTCTGTTAGGGGATGCTGCTTTAGCAATGGCAGCTCAGCCCAGCCATGGCACGCATGACTGACAGAAAGCCAGCTCCTTGCTGTCGGCCTTGGCAGCGCCGAAGCGTATTTTTAGACACTGACAAGCGATGAGGGAAATGACTCCATGCTCTTGGGGGAGACTGCCCATGTGTTGGGCCAGCAAAGGCCATCCCCGTATATCATGTGCTAGAGCTGCATTCGACGCTACCGCACAAGGCACTTCGCTGGGAGGGCGTGCAGATTTCGGCGGAATGGCTGCAGCAATAGCTCGACCCTGGCCTGTGACAAGTCTGGATTACAGCATAGGCATGTAGCTTTTTGCAGATGCTAGTCAGGAATGCAGGGTAGGTTTGATACTGAGTTGGCTGATGTGATGGTGACTGGCAACAAGCACACTATACATGCAGCATTTGTACAGCACGGACTCGTAGTCATGCCAATGGAATTTGTTTATAAAGAGAGAAAAGAGATAGATTAAGTATAGAGTCGGGGGGAAGGGATGCAGGTAACGGAAACCCACAGGCAATAAATATGAGCAGCTATTACTCCAGCTTCTTGAGGGCAGCCTGCATATGCGCGTCGTTGCCCTTGACCATCTTGAGCTCCAGCAAGTCGCCAATCTCGTCAATCTGCTTGAGCGCAAAGTCGAGGTCCTCGCGGGTATGCGAGGCCGAGATGCAGAAGCGCACGCGACCGGTGATAATCGGCGTGGCCGGGTACGACACAACCACCACGGCGATATTGCGCTCCAGGCACTCGCGCGAGAAGGCCGGGATCTTGGCCGGGTTGAACAGCAGCAGGGGGATCACAGGGCTGCCCTTGTCGCCCATGGTCATGAAGCCCAGCTCCACCAGGCGCCGCGCAAAGTACCGCGAGTTGATCGCCAGCTGGTCCAGCCTCTGCTGGCCCTCCAGCGCGTGCTCGCGGTCCTCGCCCATGATCATGCGCATCGACGACAGAACCTGCGCCAACACCGGCACACTCATGGCCTCGGCGTACACGGCCGAATGCGAATGCAGGCGCAGGTAGTCGATCAGCTGCCGCGACCCAGCAATATACCCGCCGGCAGCACCAAAGCTCTTGGTGAAGGTGCCCATAAGCACATCGACCTCGCGCGGGTCGACGCCGAAATGGTCGCAGACACCGCGGCCGCGCGGACCCAGAGCGCCAATCGAATGGGCCTCGTCGACGAACAGGTAGAACCCGTACTTGCGGCGCAGCTCCAGGACCTCGGGCAGCTTGCAGAACTCGCCCTCCATCGAATACAGGCCCTCGATCACCACCAGGATCTTGCGCCACGGCCGGTGCGTGCGTGGCTGGCCCTGCGAGATGCTCTTGCGCAGGACCTTCTCCAGGTCGCGGGTGCTGTTATGCCGGAACACCCGGATTGCTGCTCCCGACAGCCGCGCTCCCGACACCAGCGAGCTGTGGTTCAGCTCGTCCGACACAATCAGACTGCCCTTGCCCACCAGCGCCGGGATGCTCAACGCATTGGTCGCGTAGCCCATCGACACAATCAGCGCCGACTCGGCGCCCACAAACCGCGCCACAGTCTCCTCGGCCTCCACCAGCAGCTGCGTGCGGCCAGCCTCGGCCCGCGACGACCCCTGCGTCAGCCCGTGCTCGCGCATCGCCTGCTCGACGGTATCAGCACAGGGGCCCTCGCTCTGCGCAAATCCCAGGTAGTTGTACGACGCCAGGTTCAGCACATTGCGCAGACGCCCGGTGAACTCAAAGGTACGGTTAAAGTCGCGCGAAAACCTCTCCAGCAGCGCCACATGGCCCCCAGCCACGCCCGTAATCGGCCGGTTGAAGCAGTCGCGGATCCGCCCGTACAGCCGCCGGCTCCACAGGCTCTCGAAATCAGACACCATCGGCGCAAACCCGTTCTGCTCTCGCAGCTGCACGTACTGGCCCGGGTAGAAGATCTTGCCAAAGAAGTCGCGGATATGCGCAAACACTATCAGCATCAGGTAGCTCAGGTACGTCGTCACCAGGGTGAACGTCGGCACCGTCTCCAGCTCCGGCGACTCGGCCCGCGCTGCCTGCGGCTCGGCCACCGCCAGCGACGTCCGGCTTGGTGGCCTGGTCCAGTGCCTGGTTCGCTGCCGACAGCACCGTGGCCGGCTTCTTGTCGCCCAGCAGCGAGGAGCTCGACGTGGGTGCGGCCGTGAACGGGTGCGTAATCAGCCCGTCCTCGTCCCGCTGCTGCGAGATGTACTCGGTGCTCTTGTAGGCCGTTGCGGCACGCTGTCCCTTGCCCATGGTTGGAAATTAAGTGCGTAGATGATAGAAAAACAAATTGAGGTAAAGAGAGGTTGTAAAGTATGCGGAAAAAAATAAGAGAGAAATAGTTGGTGAGCGTTCTTGATGGGGTTGTGTTTTCTTGGGGCCGTTTCTGGGTCGCCTGTGTCTTTTATGTCTTTGGGGATGGAATCTAGGCCCATTTTCCGAAGGGACAAGAGGCGGACGCTGATTCGGACTGGACTGGCCAAAGGGGCATTTCGCGATTGAAACTCCCCCTCCCCAACCGAGGCGGTCCAATCACAAGGAGATGGGCGGGAAAGAAAAGCCGCATGTCTTGTGTCAACGCCGTGCGCCATGCCAGCCCGACAACAACAAAGCAAGCCAAGGCCGGCGGCAGTAAGGGCATGGCTCCGGTGTGCGACAAAGCTAAGCAAGTGTGGGAGTGTCCGCAGAGCTGTTTCCACTGGGCGCTGCTGCTAAACAATCATGAAGCAGGACTGGGAAGAAAGCCAGACCACTGTAGCATGTATATGAGCGATCGACACAACAAACGCTAATCTAATTCTGCCAGGCGTTCAGCATGAGCTGCTGCACACAGAGCAGAGCCTCGTACCGCACCTCCTTGTGCTCGCTCGTCATCAGCGCCATCACGTGCGCCTTGGCCCCGATCCGCGCCAGCAGGCGCTTGCCGTCGGGGTTGAACTTGATGTACTGCGCCAGGTCGTGGCAGGCCACCGCCAGCGCCGTCTCGCCCGTGCCCGCCTCCAGCACGCGCGCCAGGTCGCGCACCACGCGGTGGTCGTCCTCGTCCATCCTGCGCACGTGCAGCTTCCAGAACTGCTCCGACCGGTGCGCCGGGCTCCACTCCAGCCGCCCCGACTTGACCTCATTGACGTACTCGTCCCATGTCGTCATCCCGCCCGCATGGCCCGCCAGCTCCTCCGCCAGCTCCCGCAAATCCTCCTTCAGATCCGCGTCCTTGAAGTTGCGGCCCGCCTGCAGGCGTCGCCAGGCACGCGGGAACCTTGGCCACCAGCATCGCCGGCACATTGGCTGCCGCCGCCAGCCCCAGCATATTGCGCCATGTCGCCACGATGATCCGGATCACCTTCTCCTTGACCGCACTGCGCGCAATCTCCACCATCGCCGGGATCACGTCGTACTGCTTGTCCAGCCCTCCCTGCAATCCCGCGCTCGAACGTCAGCAGCCACAGGCAGAACACCACCTCGTACTGTGTCTGCGGCACCGCCACCACGCCCTTGGCGCTGCGCTGCCCCACAGACTTCCTCAGCACCTCCGCCAGCTGCCCCAACGCACCCAGACGACTCGTGGAACAGAACCGTCCGCGCCCGCCGCTCCCGCAGCGCCGACTGCAGGATCTGGATCGCCACGTCCGCAACCGACGTCAGCTCGCTGCGCATGCACCCGGACAGGTACTCGTACAGCCGCCCGTACCGGAACCCGCGCTGCAGCCCCGGCGCCCCTGCCAGCACGCCGACCAGGATCTTGCCCGCCTTCAATCCCAGGTAGTCGTCCTTTTTCTCCATGCTCCGGAACAGCACCCGCGCCAGCTCCCCAGACTTTGCCAGCTCCGCCAGCTCCGCCCCGCTGCTGTCCACCAGGTCGTCCAGGCTCACCAAAAGGTACTGCTGCGCGTCAATGCTCGACAGCCGGTCGGCCAGCTCCAAAAGAAGCCCCGCGTACCCACCCACCTCCTTCCCTTCCTGCTGTTTCTGCTGGAACTCCCTCAGCTGCCCCAGCTCCACGCTGCTGATGAGCCCGGCACGCGAGTAGCCCTCCCACGGAATCGGCTTCACCCGCACCTTGTCTGTGAACTCATCAAAGAACTGGTTGTTCACCATTGCTGCTGGCACATCTGGAACCGCTGTCATTGTTGTATAGAGTGGCTAGGATAAATGCGTATAGTGTGGTTTAAAAATTATATATGGAGACAAGCTGCCCTTCAGCACAGCTGCTATCTGCGCTGAAGCTCTTTAATCGTCATGGCATGCGGGGCCAATCGCTGTCGGTAGAATCACATGATTTGATCTTTGGCTCTTGAGCCAATGCCCTTTCAATGCACCTGCAGCAAGCATGTCATTTAGTCAGGTAGCATTTGCACGGAAGACAAGCCCTACCATGTCGCCTTTTCAAGACTTGCTAACTTTCTTCCGTAGCCAGGATCTTCCTATAGACCCTATTGCATCTTTCGACAGTTCTACAAACTATTATTCTCCGAATATCTACCACAGGCATGCATTTGACATGAAGGAGATTTTTGGAATATTTGAAACTGTTGCTGGACCATTCAACAGCACATGCGCTTTCCCTATATGTTGACATTCGGGGATCCTGGAGTCCCCCTGCACCACCATGGGCAAGGCTGAAATGCATACGTACAAATGCCCAGGCAGACGATCAGTTTTCCCTCTTCTTCTCAGTTATATTTTTTGAGAAATTCCTTTCATATACCCGATAACCACTGTCCTCTAGCTACACTTAGTCTTGTTGGCGGCATGCCACCGATGTTCGCTAACACGCTTTGTGTAATAGAGTGGTGGCGGCATTCTTCCTGGTACTCTTACGGAACCGCAAGTATCCAAGGGCGTGATACCAGTTTGCGTTATCGATGTCGGCAGGCTTTGATTCCAGTGTGTCTATCGCGGATATTATCGTTTTCTATGTCATCAACCACTACCCTTTCCTGAGGTGGGCAGACAATTCGAGGGCGCCCAGCTGTCCCTTGGCGGCGTGTGGATTCATGCCGACCGATAATGCAAGAACATGAATTATTTATGCAATGCAGTGTTTTTGCAGAGCATCCTACAGCATGCTGCCCAACCGCACGCGCATGTCTCGTCTCTGCTTTTGTTTGAATATGCATATAGGAAAGAATCCTTGATTTCAAGGAACCCATTTCCTATACCTTGTCTCCTTAATACAAGCACGAATTTTGATGTCACTAGCGCTTTTCGCGATTTGTTATTCCAACTCTCAAATACAATGTAGTATTCGACTATGCCAATGGATTCTATGAGAAATGATTTTTGGCTGCACGAAGGCTGAAGCACAAACGAGTCGCAAACCACATATATATTCCATCATCCTCTAAATGGTAAACTAAAAGAACCTCCTCCACTTCCATAGCTTCCCCCCAGATGACCCAGCTCACTGATCCTCCCCGTAGAAGTAATTCGGCGCATCGTCAAGCAAGACTTTGACAATGCTATCTTCGACGGCAGCCAAAGGATCGGACTACTTTCCACACAGGCTCGCCACGAATCGGCTGCTCCACCATATCTCCGCCGACATTTACTGTCAATGCGCTGGTCATCACTGATAAGCCGACCAGACAACCCCACCCGGCTCATCAGATTCTGGTCCAACATGAACTACATCTGCCAGACAGCGCGCACGCGGTCCACCCGCTCCCTCTTTATGATTCTACGGAACGATCCCAATCTGTCGGAAATCTACACCTGTGCTCACACATACCAAGCTATTTGCTCATGGGCTGCCCATGGCGAAATCCCTGATCATCGACTACCGCGGCACTGAAAACTCGGCACAGCACCCACCGCAGCTCTACGACGCCCTAAGCTCGATGCTCAGTGACGCTCTGCCGAACATCTGCAATCTGTGGTTCTTGGGGTGGTCTGTCAGCATGCACTTTGAACTGCTTCTGCGCACGTTTCTCACCAAAACTGCAAAGCCATTGGAGACTGTCATCATCGACATGCACTACATAAACTGCTTTGACCTGTCGCTTGGGCTGCAGGGGGATCAGCCAGGCATAATTAACAGCAACCTGGATCATCTGCAGGTCCCGAGGCTCTCAGCCAATGAACTCCAGGCGCTAACCATTCACTCGATCACCACGCATCTGTTCTGGCATAGATTCTACGCTCTCCCTAATGCACATGTATTGGAGTTTTCTGCCCTGCGCAGTCTGTCGCTGCGTTTCTCGAGCTCGCTAATGACTGTGCCAAGGCTGAGTGCCCGCTACCAGCAAATCAAGTTCCCCTGCCTAACCAAGCTCAGCCTGGAATGCAGCGGTTTCAGCGCCACCGAGTTCCTGGAAATATTCCCCAGGCACCAGATCCAAGTTCTGGAGGTGCGTGGCAACTGGGATCAGTTGGATGTTTCGCCATTTGTCAACCTGAAGCGACTCGCCATAGGTGACATTCCGAATAACCATCCGCGCTGGTTCAACAACTCGCTCTGCACTGCCCAAGTCAGGCTCGTGTGCCTGGAGATATACTCTCTGCAGTCATACGATTTGCCGCATCTTCTGAAACTGCCAGCCCTTGCAGGGCTGACTAGATTGGGGGTTGTCTGCACGACCGCATCAACACTGATTCCAGGGTTCCTGTTTCCTGATGCTTTGTATTCCGACGGTTATACGCCGCTACATCGTGGCATAAAATACGTGTCCGTGCATGGACCAGTGCATAGTTCAGACATTAATCGGCGGTGTATCCAGCAGCTGGTGTGCCTGTTTGGGGCTGGCCCAAGCTTCAATTGGTGAGCCTATCAATTGTGTTCAAGCAATACCAGGAACACATTAGATTCGAAATCAAGGCGATGACGCAGTCTCTAAGCCTAGCCAAGCACGTACAGCATCTCCAGGACATCAGCTTTCAGTTCCAGTGAATAAAAAGAGATCATCATGTCGTTGGCCAAGGCCATATTGGCCGGGATGTGATCGGTTCTAGTGAGTTTGTCGTACGTAATGTGCAGCAAAACAATGCAGGACTGTAACATCTGGAGTTTATGATGGGGTTTTGAGTGTCGGTCAATGACGAGTGCTCAAAAAACAAATACAGACCTTCGAGCGCCCCATATTGCTCATACAGCACTTTACTTGTGATTTCCTGGTGCGCCAGAGATCCAATTATTAGGGTCTGCTGGGCAGTGAGAATTAGGATATATTTGTTGATTCCAATGCGTCATGAACTACATTTCGATGAGTAGGAGAGATGTATGTCACAGTGGTAATATATATTATTGTGGACTACGGAACTGTTCAAAGACTTTATCGAATCTGATATTCTGGACATGTGGGTGTTCTTCTATGTCGGCTTGGCTGAAGTGATCCTTAACGTCTTGTAAGTAGCATTCCGGAACCCTGACCTCTTTTAGCATGACGACGTTTGCGACAAACTCATAGAGCGGATCGAGATTATATACCAGCGGAAAATGAGATGTGTGAAAAAAGCACGCAAGGCGTTTTAGATTGCTGCTGAACTTTGAACTGCCCAAGAGATATGGCGAAGTGCTGTGCTGGTTTATGATAATGATGTTGTTCATCATGTGGGGCAATGTACCTCACACGTAGTAGTTCTAATAAGGGTAGCTGGGATATGAAGCGATAAAGTGTGGTGAGGGAAGTGAAGGCAAAAAAGTTTAACTCTCTTATATTCGACCATCCAACAGCGTTAATAGATACTGGAATATAGTGCTCAACTTCAAACCTGACTTCTGTTACAGCTGAAAATGAACTGAATATAGCCTCTGTGAGTGTGCTATACTCTTGAACGTCCTCTATCAATATGTCGGTCAGGGTAATTGATACTTCTTTGCTATATGGAAAGCACAAATTCATTTGTGCAAGAACATCAATGCTACCGGAGATACGGAGGTAATCAAGATGCGACAGGTAGATGTGGAGCAAATAGTTTTGTATCTGAAGGAAGGATGTTAGATAGCGTCAGCAGCTTAATATTTGGCATATGGATTTTCCGTAAAGCAGCTGTATGCCGATGTATAACGTTGGAACTGAAAGTCACTATTGTCGAATCAGCTGAAGTGGCTGAATAATGCAGATCCATTTCCTCAAGCTCTGAAAAGTCGAACGAGCTATTGGTCTCAGAGTAAAAGCACCTCCATGAGAAATTAGGTGGGATATCTAACAACCACAATTTGCGAAGATTTGGTGTGTATATGTACGGAAGCGTGGTCTGCTCTGGGCTCAAACGAAGAGTGAGGTGGGTTAGTGAGCTAGAGAAGGAATGGTTAACGAAATGAATTGGAGCGCTTACGATATCGAAATATGAAAGTTGGCACATTCTAAGGCTGATAAGGTTGGATAGAGGGTTTATAGTATGGTCCAGCACCTATATAGCGATCTGAAATGGATGTTAAGGCAGGTAAATGCGTATAAAAGTATTGGCCTATGGCATCGCCCACACGGGTTCTTATTTTCAACTGCCTGTTAGTTGTAAAAGCGGAAGAACAGCGCTCTAATATGTATAAAAAGTAGATGGAAGGCCAGCTTGCTTTGCTAAACAGTTGCCCATCCAAAAATTTGACAAGATGGCCAGAGGCAACATATCCACATGGACATTCAATAGAAAGCCTCTGGGTATATTTTGATAGGCCATTTTCCACAACGAATCTAATGTTGGATTCGACTTTTGGCAGTCTAGAGGATGGCTCAGTAGAAGTGATAGTAATAAATGCGCGTTCATAGAGTCTCGGTAGTATTATCCTCCGCCACTCTCTGCAGACCCCGGCTAGATAATATTGATGTGAGTGAGGTGAAGGTAAATTGAGTGAGTCATACCCTAAATAAGCATGAAGAACAACCCTCTCCAAGGATTTTCCGCGGATATCGTTGAAGGTGGCCATGTTGGAAGTAATGAAGTGTAGAAAGAGTAAAGATGAAAATGAGATATGTAATCCCAACTGCTTTCCATGTCCTGGTATGCATATATTGACAAGTTGCCAATCCTCATACATATACTCCCCTTATCCTGTGCACTATACCAGTTGAAAGTTGGTAGATTTGCATATCAGACGTCGCTAATCAAGAATACCAAGCTTATCCTGATATGTTGTTTGTCTCATCAGTACAATTACATGACCAGATATATTACTCAGAAAGCATGCAGTCGAGTACTCTGCCATTCAAGATATCGTATATACCTGTTTAATCTGTGGAAGATATGAGCATTGCTATAAAAGAAAAAAGAAGCAGCCAACCCCATACACATGGATAGAAAATGGTTTTTTTATAGCTTGACCTTGAGCTTGTTGTCGCCATGGCGCTTAATCCACCAGTTCTTGACCACCCGACCAACAGGACCCAGGAATCACAAACTTTTCGTACAAATTGCACAGCACGATATTTGCCAGACAGCATCCCCACAGGGTCCAGCGGAAGTCCCAGGGCAGGATATTGTGGCCGTTCGGGCTGTTGTACACCGAGACATTCCACGAGGGCTTCGGGTATCCCTGAGCGACAATCGAGCCTAGAATCACCGCAGTTGATGCGGAATAAGCACGAGAAGCGGTTCGGGTTCGCCAGAGTCAACACAGAGACCACAGCCAGCATGCCAAAGTACATGACAACCATCAGGTAGTTGGTCAGCCAGGCACGGCGGTACTTGTAGCCAAAGTTATACACGGCGCCACCGTTGATGAACTGGAACAGGCAGACGATCGAGATAATCTCGGCCTCGTAGTTGTCACCTAGCAGCCACCACAGACTGGTGTCGATGTCGCGGCTATCGAACTCGTGGCAGCGGAACCACGACTGGCGGTACAGAAGGCCGAGCATGCCGAACAAGAACGCATAGTTAATCACGGTCTGGCCCCAGATCGACGCCAACGTGTGGGCGCCTAGAAGACGCGCGGTGGGCCGGCTCGGCGCCAGCTTGCGCGCAGTCTGCGCCTGCGTCACGGCAATGCAGAGACCCACAGCAATAAACGAATCGACCATGATCCACACGGCTTCAGGCACAATCACAGAGAAGTAGAACTGCGTCAGCTCCAGCATCGACATGGTCGTGGCGTAGTTGATCAGGAACTTGTAGCCGGCAAACGGACGTTGCCAGGGCCGCCCGACCCTGCCGCAGAAGAGTCACGCACGAGTGGATCGACCGGTTGCTCGACGAGAACGGCGACACAATCGATGCCTCGGACTCGGACAGCGCCAACCCCACGTGGGCAGCACGCAGCGCTCCGCAGTCGTTGCCGCCGTCGCCGCACATTGCCGTCACGCAGCGCTCCATGTGCAACTGCACACAGTCGACCTTGCCCTGCGGCGTCATGCGTGCGAAGATCCGGATGTCCAGCAGGTACTGCCGGATCTTGCCGGCCTCAACCAGGTAGTCGAAGGCAGCGGCAGTCACCGCCAGCTCCACCAGCGGCGTGCGCTTCGCCACCACGTCAAATAGCGCGCGCTCGGCCTCGTCGCGTGCAGCACGCTCCTCATGCAGCAGTTTGTCGGCATCCACAGCCTCGTCGGTGACGGTGTCGCGCCACACCAGCCGCCCCTGCTCGATGTCACCTAGCAACACGCGCGCGGTTGGACTGATCATGCTGCACTGGCGCGCGATATACACACCGGTCAGCGCCGTGTCGCCGGTAATCATCACCGCACGCGTATCACCAGCCTTCAGCTCCATGATCGCAGACTCGGTGTCCTCCTTCAGCTTATTACGGAACAGCAGCAGGGACACCAGCTCGCACTCGCCCTCCATCTGCTCGCGCGTCAGCGTGTTCACGTCCACATCGCCCAGGTCCTTGTGCGCCAGCGCCAGAACATAGCAGCCCTCCTTGGCCCACTTGGCCGTCACTGCGTCGTAGTTGCCGGGCACCGACGCAGACTTGGCCATGCGCTTCAGGCGCTCAAACGAGCCCTTGACAAAGACGTGTACGTGGCCAGGTGTCGGGATCCCGCACCGCCACCGACATCGACTGGCGCGCATGGGCAAACTCGAAGCGCTTAATCACGTGCACGGTCTTGCGCTTCTCCTTTCCGCCCGCGTGGCTCTCGAGGAACGGCGAGATCAGCGTGTCCAGGTGGTCCTCGCAGGTGCCAGCCAGGATCTCCCAGTCGGTCGCGCGGAACTGCTCGACATCGACCGGATTGCCAATGAGCTTGTCACCGACCATAGTCACGGCATGGCACGAGGCGAAGCCGACCTGCGTCACGTGAGGCAGCCTTGCCATGTCCTGCTCCTCGCCATGGAAGCGCCCATCGGAGATCTCCTGCACTGCAAAGTACTCCAGGCCCTCCTTGGTCAGGGTGCCGGTCTTGTCAAAGCAAAACACCTGCACCTTGCCGGCCATCATGATGCGCGGCAGGTCCACACAGAAGATGTTGGCGCGACGCAGGCGGTCGGCAGCCACCGACTGGCCCACAACCAGCGCGGCCGGCAGCAGCGGCGACATGATCTCGGAGATCACAAACACGCCATAGAACCACGACGTGACGTCGTGGCCCATCAGCCAGATGGTCAGCGCAAATGCCACGCCGCCGTATGCCAGCAGAATCAGCAGAGCCACGCGCAGCTGCTCGTCAAACACAAACGAGTAGCGCGCCGGGAACAGGATCCGCTGGATCAACTTGCCCTTGTCAGTCAGGGTGCGTGTGGCCGTCACCAGTACCTGTGTTTCAGGTTCGCCCTCCTGCAGTGTCGCGGTCGGCGTCCCGGTGACTACAGCCTTCTCCAGTTTGATCTCGGATGACGACGACATCAGCGTCGGCTGCGACTGCGACGGCGACGCATACGTGCTGCCTGTGCACTGCAAAACCTTGGTGCCTGCAAACAGTGAGTATGTTTTGCCAGAGCCCGACGCGTCGTACGGAATGGTGTCGTTCTTGCAGTGCAAACTTGCGCACCGGCATCGCCTCGCCCGTCAATGAGCTCTCGTCGACAACGATCTCGCCCGCCAGCACACAGCCATCGCACATGACCTCCATGCCTGACTCCACTGCAATCACATCGCCAGGCACCAGCTCCGCCGTGTCGATCTCCTGCCACTCATTGTTGCGCTTGACCCGGCACACACTGCGGTGCTCGGCCAGCGCCTTGACCTTGCGCTCGCTCTTGAGGCGGATCACCACCTTGATCACGGCCGACACCAGGATCACGCCGAACTGCACCAGCGCCATCTTGAAGTAGTTGAAGTAGAACCACACCCACATGCACATCATCTGGTACAGGTAGAAGTAGCTGAACACCTCCGCCAGCATCGCCATTGGGAACGACGGGCACCGCCACGTGGATGTAGTTTACACCAATCCGCGACGCCCTGTCCGCCGCCTGCGCGCTGCTGAGGCCGTTACGGCTAGCCAGCAGCGCACGGTGCGTATTGCCAAGATCGAATGCATTGCACTGGAACCGGCCGCTGGCGCCGTCCAGCACGTACCGCGTGCAGTGGTACTCGATGAACGTGCGTGTCTCGCCGCCGATTTCGACCCGGTTCGCCGGACACGACTCGGCCAGCACGTCCAGGCGCAGGCGTCCCACCAGCTTATTGCGCACCCGGTTCGCCAACGCCGTGAGCCGGTTCTCGCTGCCCTCCATCATCACCACCTCCGCGCGGCGCTCCTCCACCTGCACCACACGTGCCTCCGGCAGCGGGCACTCGATGCGGAAGTAGTTGCGCACCGTGTGCATGCATGCCAGCATCCCCGCCAGCCAGAGCGCCGCCAGATGCCACACGAAAATGAACACCGCCATCGACTGGTCCGAGTTGGCCAGCATTCCGTATTTCACTCCGCCCGTGACCTTGCCGTAGTAGTCAGACACGATCACCGCCAGCAGCACCACCCACCCGGCCGTCGTCAGCAGCGCAAGATAGAACAAGCCCGCGCCAAACATGTTGTTGTCAAAGCCGCGCAAAAGCATCATGCCCTCAGGCAGATCCCCCACCGTGTACTCGGACTGCTCCTCGGACTGGGTTTCACTCATTGTCTTCTCGTCGGCTGCCACTGTGGTCGGCAGTGGCGAGCAAAGCTGCCGCAGCTGTACTGCATGCCGCTCGCGCACACGCTTATACAAATGCCACAGCGCAAACAGCACCAGCTCGGCGCCCATGATCCCGTAGAACGCCAGGCAAAAGCTCTCCGTGTATGTCAGCCGCGCCGTCAGCGGCACCGGGCACATATCCCAGACCATCTTGTCGCGTGCATCCACCGACCACTCCGCCACGCCCGACCCCATGCCAACCGTCGTGTTTGCGCCCACCATGCCCCACTCGATCGCACACGCCAGCTCCAGCTGCGCCTGTTTGATGCTCGGGTCGTAGGCCGGCACCGTCACCGTGTTGGTATATTCGGGGCATGCCTTGTACACAGTGGCTACCTGCGAGGCGTCGAAGGCGCACAGGCACGGATTCACCACGTCCGCGCAGCTCCCGTGACAAGCGCCGTCGTCGCAGAGCTGCTCATTGTTTTTGCATTGCGGCACTGCGAGCGCCGATGGGCAATCCGCAAAATCTTGCACACACATTACTGGGCACGTCAGTCCCGGGCGATCCACCAACGGACAGGTTTGCCCATGCACATCAACGCTGTTGGCTACAAAGAAGTGATAATCGTTCACAGGAAAATCAGTGGAGTCAAACCGTTTGCTTTTTTGCATCACATGGGAAACATGTTACCATGCAAATAATGAATCTTGCAGCAAAATGGAACCGGGCAGTTGTCCTTTCAAATGACGGTACTTACGCGTGTTGAATGCCGGGAACGCCTGGACTGCCACCATTGAATGGCTAGCAATAGCCGCCACAGCGACTAGAATAGTATACAGTCCCACCATTTGCTCGGAAACCCACGTTATAAACGGGGGGTACGGGAACAAAGCGCGTGGCTCTTGCTAATGCTTGTGTCCAAAAAAAGGTCCCGCGGGGAAGAACGTAGAGGGCCGATTGAAATAGACGATAGGTGTAGAAACGCAGTGCTAACCGGTTAGACACCCACGCAACGAAAGATAAAAGCACAGGATTAAAAATACGATAAGCCCTCTAGAGAACAAGAAAAAAACTCTTCACAAAGCAGAGAAGGAAAAACCACAACAACCTGCGGTTTTAAGTCCCCCACCAAGCGACCTGGAAGACGAAGCGCATAGACTGTGCCGTGAGATACTAGCGCTACGCTCCAGTGCCTTTTTTTGGGGAGGCAACTTCAATTGACCTTTTGCAGAAAATCGCCAACCAATGGCTCACTTGTCCGGGATCATCGCCTTGCCGGCCCCGTTTCATGAGTGCGTCCCAGTGGGAGCCATGAGGAGTGACCCCCACGACGCTCCCGTCTCCGATACCTGCAGATCTCGCATGGAACCTGGCCACGTCAAGAACATCCAGGAATCTCGACTAACAGACAGGGTGATTGCTCACAGCCCCATGTCTTCCTACCTCCCCAACATGCGATTAGAGATAATCCGTAATCGGTTAGAATTAGCGCGCTGATACCCGAGGTCATGCGATACACGACATGCAGAGCGCGCAGGAAAAAATAGCGCCATGAGAAGTCTTCGGTTTAATAAGCGGACTTTTAGGCACTATAGCCATGTGTGAGCGGAGGAGTGGAGCCCTTGGATATGCTGCGATTGATTAATCAGCCCAGTAGGCGTGCTGCCCACAAATGTGGGTATTTCTGGCATCACCGATATGCACATGATGTGACTGCATGTTGAAAGAATATTAGGCTAGCGCATTGACACCTGCAGCAAATGTGCTATATACACATCTACTGTTGCGGACAACAGCGGCTAAAAGGCGTGCTTTATAAAAGGTTCATGCTCAATGCCCAGGGTTTGGGGCAGCGATAATTGCCATACTTATCTTTCGATAATTGTGTAGCCCTGTTAGCTTTCTTGTAAGAATTGAGCTGAGCCATGGCCGATATTAGCCTTAGGAGGTGCTGATGAGAGATTAGCCGTGTATTGCACTGTAATATACTGGACTCCACTGGCTGGGTGCCACGTGGAAGTACCACAGATCGGAACACTCTCATCGAACTTGGCAGTGCAGCAAACCTGCCGAGGAGCTCTGGTTGCCACTGAAAGCTGCCAGTGGTCGTGTTGATATCACATCAGCAGTGTGGCAATGTGGCGATATGGTGGCATGTTTATCAAGAAATATTGAATAATTCAGCCTTCCGACGATTGTCCAGGATCAGCTAGGGCTGCAGCCAAAAGCCGATTCATACAGCGAAAAGGAACTGGCCTTTTTCTTCAAAGATTGTGTCGCTGACCAGACCAGCCCTACAGATAGATAACAGCGGCACCTCACACTGTTCCACTGTAAAAAAGACCTAGGTGAAAAGGCATGAAAGCAAAGAGTATGCGGACTTGTTGGGCTCGCCCACTGCGATCTGTTCTGTGCGGGGATTGCCTTGCGCTACTGGCACTTCGGGGGTTTTTTTGGGCAAGCCCTCTCCCTACTCAGCTCAAACGTAGAGATCGACAGGTCTATCCAGTCCTGAGCCCGACCTGGGTCGTCGCTGCAGATGGATTGTTCGACCAGACGGGCGCTTTGTTCTGCGAAGACTTGGGGCAGGGACCAGCTGGTGGATTGAGAGTTCCTTCTTTTGATCTCGCACCTTACGAAGAAACGATGCTCTTGGTGCACCCAGGCCTTTTAATAACAGCAATGTGCTGAGGTTCCGTGATGTTGGCGGTATTCGTTTTGCCGGGTGTACCTCTGGAAGGAGGGGAGAAAAAGCAATTTGGCCGAGCACCGTTTTTGCGAAAATCAATCCACTCGACATATAAAGGATTTCGCGATATGTAGCCAATTACTCGGACACGTGGGTCGCGTCTCTCGATGCAAAAAGCGCACACGTTCTGAAAAAAATAATAACGCAGGCTCCTTTCTCCCTTGGCCTGTTATTGCGCGCACCACCCCTTATCGAGTGGTTGGTGTTGTACGACAAGCAGTTGGGCGCGGTGCTCTACCAGCTTGGTTTGCCGCAAAAAGTCAAACAAGAAGCTCAGGGAAAGAGGGGCGCAAAAAATCACGGAACCTCCAACACGGGAAACCGTGTTATGACTGCTTTTCCTTGCTGCAGCTCTGGGATGTTATAATGCGGTTGCTTCGGAGGGGAGCGGTTGTGTCTTGGAGTGAAACGCACACCTTGCTATTCGATTCCTTGTTCTGCGAATTTTATACTCTTTTTACTCTTGTGTGACTATCACGCTGCCAATTTTTTGCGCGGTAGTTTTTTTGACACAGGGAGCGGGATCTCGATAATTTCTTCTCTTAGGCAAGCCAACTCTCGTATTGGACGATATCCGGCAGCTCCAACCACAGGTAGGGAGAAGGTCTATGAAGAATGGGGAGCCTGTGCAAATAGACTGGGATGCTCTGCAACGGTAGCATGAGAGAGAAAGTTCCAGGGCACTTTTTTTTGTTTCTCCTCCAAATTTTCTGGCCACACCTGCAATTTTGACTTTTTTTGTTCCATGTCCAACTTTTATCCATTCAGTAATATCGGGGATATCAATAGGGTTCTGTCCTTTCCGACGACTATCGATCCCACCAGGCAGCAGACTACCATACACACAATGTCTCTGGGCGAGCCTGTACCGCCGGCACAGCAGGGGAGTGGGGAGCAGCAGGTGCAGACACCGCTGAGTCTGTCGATGCAGCCGACAAGCGTGCGGGCCACAATACCGCCGCTGAACATCGACGGGCTGACAGAACAGCAGGCAGCCGAGGTCGTGGAGCTGCTGACGCCGTTCCTGTCGCCAGCAGGCACACCCTCGTTCAATGCCCAGAGTTTTGCGAGCCACCCGGCCACACCCCTGGTGCAGCAGGCAAGCCAGGCAGGCACGGACAATGCGTTTAGCCCACTGACCTCGCCAGCATTGCTGCCCCAACCAGCAACTGGTCGTGGGATGGACGCACATATAACTCACCACCAGCTGGCAACCAGCCAGGCAGGCGCTCATAGCATGCGGTCAGCCGCCGATATGGCGTCGAATGCCGCCGCCGTCGCCGTCGATTACCGCCGAACATATTCTGCGGCGGCAGCAGCAAATCATGCTGGAGCAGCAGGCATTGCTGCAGTCGCCGTCGTTTCCGTCGGTCACTGGCGGTAGCTCGCAGGTTACGCGGATAGCAGGCGGGGTGAGGCGCGGCTCGCAGCACCATCCGTATCGCGTGGCGGGCGGATACAAGAATAGTGTGGCTCGGTCGCCGCTGGTCACGCAGTTTGCGGGCGACGCGACCACCCCGACACAATTGACCTTTACGCCTGTCCTAGCCGCAGGCAGCACCGAAAAAGACGAGTTTTTGCTTGAGCCGTTGCCTGACGCAGCTCTGGTGTCAGCAGCCGTGGCCTCCCTGCACACCACTCCAGTGATGCAGTTCTCCGCAGGAGGCCATGGCGATCCAGGATCCGGATTAAGCCTGCCGGCCGCTATGGCCGGGGATTCACTAGCGATGAATCCGGCGGGTCCGCACGTTGCACCAGCTCAATGTGGCACAGCCACAGAGGCAGAATTCCGTGGCCATGGCCGCATCGGCCTTGTCGAGTATGCTTGGGGCCGAGTCGGGTGCGGTGGCGGCATCGCAGCTCGGGTCGTGGATGGGCTCGCAGAATGTCTCCAGTGTGTCGGCTGCTCCGGCGACTGCCACGCCAGCATCACTGATGAACCTGCCAGGTCTCTGCCCACCACCTGCCGCATCACCACCACCGGCGACATTGTTGCCTCAGCCAGCACGCAGCCCACAGCAGTACTAGCAGCAGCAATGACAGTCACGATGCCCAGCTCGACCTAGTAGCTGTGCCGGCAAGCCTAGCCAGCATCCCTCAGGCAACGCCCTTGATGCAGTTTGTTTCGCAGTCGGCGCCCGGCGGCGAGTTCGTCCACCCGCCGGCCCCGCCACCGCTGCAGATCGGCAAGTCGGTGGTGGAGCGGAGCTTGACCAACGGAGAAGGACGGCAGACCGGTGACGTTCATTAAAGCCGGCCAGTGTCACTGAGCCGCATACCTGACGGGCGAAAGCGCGGGCGCCGCAAATCGGTCACCGATGCTTCGGTCACCTCTGGACTGTCCAAGATTAAGAGCGATGCGAAGCGCGGGCGCCGGCGGTCAAGAGTCACGCCCATCATGTCGCCGCGCGCCACGCCTCTGGTTCCAGTCGATCTTGCGGCGGCCCTCGCCAGCAATGTCGCCGGTCAATCCGCCGCTGACTTCGCCTGGACTGACACCGATCACAGCCGGCGATTGCGCCGCGGCGGCCGTCCAGCAGTTCGGTGACGCCGCGGATGGCACCGCGGACGCCGATTATTGCGGCAACATCTACCACCAACATCGTTGGCCTGGAGGCTGACGTGGTGACGCGATTGGCAACCAAAAGCAATTACCAGAATATCATCGAGGGCCATTCGGAGCTGCTAGGACTCAAGTACCACACCGAGTTCAAGTCCTGGTCTGGAGAAGCGCCGGACCAACCACAAGCAGGCCGAGCAGAAGCGGCGCGACTCGCTCAAGCTGTGCTTTGATGATCTCAAGACGCGTTTGCCGGAGCTCAACCCGAAGCTGATCAGCAAGATCTATCTGCTGAACGAAGCCAATGTCTTCATCGATAAGCTGAGACACACTGCCAGGCACCAGGAGAGAGCCAGGCAGCATGTTGCCAGTGCGTTAGCCGCCAAGGGCATGGATGCGAAGGAGATCGAGGAGATCTTTGCAGGCGCGGAGAAGATGGCTGATGAGGATATGGCCAACGAGCAAGAGACAGAGATGCAGAGGAAGGGCAAAGGAGCCCGCGGGCGCTATCGAGAGGATCGATGAGCAGGACGAAGCTGAGCAGTCGGATGCGGAGATGGTCGATAGTAGCGCCTAGCTTTGTTGATAGTGCATTGCAACAGAAAAATTTGAATATATTTTTTGCCTAATACATTGCGTTTTATTTCTAACCCCAAATGTATTGGGGAGGAGTCCAAAGAAGGACATTCAATAGCCGCTTGGGCTGCGATATCTACACAAAACATTTCTAGACTTTCTACCGGAAAACTATAGTCGTCCTATGATACGGTCCATTGTGAACAGGCTGTTCTGGCCCAGCCACCAAACGGTCCGCCGGTTCTCGCAGGAATTCCAGCCGGGCGATATGGTCATTGTGCGCGAGTGCTCGCGCGGCGGCAAACACGCGCTGATTGGACCACTCGCAGACGGGAGCCAGTACGGATCGCGGCGCGGCAGCCTGCAGCACTCGTCGATAATCGGGCGCCACCCACGCGACCGCATCACAACCAGCACCGACCACAAATTCATGGTCCATCACCCGACCCTGGGCGAATACGTGCTGCTGTGCTCGCGCAAATGCACGCCCATATACCCAAAGGACGCCTCGGCAATCATCTCCATGCTGGATATCTCGCCAGGCGACCGGATCCTCGAGGCCGGCACCGGCAACGCCGGCCTGACAATGTATTTGGCCCGAGCAGTAGGTGTGGGTGGGAAGGTGGAGACGGTGGAGAGGGACGAGAAGCGCAGCCAGCATGCACAGGGGATTGTGGCGGGGTTCCGCCGCGGCCAGCTTTTGCCCTCCGATCAGGTTCCGGGTCGGCTCTGTGGCCGACGTCGTCGATGGGATCGCGCACGAGCATGACCCCTTGGTGGTTGTAAATGACAAGCGCGCGAATCTCATCCTGCCTGCTGTTTGACGGCGTCGTTTTGGATATGCCCACGCCCTGGACGCAGCTGCCGATGATCTACTCGTATCTGAAAACCGACCGCTATGTCGTGTGCTACTTGCCCAGCATGTCGCAGGTGATGGATCTGGTCAGGGCGTGTCGGCCGATGGCCGCTGCTGGTGGAGGATATTGTCGAGGTCGATTGGCGCGACTGGGATGTGCGGCTGGCGCGGGTGCGCAATCCAGGACCGGAAATGGCCGACGATGAGGCGATGGTATGCCGACCGACGCACCTTCCCACTGGCCACACTGCGTTCCTAGTCAAGCTGCGCAAATGCGCCTCCGATCTTATTGCCTCGTCAATCGAATAAAATGTCTTAGCTGTGGAAAATCTCAACGGGCTCGATCTCGTCCGCCGGCTCAAAGCCCAGGATCCCTGCTAAAGAAGTAGAACTGGGCCTCCAGCGCCCTGATGATATTCTTGGCCTGGCGGAACCCGTGCTGCTCGCCCTCAAACTCGATATGGGCGACCTTGATTCCCTTCTTGCGCAATGCCTCGACCATCAGCGTGGCCTGGTTCGGCGGCACAACCTTGTCCTCGAGTCCCTGCAAGAATATCGCCGGGCACGCCAGCGTGTCGACAGAATAAAGTGGCGACCGCTGCCAAGTAAGTGTCGCGGGCCTCCGGATACGGACCGACCAGATGCACAGGGTACTGCGACTCGAACTTGTGCGTCTCGAGCGCCAGAATCTCGAGATCCGAGATGCCATACAGACTGGCGCCCACGGCAAACACCTCGGGGCGGAACGCCAGGCAGGCCAAAGTGGTGAATCCGCCAGCACTGCCGCCCATGATTGTCAGCCGCTTGCGGTCGACGCGCCCGATCTCGGCCAAATACAGGGCAGCTGCGCAGCAGTCCTGCACGTCGACTACGCCGAACTGCGGGTACAGGCGTTCGCGGTACTCCCTGCCTTTGCCGGTCGACCCGCCGTAGTTGACGTCGGCCACGGCGAACCCGCGCGTGGTCCAGTACTGGATCTTGCTGCTCAACACGGAGTCGGTTTCGCCCGTCGGCCCACCGTGGCTCAAAACCAGCAGCGGCGGGAGTTCGCCATCGGGCGCCTTGAACTGCTTGTTGGTCGGCGGGTAGTAGTATGCGTAGGCAACCGCGTCCCGGCCGGCCACGTCGAAGGGTGGCAGCTTGGTCGGGAACGTGATCTCCTCAGGCACCGAGATCGACTGCTCGTCGAGCGCAAACGTCTGGGGCGCGGCCGACAGTAGCGCCTTGTTCTCGAACCCATTGACAAAGTACGTGTACAGGTCAGTCTTCTCCTTGGGCCCGCCGGCAAGCATAACCAGCACTGGCTCATTGGTCCGCGAGGTGAATCCGAACTGGAAGTTGCTCAGCGACGTCCACTCGGGAAGCGGCAGGTCCTCGATCTCATGCGTAATGACATTGAGCAGGCCCAGGCGGGTCTTGCCGTCAAGCACAAACGTAACCACCACGGTGTCGGGGCGTCCGGGCATGGCCTGGAATGTGGACACGCCGAATACCCATTCGGGTTGGCCAAACTCGGCCTCCATGGGCATCTCCAAGGACAGCGTCACTTGGCCATCGCTGTTGACGTGGTACGGGATTCCAGAAGCCTGAAATCCGATCCGACAAGAAATGCAGCCGGCCAGTCTCGTCAAAGCGCGGCTGGTAGATGCTCTCGCGCGGCTCGTCCTTGCCGCCAGCAACCACAGTCAGGTTATCGAGGGCACTGGCAATGCCGGCTGCGTCAAAGGAGAGCGTGGCGCGGAACAGCGTCGTCGCATCCCAGTTCATGTCAGGATGGTTCCAGGCGTAGAACGCAATCTCGTCCTTGGGACTGAACACCGGGCTCGACACAAAGTCATGCGAACTGAACAGCACAATGTCCTCTGTTGGCTTGGATTCGCCAGCACCCATGTCACTGGGCAGCGGAATAGCAACCAGTGTGGCCGGGGCGTCAATGTCAACCTCGCGGTGGTCCTCGCGCACAGCCACCAGGAACTTCTTCGACGCATGGATAACCATATTGGCATAGCGCAGCTTGTCGTTCTGCTCGGCAATACGCTTCGGCGCCTGGTCCTTGCTGTTTGTGTCAATAAAATACAGCCCCTGGTCTGACCAGTTGGAGAACACAATCAGGCCGTCCAGGATCGCGTAGCTGCCGCCGCCGTACTCGTGCACCGCCGTGCGCACATTCCACTGCTTGTCGCTGGTGTGCTCGCGCAGAGAGTCGTCCGTGTAGTCGTCCAGGTTTTTGCTCAGGAGCACGCGACGCCCGCCCTCTGACGGACGGGATTCCAGCCAGTAGACCCGGTTCGTGTGCGCCAGGTCCACCTGCACTTCGCTCAGGGACGAGGAGGCCGAAGCCACATCTTGCGCTGATACTGGGCTCTTCCAGCTGCCGTAGGGTGCGGTAGTAATGCTCATTTCCAGAAATATACGGGGTTGCTAAGAATATCAATGCGATGAAGCAGAGAGAGGGCCAGCAGGCGGACTGGCAGCTTTGTTGTCCAAAAATGCGTGTGTGGGAAAAAAAAACAGGCCACCCCTGGTCCGGGAATGCACATGCTGCAGATGTACAGGAAATCTCCCAGTGCGCCGATGCGCAAGGCGCTGTATGTGCAATACATGCTGCATCAACACCGGAGTTGCAACATGCAAGTGTATTAGCGGATCGCAGACACGTCAGAGCTCGGCGGAGCTGGTGACATGGCAGGCTTGCTGGTGATACCCTAGGAGATATTCACGTGACTTTGGTGATTTGATCCATACATATGTTGATCAGTAGATTTACCATCCCAGATGTGATCAGTAGATCAAGCTTATCAGCATCTATTCCCAGCTTCAATCTGTCCAAGCTGGGTACTGTGTTGCAGCGTAAAATCTCCCGCCATAGGGGAACGCAGAGATCAAAAAAACTAAGTGGTGCGCAAAAAGATATCTCTAAATTCGGTCTTGACCGCCTTTTCCCTCCCCTCGCCTTCTCAATTCTTGCTTTTTATTTTTCCTTTTTGCTGATTTCGAGCACCTCTCTCTTCCGGATTGTTGGTAAGGACATTTAACGAACACTTCAGTCAGCTCGAGTAGTTGGGCTGCCAAGATTCAGTTTGGGAGGAACAGAGCACGGACCCGTTGTGACAGCGAACAGCAGGACCCCCAGTTGAGGAGAAGCAGCGCTATCGAAAGGCTGCTCGTCCTAGCTGGTGGGCAGCACGGAGTCCACCCTCAGCGCAAAATTCATACAGCCGAGCCTGATTCTGACTTTGAATTCCCCACCCCCCTTCATTTTTTGTATCGTGTAGACAAACGACGATGTTCCAGACGAAGGCTATCACTAAGCTCGCTGCGCCTATTGCCAGCCGCACCTACGCGTCGGTTGCCAGTGCCTCCAACGGCATCAAGGTTGCCTCGGTCGCCGATGCCTCCGAGTCGCCTATGGCTTCCATCTCTCTTGTTATTAACGCTGGATCTCGCTTCGAGACTGCCGAGAACTCTGGCGTCGCCCACTACCTCAAGGCGTTCGGTTTCCGGGTATGTACATTGAGGACTTTTGACATGCTTATCGCAATGGCTATGGCACATGCGGATTTTTTTTTAGGCTAATCAAGGGAAATGGTATTTGGTATATGTAGAACACCCAGAGCCGCACTTCGTTCCGCACTGTCCGCGAGGCCGAGCTCAACGGCGCCTCGCTGACCGCCGAGGCCACCCGCGAGAACATTATCTACACCGTCGAGTGCTTCAAGGATGCCATGTAAGTGACAAGTGCCCAAACATATGTGGGACATCATATAAATTAAGGCGCTGTGCTCAACTGTTACATACCCACTGTGTAGCCCCTACTTTGCTGATGTCCTTGGTGACATTGCCACTGCCACAAAGTACACCGAGCACGAGTTCAGGGACATCGCCAAGCTGGTCGCCTTCGAGTCGCTCAGCGCCCGCAGCTCGCCTGCCACCCGCCTCGTTGAGGGCGTGCACCAGGCTGCATTCCGCAACGGCCTTGGCAACTCGCTCTATGCCCTTGAGTCCTCGCCCGATCGCCTCGGGTGACGCTGTGCGCCAGTATGCCGAGGCTGCCCTGACTGCTGGCCGTGTCGCCATTGTTGGCACCGGCATCGACTCGGCTGCCCTGGCCGCGATCGTGTCCGAGTCCAAGCTCGCTGCGATCCCCGCCTCGTCGGCATCGACGCTCTCGACCCCTGCCTCCAAGTTCAACGGCGGTGTCCAGCAGATCTACGACTCGGCCTCCCCCGTCTCGCACTACGCCCTTGCCTTCGAGGGTGCCTCGGACGCCGCGACCACCCGTGTTCTCGCCAACCTGCTTTCTGGCGAGCGCCGCCTGAAGTGGAACACTGGTGTTTCCCCTCTGGCCAAGCTGGCTGCCGAGGAGGGCTTCGGCCTGCAGTCGTTCCAGAGCTCGTACTCTGATGCCTCGCTTGTGGGTGTCGTCGTCTCTGCTCCCAACGCCAAGATCCAGGAGGCCGTCGAGAAGGTTCGCCAACACCATCCAGAGCCAGATTGCTTCGCCCAGCGCCGAGACCGTCCAGCGTGCCGTCGCTGCCGCTAAGGTTGATGTCAGCGAGGCACTTGCCACCCGCGCCGGCAAGCGCGATGCCCTGGCTCAGGCTGCCTTTGGCCGCACTGCCGTGGCCGTCGAGAGCGTCGATGCTGCCTGCCGCCCAGGCCGCTTCGGCTGCTGCCAAGACCTTCAAGAGCAAGCCTGTCGGTGCTGCTGTCGGTCTGTCGCAGGCCACGCCGTATGTCGATACCCTTGGCTTCTAGATCAAGGCTGAAACCAAGACGGACTCTTTTTTACAAAGTTCATTCTAAATCTTCTCGCTTTTTCCCACTGGCTTCTTTTTTTAAATCTCTCCATTACAGTTCTGTAGCTCAGCTAGCAAGGCAGAGACTGCGAGGACCATATGCGACTGCTCGTGATTTGGGCCAGACCGCCAACGCTGGGTCTGATCAGGCCAATTAGCGGGCCAGGAACTGGACACAAAAACGCAGTGTGGGATTGTCAACACACTCGCTTATTGTCAAAGAAAAAATCAGCGCCACCTATGAGCCTGCCGTTGCGGCTCTTGAAAATGGATGGAAGCATAGAAGCTGAGAATTTTCGGGTGATCCGAAAATAGCTTTCCAGCTAAATACAATTTTGCAGAGAACACGTTGGTCTTGTCGTCCTGGGCACTTCTTCCCCCGTCCCCCTTTTCTCTCTTCATCTTCTTCCACATGCATTATTTCCCCTCTTTTCCGTCCCTTCCACCCAGCTATCAATAGATTCTCTCGTCTGTTTTCCCGTATTCATATCTTTTTTGTGTCCGTGCACTCTACTCTCCCTGCTGATGCTTGAGCTAGTCAAGTCCCGAGCCTTCCATGTGGAGGTCAAACGCACGCTGGTCGCCTGGGCAGTGCTGTTTGTCGTTGGCGTCTGGATGGTCATCTGCCAACAGTGGTCCGATATGCGGTGGTTGCATCGCCAGCAGATGGACAAGAACGAGATAATGTCACTGCAGCAAGGTGGGAGCACCACCTCGATGCCTAACGTCACGGCACCGTGGCCCTCATATGCGATGCTGGAGGACCAGGTGCTGAACCACCTTCCGATGATGGAGCGCACGTGGATATCCGACAAGCTTGTTGGCACATCAGTAATCATCTGCATGGTGGGCGGCTCGGTAATGGCGCCCGGGTGGCGAGAGCGGCTGATGCTGGTTCGGCGCATCGCCTGGATGGTTGCAGTCCTGTACTTTATCCGGTCGATCACGATCTCGGTCACGACAGTGCCGCCGTCGGTGGCGACATGCGAGATCACGGTGCCGCAGAGCATGATGGAGGTAATTTTGGCGACCCCGGACATCCTGGCTGGAAATATCGGGCAGTGCACCGACAAGATTTTCTCAGGTCATACGGCGATCCTGGTGATTTCGTTCCTGTTTTGGCTCCGGTATGCGCGGCACTGGAGCTTCATTGCGTACAGCGCCATCCACACAACACTTGGCATCCTGAGCGTGCTCTTGGCCCGCTACCACTATACAGTCGACGTTGTTGTTGGCGCTCTGCTGACGTACTTTGTGCACCACATTTACTACACCTCGCTCGACCAAGCCATCCGCCAGCAGCTCTATGTCGAGACCGGCCAGCGCAAGACATCCTTTGTCATTGACGACTTCGAGTCCTCCGAGTACTATTCGATGGTGCCTACTAACCGGCGCGCCAGACGGCGCCTCGACGACAGCAACATTAGGGAGGCTTGGCACGACCACGACAGCGCGGTGGGGGTGGATATTGGCGAAACCCACGCGCAGCCCGCAGCCCCCGCAGCCCCGTGCGGCGAAGCGGCGTTTGGCTTCCGCAAGCGCGAAACATCGTCAACCACATGTACCACGGCTGTGTCGACGTCTGCAGCCGGTAGCACCTGGGCCGAAGAAGGCAGCGAGGTAGACGACTCTGGCGCTACTGCGTATCAGCATGGTGTGTCGGCACGCGGGGCCTCCCCGCAGCACCACGAAATTACTGTGCACGATGAGATGGATGATAGCTTGGGCGCTATTAATATGCCACATGGCGGCGACCAGTTCATGCCCCTAAGCAGCAGGACGTGTATATCTGGGCATTCGAGGCTGGAGCTGCTGGGGATTAACCGGCCGTTTGGATCTATCTTGCCTGCGCTTGTGTCGTGGATGGACGGGTTGGATCTGAGGTACCCGTCGGCACCCGCCGCGTCTCCCTGAAACACACACCGTAACTACATTCATGCGATAACATTTGACTTTCTATTACTCTTTTTTGGAGTGCAAATACCCTATCCTCTGTCCATTCTCCATTGTCAAAACGAGCCCACACAGTGCTAGCAAACGCAATTTCAGCCACTGCCATTTTGTATTTGCCTGCATCACTATCTGTGGGGAAGGGGCTTGTTGAGGGTGACGTCAATCCAGCCCTCCCACCAGCCTTGTCAGCCTTGATTTCTCCACCTACCCACCCGTTGTCATCGCTGTTGAGTCTCCTCCGACAAGATGCTATTGTCTGCAATGGAGTATGGTTCGTACTAAGATAATAATAACCCTATGTCTAGGGCAGGGACGCGTTTTACTGCGTTTTGGTTATTGACAGAATCAGCAGAGAATGCACCACTTTTTGCTGGCGATAGAGCTGGTCGAAAGGGTCCGAAACCTGTGTACGCATTGGCCTGCCTCCTTGCATCTCTTGCATGTCTCTGCTGAGAACAGCTTCTGTTAGGGACAAAGCAGCACTCTGAGCCTTGTGCATTGTCAAATGAGTTGGGCACGTAGCTGTATGCTTACGTAGACTAATCCTATCGCAAAACTAAGAAAAGCGTGGAAACTGCTACAAAACCAATGTTCTATAGTAAGGCGCAGCCATGAGCAGACGCCCCTACCTGCAGACAATGACGCTTTCATCTGTACGGAAGCGCCTTTACGTACCGGAAGGGGGAAACAGCGCTGCCATTACTGGTGTCTGAGCCCCATCCGCTTCTTGGTAACCATGACTGAGTTCTTGTGCCCCTGGAACCTGGTTGGAGGGTCATTCTTTATAGAACTTGGTACTCATACTACACGTAGCGCTGCCACAATCCTGCCTGGTTACAACCTGCCTGTTGATTGTTTTACCATTAAAGAAAATTGGGACGTTTGTCTTTGTTTCGGTACACATTGCTTAGCTGGTACTGGAGTGAGAAATACTTTGTTCAGTGAGAATAGGGGACACGACGAGGCACTGGCGAAGAAAAAAGGCGAAGGAAGGCGAAGGGCTCTCTTTAAACCCCGTTTTCCTTAGCCCTTAATCCGGCGAAGGAAATCACTGCCTGCAGCTCTTGGTCATGAGTAGACTTTCTGCATGCTTGCCGAGTCATAAGATCCAACTGGACAGCGGTCATCCCTATTGTGGAATTGGCCACATATCCGCTTGCAAGACGCCTGGTGTTGATCTGGCTGGGGCTATTGTGTTTTCAAATTAAAGACTGGTGCTGTTGGAAGCAATATGCCAGCTGGTAACAGTGTTCCCCACAAAGCTTATTCATACATTCAAACACGCAGCCGTCCACCACACATAATACTGCACATGCCTCCCACCATCTGAGCACCGGGTATATACTTATTGACATAGCAGAACAGAATGGTCTCCTGTGTGCATTGTTGGTCGGTCAGACTCTGTGTGGCATCTAGTTGCGTTGCAGCTACCAAGTCTGGAATCGAACACCATCTAGTCTATCAAGCTCTATATAGCCTTCCTAACTCTACCATTTTAGCCCAGATACTAGCTGTGCACAATATCCACTAAATGTAGGCGTCAATAATACTTACCAAGTATTGCATGATCAGCTCAAGCTAGCCATGCTGCACAACTCGTGATATTGTGGGCTCTATAGATCAATTGCCATAGGGAAAAGCAGAACTGTGGGATTATCCAACCAGAAGAAGTAGCACCGACTTGCGCTTATAGTGGCTTCAGTCAGTCAGTATGACTTGGGCAGAGTTTATTCAAATTAGAGAAATGATCAATAGTTTAGAACAAATTAGATTAAACACCGGTATGTCCGGTTTTTTTCTCGCTATCGTACTGAGCAATGCGAGCAGCATCCTTGTGGGCCCAAATAGACCCAGTGAAGATGACCTCCATCTCCTCAAGAGACCGGTTCTTGGTCTCCAGGGAAGAACAGATAGATGATGAAGATTGCAGGCAAACATGATGATGGCGAAGATGAGGTCAAGACCCCATGTGATCTTCTTGATCAGGATAGGTGCAACCAGACCGAACAACAAAGTTGAACAGCCAGTTTGATGCGGTCGCAATGGAGCTGGCACGCGAGCGAATGTGCATGGGGAAGATCTCAGCCGGATAGATCCAGCCAACAGGGCCCCACGAGGCAGCGAACGAGATAACGAACAGGTACACCATGACAATGACCAGATACGAGATACCCTTAGGCAGATGCAGGTCGACGCTCCCATCAGATAGCTTCTCCTTGTTCTGAGTAGGCGCCAGGTGGCGACAGCCTGGATGAAGTAGGTAGCACCACACATGAACGAGCCGATCATCAGAGTCTTGACGGCGACCCCAGCGGTCAATCCAGAGGATGGCAGGAATAGGTGGCCAGCATATTGATGACACCGTTGATACCTTGAGCAAGAAGTGAGGCGTTGTCGGAGCTGAGACCGGACTGCTTGAAGATCGAAGGTGCAAAGTACATGATGACGTTGATACCAGTGAGCTGCTGGAGAGCCTGGATGACAACACCAGAGGACGACACGCGGCGGCGAATCGGGTACTTGGCCAGCTCGGTGTAGCTGCGGACAACAGTCTCGCGCTCGAGGCGGACAGCCTCCTTGATATCCTCGAAATTCCTCGATGACAGCAGGATCATTCTCGTCACCACCAGCGCGCAGGCGAGCAAGGCACTTGCGAGCCTCATCGAAGCGGTCGTTATCCACATGAGCCAGCGGGGTGAGTAAGGAATGAAGAACATGGCGACAAACAGGATAAGTGCAGGCACCATTTGGATACCCAGGGGCTAGACGCCACGAGGCGTTGCTCTTGATAAAGTGGCAGCCATAGTCGATCCAGAACGCAATAAGGATACCCCAAGTAATAGACCACTGCTGCAGACTGACAAGACGACCACGAATGGCGGGGGGAGCGACTTCGGACTGATAGACAGGGACGACCATGGACAGAGTACCAACACCGAGACCAGCAATGAAACGACCAGTAATCAGCATGCCGCGGTTAATGGAAGCAGTTTGGATGACAGCACCGAGGATGAAAACGAGAGAGGCAGCCATAATGGTGCGCTTACGTGAGAGCTTGTCGGCGAGGTAGCCGGCACACAGCGAGCCGACAAAGCAGCCAGCGGTAAGAATAGAGGTAATGACACCAACCCCAGTTGAAAGGGGGTGATGGAAATAGTTCTTCCACTGGTCCATCTCCAGAATGGAAGACATGACTCCGATATCATAACCGAAGAGGAGACCACCGAGGGCGGAGATGCCTCCAACAAAGTAGGCTTGCGCGTTTCTACCCATGGTTACGGATTAGTTGAGTACAAGCAGGCAGGGGGGCTTGATGGGTTGTATTAGGCTGCGAAGGAGAGAATAAAGTGTACGATGAGTACAAGTAACAAAACTAGGAGAATTAGGAGAAAGTACTAATAGAGAGTTGAACGGCGTCTGGTAGCGAGAGCTGTGTGGTAGACAGGGAAAGTAGGGAGGTGGGGAGGTGGGTAGATGCCTCGACTTATATAGCATCTGCAAAAGAGTACCCAAAAAGAACTGGGGCACTGCGTCTTCGTTATAGCATTTATCGTCCTACTCTGGTATGCTGTTTATGCTGGGCTGTGCATCTGCGGTGGATCTATGACCAGCTGCCGGCAGTTGGCCCCCGCGCCCACTGCTAGCTGATTTGCTCTGCCACACCACTCGTGTGCATCAGCGTAACATTCAACAAAAAAAAAAAGAAAAATCCAGTTTGACACGAAAGTTCCTTTCACCCAACATAAAGCGACAACGGGTGGGGTGGGTTGCTACCACCGATCCATAGCCCCCTGCTGCATTCTGGCACCAGCCAGGTTCACCAGGCGCCCCCTGGTCCAGCGATTCTTTCTATTGGAGAGGCAAAAATAGCTGGTGACGGGCGGGCCAGCTGGTCAGCATGCACCGATTCCGGCACTCTTTCAATCTCTGGAATTCTATTTTCATAGCTGGTGTGCATCATAGGCATGTAGATCACTGTCACTGGCATGCTCAACTCAACAAACGCTTTTGTAGAGCAGCTGTTGCTGTCAGGAGAAACCAGCTGCATCTTTCACCTGCTTCATGCGTGGCAGATGGCCAGCTAAGCCAAGAAAGAGAGGTGTGCAAGCAAAACCAGCCGGCCTTAGCAATGGCCTCTCGCCGATTTCCTGCTTGTTTCGCCACCAATCCAAGATCGGCCATCTGCAATTGCACAATTCGCCTGTAAACTGTCCCGAGTCGGCAATGTCCACACTCATTCATTTTGCGTTGTCCTCCCCCCCCCGCATTAATCATCCCAGTTTGCTGGCTTGATGTCGATTATTTACTTGAGTGCCAGGGATTCACAGATTCGGTCGGCGTGCTGCCCGAGTTCACTGCCGTGAATGTCGCTTGTGACTGGGAAAACGGCGGACTGTAGTTGGGACTTTTGCACAGGGATTCCGATAGTTTTGCCATTTGCTTTCCGGGACACGCTTCGGACTTCAACCTTGGCAGTTTCTAGCGGCCAACTTTCAGAACCGGTCGCTGCTTTTCAGCAATATTGTCAGCAGCCAGGTTTCCTACATTATGTATATTTAGCATATTGGAATATCGCTGTATATATTATCTTTAGTCACGGCGCACTAGACCGACCCAACAGTGTGAAGACCTTGCAGTTACATATCTTCCACATAATTATCAGAAACTTTACGCTGGAAAAACCGTGCACATTACCAAACCGGCACTGCCCATCTCCCAATTGGGGGTTTTGGGGAGTGCAGGGAGCAGCGAAGCGGTGGGGAAATGAATTACGAATAGGTGGCGATGCATATCGACTGTAGCACAGCCATGCCTGCAATGGGTTTACGCCAGGCTAGTGCTTGCATCGACATTCTAAATAGACAGCACGCCACTAGTTGCCAGTATTAACAAGGTGAAACGCGCAAAAGGGAATCATATAGTTGACAAAAGGAATGAGAAGACAAAGCTAAATTAATATCAAGAAATGATTAGACGTCATCGCTCTTCTCCTTACGGCCGCTATCGTACTGAGCAATACGAGCAGCATCCTTGTGGGCCCATATAGACCCAGTGAAGATGACCTCCATCTCCTCAAGAGACCTGTTCTTGGTCTCCAGGGAAGAACAGGTAGATGATGAAAATTGCGGCAAACATGATCAATGGCGAAGATGAGGTCAAGACCCCATGTGATCTTCTTGATCAGGATAGGTAGCAACCAGACCGACAACAAAGTTGAACAGCCAGTTTGACTGCGGTCGCAATGGAGCTGGCACGCGAGCGAATGTGCATGGGGAAGATCTCAGCCGGATAGATCCAGCCGAACAGGGCCCCACGAGGCAGCGAACGAGATAACAAACAGGTACACCATGACAATGACCAGGTACGAGACACCCTTAGGCAGATGTAGGTCGACGCTCCCATCGGATAGCTTCTCCTTGTTCTGAGTGGCGCCGGTGGCGACAGCCTGGATGAAGTAGGTAGCACCACACATGAACGAGCCGATCATCAGAGTCTTGCGGCGACCCCAGCGGTCAACCCACAGAATGGCAGGGAATGGTGGCCAGCATATTGATGACACCGTTGATACCTTGGGCAAGAAGTGAGGCGTTGTCGGAGCTGAGACCGGACTGCTTGAAGATCGAAGGTGCAAAGTACATGATGACGTTGATACCGGTGAGCTGCTGGAGAGCCTGGATGACAACACCAAGGACGACACGGCGGCGAATAGGGTACTTGGCCAGCTCGGTGTAGCTGCGGACAACAGTCTCGCGCTCAAGGCGGAACAGCCTCCTTGATATCCTCGAACTCCTCGATGACAGCAGGATCATTCTCGTCACCACCAGCACGCAGGCGAGCAAGGCACTTGCGAGCCTCATCGAAGCGGTCGTTATCCACAAGCCAGCGGGGTGAGTAAGGAATGAAGATCATACCAATGAATAGAATGACAGCAGGCACCATCTGGATGGCAATAGGTACACGCCACGAGGCGTTGCTCTTGATGAAGTGGCAGCCGTAATCAATCCAGAAAGCGATCAGAATTCCCCAGGTAATAGCCCACTGCTGGAACGAAACGAGACGACCACGAATAGTGGGAGGAGCGACTTCGGACTGATAGACAGGGACGACCATGGACAGAGTACCAACACCGAGACCAGCAATGAAACGACCAGTAATCAGCATGCCGCGGTTAATGGAAGCAGTTTGGATGATAACGCCGATGATGAAGATAATGCAAGCACCCATGATGGAGCGCTTACGCGAGAACTTGTCGGCGAGGTAACCGGCACACAGCGAGCCGACAAAGCAGCCAGCAGGTAAGCATCGAGGTAATGACACCGACACCAGTCGAACCGGGATGATGGAAATAGTTCTTCCACTGCTTCATCTCCAAAATGGAAGACATTACACCGGTGTCATAACCGAAGAGGAGACCGCCGAGGGCGGAGACACCTCCCACAAAGTATGTTTGTGCGTGTCCCATGGTTGCAGAATATTAGGTTAGGGAGGGAGACGAACGAAGATCAGGAATAGGCGACGGTGGGTAGAGTCGGCTCTGAGATGCTTTTAACAAATTACAACAGAATAGAATAGGGTGAGAGGATTAAAGTGTCGATGGAAGACGCCGCGGGTTCTTGGATTATTCGAGACAAGAATGTTTTTGTGGAAGGCAGAGGACTGGCACTGTTTATATACATCATCAATCCCGCCTTGGCTACGCCTCCCAAATGCGGGCTCCGCCGATGCTGGAGAGTTGCAGTGCGGACAAGCGAGGCGCTCTGCAGAAGGCCTCAGCAGACAATACATCTGTGCTCTCTTCCTGGCAGCAAGGAGAGGGAGTCCCAGAGACGGCTTATTGGAGCGGCTGCCATTCGCACGCGCAGAAAAATGGCACCCATGTCCACCCTCAGACTCCCCGAAATGGGGAAGAGAGCAGGTGTCATGGAACGATTTCTCGGAGTGGCCCCGAGCAATGTCCCTCGTTTTTGCAGGCTATTTTCAGCACACAATCTGGCCAAAAGGCGCATTTCAGCACTGCCAGCAGCGCGAGGAAAGGGGGGGACCAGGAAGCACCCCTCCAGACCCCAGGCATTCCATCTGCGACGCGCTATGGCATGTAAATCCTGAGCTAGTGTGGTGGCCACCTGTATTTGCTCAAAACACACTGGACGGGCGATCTTTATGCATCAGCTCCGGAAACGCTGAAACTAGCTGGATGCCAGCTGTCACTGGAATCCGATTTTCCCAGACTCACACGCGCTGTCTTACCTGGAGTAGATTTTTCTAGCACGGCCAAATACTCGTCGGCCCGAGCAATCTGAATGCCCCCGCCGGTTTGCCCCACAGTGCCAAGATCGGTGCAATAATAGTAACCCATTGTCTGCGTAAATAGGGAGTATATTATGAATGACTCAGGAACCTAGGGCGGCAAATGGAGCAGCTGCCTGCTGTGACAGGTCACTGTCACACTGCCCTCGGCTGTCAGCGCGTGAGCATCATCTAAGGATTAGCAAGTGGCACTTACGCGCAGCATGTTTTGCAATCGTGGACAATCGTAAACTGGATTTTTTTTTCTCACTTTGCAGATGCCACTCAATCCAAGTGAAGTGCTACATGCTTGCTGGACACCCGCCCGTGCATACAAAAAATGGCTTCACCAGCCTTTTGGGTGATAGAATCGACGGCTCCGAGTGGGGGGGTTGAACCCAGCTGAGTAAGCAGACAGGGATCTCGCTTGGCCAACAGAGCCCAAGGCGCCCAGAGAACGACGTGAGCGATTTGCGAACACCCACTCTTTCTGCACCTTGCAGAGAACACACCCAGAAAGGAGCCACATCCATGCACGGTATATTATTCTCAATACTCCGCTGCAAGCGCATCTCCCCCCCCCACCAGATGCCTGTGTGTGGTTTCCAAAAACGCTCTCCCTGTACCCCTATCGCAACGATCGGGCAGCAAAGAACACCCAGAAAACGACAGTGCTTCTGGCTCTACCAGGCATTGGGCGGTCAATGCAATGCGTGTCGTAGCTGTCCTCCTGCGCGGGGTTTCCAATTTTGGACGGAGGAATTGATCCAATTGGAGCAGGATCCGTGCACAGCGAGGTCGTTAGGGGATAGTCCCGTCAGCTTTCTCTTCTCAGTCTGCACCATGCGCTTCAACCAATGTAGCGAACGAGCATACGACTAAGAAGATACAACGTTGAAGTCGCTTGCCGCCTTACTGCACAGGCCGTGCATTGCGCCTGCCCGATTGGAGAGAGCAAAGGTCGGCCTACAGGCTGCCTGTCATCCACCCAACAATTCGCCCGGCCAAATGGGTGATGCTTTCCCCTAAGAGGGAACTGTGGGAGGCTGGTCTGTGTTGACGCCCGCCTTATCGAGTGATGGCAGAGCGATTTCCTGCCCGCCAAAAGCGCAAAGTGGTCGGTGTAAAAAGTCTGCGCTAGGATCAATTACCATTTATTGCGTTTTTGTTTACAGAAGGTGAGATCGACAAGATGGTGCAAATGAATGTGTCTACTTTCGAATTCGCTTCTGCAGGCTCAGCTGCCACAGATTCACATGTACATTGGGTATGTATCTATGCTGCCCCTTTTGGGGAGTTCGCTGCTGTGAACTCTGACTGGTGCCTCTGGGTTGGGAATTGGTAGCGAGCCAAATGTGAACTGCGAATCTGCCCTGTGGATTCAATGTTATTCTGTTTTACATCCCCCACATCCCCACACAGATCAGGAGTGCCATCACGGGGACGCAGCACACTATAACAGCAACAAATGGAGGCAACCAGCACATGACTGAATCTTGCATATGGCCCGGAGTAGGGGCGAATCACCTTGCAGCCGCATGGCGGTGGCTAGAGAGGCAGCGGGCTTTGACATAGTCCGAGAGGTGGCACCCCCGCATATAGTCCTCTCTGCACCATTGATTTCACCAAGCAGGCTGCAGACCAGCCATCGCGCAGGTTTGGCCAGGCGCATTTTTGTGGCCAATTGGACACCACAGCCAGTAGATTTGGTCTCTAGAGCTAGCTGGCGATTTACATGCTAGTCGGCAGGCGAGCGGCGGTGTGTGAAGCGACATCGGATAAGATTGGCGTGCAATAAAACAGCTACCCCTTCACTCGTTCGCCGCAGATGCTGCAGTCCAAAAGCCCGAATACGCCGCAGTCCTCACGCGACGATCTCCCTCAGTTTTTGAAAGAGAGGCTGTCCGTTCTTTGCTATTCTATCATTCAGCGACTGTTGACAGCAAAACACGAACGAATCCCGCTAGCAGCGTGTTCTCGTCCATCTACGCGTATATGCGGGCGGGCTGTGGTCATGCCACTGCAAGTGAAGTTCACACTGGAAATTGTACAGTAGCCACAGGGAGCGCAGCATGAAAGGGTGCAGCATGAGACTCTCGCTGTTCCGCAATGCAGCCACCTGGGCCACATACAAAATACAGGTCTGCGCCGAGTTTGCAAGTGGGAGCAGCACCCAGCGATCTGAATTTTTTTCTGAGCCAGTAGTAAGGCAGGCTCAGAAAAAGCACCTGCCAACGATTTAATCGTGGCCGGTATCGGCCTACCTCGCTATTCCCAACCCCAGTCGCTGGTCGGGCTGTTTCTAGCTACAGTGAAAATCGACCGAGACAAGACAATTCTTGGTCAACACACTCAGCCTATACACTCACCACAAGAAACTATATGCACATATGGAAAATGCAGCATGTGCCTTCTCAGATTCCCCTCCTGTGATCATCTGCAATAACCCGTGAACAAAGCACGGTGCCAAGGGTTGGTGTAGTGGCCTGTGGCTCCTGTCGTTCTCTGCTGCTCTCTGCTGTCTTGCATCAATATGCTTGTTTGTGGCACGGGAGAACGCACAAGAGAATGCACCCGCTCCATATTATATCCCCGAGGCTGGCTGGTTTCTGGTTGGTGTGGCTACAACGTAGATCCTTGATGGTACAGAGATGCGAATAGGTCGCATGCCCCTGTATAGATGGCTCATAGATGGTGAGTAACAGGCCAATCCAACGTGTTGCCTGGGAATAGTGAAAAATGTAGACAACCGGCAGGAATCGACCGCCCCTCCGAGAGCCCACATTTTCTCCAAACTACAACTCACCTATGTGCTACAAGATTTCTTGCAGTGTGGCAACTGGTGAGGCATCGGGCTAAATGAGCAGGATCCGAGCCACTTTTCTCTAGATTGTATCCTGCACAGCATGCGCCCTCCATGCCATGTCTCATGACTGTGGCAACACCTGCCAAACAAAAATGAACCTGCCCAGCGTACCCATCATGGCATGCTGATTTTTTCTGTCCCGGCTATTGACCCAAGCTGAAAAATACATGTCACTGTATGCTGTTGATCTGGTCACAGCCAGGAAGGCATGTCCCAGAATGCAGTGACTGGTACATCATCCGAGACCTGCAGCTTTCCACATGGTTCACACAGATTCGCGGAGGTCCGCTCTGGAACAAGCAGAGATGGGATTATCAACTTGTCAGTTGGTAATAAATTTATTAATCCGCCATCTTGCTTTGCATTAGGACCTTTTTGGCCAAGCATGGATTAATCTGACGAGAACGCGGCGCCAGTGTGTGCCTTGGTGTATGCTCTGGACAAGGACCTGGACTTTCTTCACAGCAAATATGACTATATATCCATGCTATATACTAATATTCGATTAGCAGCGATGCTTGGCCGCCATTTTCACGCGATGCGGTCGAGTACAGCGCCTGTGGACTATCGAGTCTCACTGACATACTACCACCACCACTACTAGCCGCAACACTGCACAGATACGTTGAATCAAACGTGATTGGGACCAAAGTATCAGTGACAACTATCTGCACTGTCTCGCCCATTACCGCTGGTGCATTCAAGCCGCTTACTGTTTTCTCGTCCCAGCCCGCAGATGTGGCAGTCAGAAAGATATTTACAGAACCGGTAGGCGGGAAGGCAAACTTTCCCAGCGTCATAGTGCATTTTGCAACGCGGCTAGAGTTACCAATTACTTCTTGGGGCAAGTCAAACGCTATGAGCGTGAACGAGCGGACTCCTGCATTATCGTAGGCTATTAGGTACGGGGACGAGCCTTGGGGTTTTGATTCAAAGGAGTTGCTGGCAGTGTAGAATGTATCTTTGGATGGTTTGAGTGTTTTGTGCTGCGTACTCAGTGGTGCCGCTAGCACAGAAATCGCGCAACAGGCGATTATAGCTGTAAGAAATAGGCGCATGGTAAACAACATGTAGAACAGCTATACTCAAAAGGACAAGTACAAGAAATTAACTATATTTGGCTTTGGAAAAGAGCGAGAGCTGAAGGCTTTATGTCAAGGGCTAGGACATTATCCAAGAACACTACACCACCTGTGTTCGCAGAAAGACCAGATACAGGATGTCTGAAATCAGTATATCTATTTTTAGATATTTTGATCCTGCACTGGCAGCCCAGTCGATGCGAAAATAATAATTCACTGGGCTATCAGCCGATTAAGATCGCGGCATCGGGGTGATTTATGTGGCATGCCAATGCAGCAGCACATGTAGCGCATGCCATGGTGGGAGCAGTGATTACATACTGCTGCCGTACTCGACAGTCTCTTGCCCAATCAAAACCTGTTTACATAGACAATGGCTCCACCCGCTCCTACTATGTGCGGTGCTTTTATAGCACCGAAAACGGTTGGAGCATGGATACCTCTGCTGGAAGCACATTTTCTGCTGGCATGTGGGGTCGATTAGTCGCAGAAAAGTGTAGCCCGAGAACGCCACCCTCTAGTGTGCTGCAATTTTAGTCGTTTCCGAGCTTTACATGCGCTCTATTCAAGAAGTGCCTTGCTTTGTGCTACCTGCTGCACAAGAACCTTGTGACAAGAAGCCCTTTTTTGCACATCTTCCCAAGGTAAATATGCAGCAGATTGCATCAACAAAAAGCACTGCACAGATCCGCCGTAGAGCGAATAGGAATGGCCTCACCGAACCTCGCCCACCCGACATGTTTTTCTTCTGCCAAAAAGAAATGGACGTGTGCAGCGGAACAAGGGCGTGTCTTTCATTTTGCACATCACCTGCCAATTGTCCCTGGCCATTGGGCATGTACTCAGGGGGTTGCAGCATGGTCGAATGCGGAGAAGAACAATGGCGAGGAGAAAATTTAGCAGCAGTCAATAAGCAAGTGCACGCCTTCTCCTAAGCCTTTCCTTCAGCGAACCTGAAACACAAAAACTAGGAACCAAACAGAGACCAGATGACGCTGGCAAAAAAGATGTAACCTGGTGGGTTAAAGGGCACACAAAACGTGTGTACTGGCGCCTGCTCCTGTCACTACACGCGCATCTTTTTCGCTTTCTCTAATTTTTCATTTCCTGTACTACGTTTCCAAGAAATCACAAATCGTGCCTCTCTCCTCCTGCTTTCTGTCATCAGTATCCTCGCCTCCACCTATTGGTACAATGAAAAGGCAGCTCAGCTATCGGCAAGACGTTGGCGGACACGACTACCCATATCCACCACGGCCACTGGGGCCAATTGACGCGGAAGAGATGGCAAACTGATTCGTCGGCAGACTCTGCAAACAGCCTGTTCAAAAGATGCCTGTCACCACAACCAAAAAGTCAGGTTTTCCCGCCTCATAGACATTCCAGTTATAATATACAGTAAGAAACGGTCACTCATAAACTGGCAACTTTACTCAGAAATGTTTGGGCATCCGCCAGTGTCGCCTTGGGCTGGTCAACGACACACACACATTCGAATTGGCACCGATCCATACCTGCAACCCACCCCTTGTCCTGCATGCGGGCACACACCACCGCCCCACCACGCTGCTCACCCTGCACGACCGAAATTGCCCGCCTGACATTCGATGCCAGCCCATTGCCGCTGCTGCGCACATCGTCAGAAACGTAGCCGGCAAAACTTTGGTTCATTGGCAGAGGACCGTCGTGCCTCCAGTTCGTGCGCGCCAGCTGGTCTGTCTTGTCCATATGGATATAAGGGGGGATCCTGCGGACTTTGGCCTGCTGGATGGCCGTGCGGCGCTTCGCGGATATGTCGGAATGGTCGCGTTGTGTGGCTGACTGGAGGCTCTCTGCGTAGCGCAGGATGGCATTTTCGATCTGCTGGCAGTCGTGAGAGCTGAATTTGACAGAATCGAATGTCTCGCGGCGCATGCCGCCGTTGCGACGGCCGCGTCTCCGGCCAGCTCGCCCAACAGCTTCCTCTTCTTCGTTGGATTCGGCAGGGCGTCCAAAAACAACAAACAGGAGATCGCCAAAGCGGTACACAAAATGCCGAGCCACAGCGTCCCCCACACATAGGGGCATTTCAGCTGGCACAGGAGAAGTTGCGGCGCCCTCGGTAGCCTGGTACATTAGCTTGACGAGCCGTGTGTCGTATTGCATGCCGGGAATGGCACGGGGGGCCAGTACTACACCACGGCTCACGTCGACATCTATTCCGTGCTCATATACCTCGGGAATGCCCTCTTCCATCGCCTCTTCAAGCCTGCTGATAGTCTCCCCCTTGCTCGCACCCTCAGCATCTAGGTCATCTGCAAGAATGTGCTCGGGGCGCTCATTGTTTTCAGGCTCCTTTCCTACCTGCGGTAGTCCGGGAAACGCCGACGTGCCAGTGAACAAGAACGTCGACGCAGGGTCGGTTCCCGAGGGCTCAGACTCAGACACACCGTTGCTGTGGATCGATGGCAGCCTCGGTGATTCGCTAGACCCCCAATTCCACCAGCTGCTTCTCGATGATACGCGTGTGTCGTCACGCAGCTGCATTGTATCGGTGGTGACTACACTCGAGTTGGACAGAATCGAGGCTGCACGTGAGTGGCTCCTGGCACGCAAAGGCACCCCAAAGTTCATGTGTGTGTTGGCCCTGGCCCTGCCGATCGTCGCCGACACTGACTGGCGAGACAGCGCAACAGTGGCGGTGGTGCGCACAGACGCCATCGACCTGATAGAGTGAATAGACTCGGCATCAGAGTCCAGGCCGTCATTAGGCACGTGGAATTGCTCGGGCACAGGCTCGCCAGACAGAAACACAGGGTCCACTTCTGGCGGCGTTGGCGGCCGTGGCTCTACTAACATGTCGACAGCGCGCGACAGCACCTGCGAGAATCCGCCATTGCCGACCTCTATCTCTGACTCGCTGCCTGTACTGCCTCTGCTTTCCGTCCCGGTGCTTTCTTGTCTGAGCGCCGACTGCTGCTGCTGCTGCTGTTGCGATGGGGGCTGTGGCTGTGGCTGCTGCTGCTGCTGTTGCTTGCCCCATCCAAACAACCAGCTACTGCCCCAAGAGCTCTGGCGCGCTGTGCTAGGCTTAGCAACACCGAGAGCTCGGTGGGGCGGTGCTGCATGGCTCTTGTATTTTGCTTCGGTTGCGTGTGCAAATGCAGGCACATAAACGACACGGGACCAGGCAACTATCGCACGAAGCACCTTGTGTGATTTGAAGCTGCTCCATACCACCTCGTTCCCGTGCCAAAGCACGACCACGTCATTAACAACTGCGTCCTCGTCGCCGATTGACGACATATCTTGCCACAGCTCGTCGAACCCACCCAGGCTGATTGGGCCGACTGGAAGCTGTGGCAACGGAGACAGTGAATGCAGGAGATCCAGCTCATCGCCATGTTTTCTGTCCCACCGCCTATCCCAGCCCCACACGGTTCGCCCAAAGAACGAGTCCAGCTGGCGAATGACTTTCTGTCTCCCTCCTCGCAGAGCTCTACCAACTGGGCCAAACAGCAATCGGAACGCCTGGTATTCTGCTTCGAGCCACGGTTGAATCGCACGGTCATCGAGCTCGCTATCGAGGAATTCAACGGAATACGCATCCTTCTCCTTGCCAAACGGAGTGACTTTGCGTGGCAAAACTATCGACAGGTGGACGATGACCCCTTCTTCAGGCGTGAAGATAACAGTCCGCCGCTTTTCCGAATGCACAACGTGAAACTGGTTGCTGGGCGAAAATGTGTCTGCAAACATAACCAGTGCTGATGCTAGCCCGATCTCCCGCAGCTTCGTATCCAGCGACACTACGCGCTCACGGTTCCCGTGGGGCTCAGTGGTGCTGGCATGTGCACGCCCTGGGCTGTGCGATTTCACAGTGCCGCTTCCCGATGACCGTCGCCGAAGGTGTGCGGTCCGCGAGTAGTAGTCGTTGGCCGAGTATGGGTAGAATGCAGGGAGCGTAGCGGCGGCATAAAACAGGAGCTGCTCATGTGTGGAGTCCTCGGTTGCGCCCAGCGCGGGACAGAATACAGCAAAGTGCGACAATGCCGGCGGATATACTGTCGTCATTGCCAATGCTTTCGCACAAAGAACTTGAATTGCAAAGAAGGCCAAGAAATGTGAAAGAAAAGCCGGAGGCGGTCTGTTTGTAGCTGGAAAGCGTCTACATCACGCCTGTATGCCCACAAAGGCCGCTGATCTGATTTGGGAAAATCCGAGCTGTGTTGTTGCCTGGCTGTCCTCGGGTGACTATATTTAGCCTCACCTGTCGGACCCTTGACGGACACCGTCAGCCAGCTCCTGTCCCTCTTTTCTCTTTCGTTCATTTTGTCCCAGCCCTAGCATTTTTGCCCCTTATTATTAGAGATAGCCATGAAGGCAACGGCCATTTACGCGTGCATTGCTGAAAACCCTGGGGAGATCACATTCGATGCTGGCGACATCCTGACTAGCGTGCAGCCATCGAGCGAGGAAGGCTGGTTTGAGGGCACTGTGGCGGGCCAGCGCGGCCTGTTCCCAGTAGTCTACGCAGAGCTGACGCCAGAAGCAGGCGACAGCATGGATATTTTGGCCAAGCTTCAGAAGGACGGTTTGCTGTCATCTACACTGCAGTTGGAGGCATTCAAGCAGGAAACTGAACCCATCAGAGCTGCTGCTCCGGCTCTGCCGGTCAAACCAGCGCTGGCCCCTAAACCAACACTTGCACCAAAGCCTGCGCTGGCTCCTAAACCCACACCAGCGCCCAAACCCCCGCTGGCTCCCAAGCCAGCAGTCGCGACAAAGTCATTGTTTGGCGGCAAGCCAACGGTAGCACTGAAGCCCCAGTCGTTCAAACCAGCAGCTCCACAGCCAACCAAGGCCTCACCGCCCCCTCTGCCACACAAGCCGCTCATTTATGACACCAGCAACACCAGCGACCGCCATCAGAAGGAGCGCGATGCTGCTGCCGAGTGGGAGGCTAGGCACCTAGGCAACAAACCAGCGGTGGCTAGCAAGCCAGTGTTTCTCGCAAACAAGACGCAGAATGGATCAAAGCCGCTACTACCTCAGAAACCAGCACAGTTAATCAGCAGCGTCGGACAAACTACAGGCCCTGCGTTCGAGAATGATGCGCCAAGTCTGCCGTTTGATGCGAAGCGCAGGCCAATCCCTGCACCGCAGAAGCCAATTGTGCAAAAGCAGAACCCAGCTGTGGAAAACGATGCGCCAGCGCTGCCGTTTGATCCGAAGCGGCGGCCGGTTCCACCGCCAAAGAAACCGGTGGTTCAGCTAAGGAGTCCTTCGCAGGAGAACGATGCGCCAATGTTGCCGTATCACCCAAGTAGGCAGATTGTACAGGAACCAGTGAAGCCAGTTGAAGATAACATCCAGCCACATCCAGCAAACCTCATCAGCAAGTTCAGCGGTGCGGGATTCGAGGACAACTTTGATCCGAAGGCGCATATCCAGCAGCAGCAGCAGCAGCGGCAGTCCAACCAGCAGCAACCGGCCCCGATGATGCGCGGCTTGTCAGCTGCGCGGTCCGTGATAGCCCCACCACCAGCAGTCCCCGCTGCAGCTTTACCCGGCGCGTACCAGCCACCGCCATCGACTTTGGTTGGCTCAGGAAGCATCCCACTCACTGCAGCAAAGGAAGTCAAGGGCACTGGGGTCCTGGGGCGGCGTCCAGTTCCTTCCCTGCCTCAAAAGGCCTCTTCCCTACGCGCGGTGCCACCCACTCCCTTGGGTGGCAGCCGCAGCAGCAGCGCATACTCATACAACTCGGCAGCTCCTTCAGACACGTCATCCACTTACTCGACAGTGACAGTGCCACAGCCGCCACCAAAATCCGATGCTGCTCGCCGCGCCATGACCATGCGCAGCCCCCAGCAAAGCGCTCCCAGCTTGGTTCGTTCCAGTACTGCTGCCCACCAGCAGGCCCCACGTGCAGCCTCAATCCAGCACAGCACATACTCGGCCGCAAACGGCACCATTCCCAGCGACGCTCTTGTCCGGTATGGCCATCTGTTCAAGCGGCTCGATAAACAGGGGAAACGACTTGGGTATCTGACGTCTGACCAAGTGCAGGCAGTAATTGGGCGGTCCCGCCTCTCGGACGACCAGCTGCGCCGCATCTGGGCACTGGCAGACCGCAACCTCGATGGGCAGTTTGGCCCCGGCGAGTTCTTTATCGCCATGCACCTTGTCGACTCGGCACTGCGCAACGACCCAATCCCAGCGACGCTGTCAGTTGATCTTCTCAATTCGGCATATGCCAAGTAACATAGCGTTATATCCCGGTTTCATTTTAAAGAAAAATATAGTCCGTTTAGAATGTCCGGGACCGCCAGTCCGCTATCTCGTCTATGTCACTCATGTCTGAATCTGACCCACTTGATGCCGCATCAGCCTGCTCCTCGTTCGTTTCTATCTGGCTCACGTCCATTTCCTTTAATCCCTCTTGAATGACTGCTCGCATCTTGGCCAGTCTCTGTGTCCTTGCCTTCCACTCCCGGTCCTTGCGGTCTAGCTCGTCGATTGCCGACTTTTGCATATCTGCCTCATCGGTCGTGCGCACAAGGCTATTCTCTTCGGCGAGATCGGCTATCTCCGCCTCAAAGCTGGCCAGGTCCTTTGCCAGGTCCTTCTTTTGCTCGACACGTATCTGGCCAACAGAGGTTTTTGTCTCTGCAGCTTTTTGCTCGGTTGCGCTGTCAAAGAACCCCGCGGGCAGAGCAGGCTGGTCATTTGGTTTCTCGTCGTCCATTTGGACATCTGGGTCTTCTTCTGCCCCATCTACCTCAGGCTCTACTCCAGCATCAAAGAACCCTGCAGGTAGGCCATTGGCCTCGTCAGCTTGTTCCTCTGCCTCTCCTTCATTCTTTGGTTCACTCTCGTCCTCGCTGCCGTCACTACCATATTCGACAAGTGACAGGGCTGACTGTTGTTCTGTAGGTGTGTCAACTTTCAACCGCTTTACTTCAGTTGCCACCTCCTTTACGTCATCTGTATCTGGAAGTGGTCGTTTTGATCGTGTGGGCTCGTTGTTGGTGGGTTGTTTCGGTAGTGGAACTGGCCGTGCTTTGCTTTGTGCCTGTTGACGTTTCTTTTGCTCTCGCGCTTTTCGAAGCAGGTCCCGTGCAGAATTTTTTACCATGATGTGTTGGCAGAATGTGAAAGTAACGTGGGTGTATATGAAAAGCACAAAGGAATAGCCAGGTAGATAATTTCTAGTTTGATTATGTACTACTCTTAGTGACCCATGGATATTATGGTGTTGTACGTGATGTGATTTGGTGTGCTGTGGTTATTGCTGCAATACCAAACTCTGGTTTGCTGTGGAAAACGCTAACTTCTAGCTGCTTTTGATGATATACAGAACGGTACCAGTACCATACATATCCTAGGCAGTATCAAACAACAGCGGAGCCCCCGCCCCATTCCATCTGACGTACGTCCTCTCGTGCTCTTCCTCATAGACAACATTGGGAAGAACAACTCCCAACTCACAGCTATCGATTATCGGCCTTCCTGTTGCCCCCAGCCGGCCCCAGCATGGATATGCGAAGTTGTGGCAGCCCACGTATACCCATCTGTGGTGTAATGGACAGACCCTGCTGCGTGGGTTGCAAATCGGAATAGGGGCTACTAGACATGCGGTGACTTTGGTAAAGTCGATATATCTCAAGTGCTTAACGACCTCATGTGGCATATTCAAATTAAGTAGTGCTTGTCCCAGCGACATGCTAAATTCGGTCACGAGCTGGAGAATGCCGATTTCATATGAGGGTTCTGAACAAACAAGACATTCTGAATGGCACCCCATTTTGACAGTCTCAGATCAGCCAAGTCCACCACCAGCCACATATAACTTACATAGTACAGCAGTATAAGCTTGGAGTTCATACCAGGATGCACGGGGCTAACAGTAATCCGTACACCATCACTTTCCAGCCGCTATTGCCCTGGGCTCTCTCTCTGTAGGTCATAGTTTTTGACAAAGATGACCTCAGTACCCATTAGAAACCTTCGCTGCACTCGATCCATGTCTACTTGAGATGCTGCCACCACAACTTCACACAGCAAGTGTGCTTTCACAAGACTGTCAAACGTGACTATGGTGCCATCTGGGGCATTTTCGACTTGTAAATGAGTGATGTGGATTCCTCTGTCAGGAAATTCGATAGGAGGTAGCAGCAGTGGGTTGAACACATAACTATCTTCTGAATTTACACTCATCTCGTCGTCAGTGACAACTATAAGCGGAACTGGATTGTACGTTGAATTGACCAAGTGCTGGGTCACATTTGTGCCATAAGCTTCTTTTGGATGAGTATTTCTTACTTGGCAGTGAATGGCAACGACTGTTAAAGGCGATATTTCGATACACATATGCCATACTAGTAACAGCTAATGTTCCGACCTTGGTTCCCTGGATGCATCGACATATATTGTAACTCCGAAGCATCTACGCACTATCTCGAAGACACGGTATATCCCCGTAGTTATATGGCTCCCAGTCTACATCAAACGAAAGTGGAACCCTGACACCATTCCACATGGCATGTGTATGCCCAGCCTCAACAGAGTAGCTGATATCTGGGATGACGACGCCCAGCTCGTAGTTGTTAATGTTGGGCCGCGATGTATCCTTCGGCCGGCCCCATGCCCCTTGTGTAAAGTTGTGGCTGCCCAGGTAGACCCACCCATGGTCTTGTGCCCTGCCCAAGCGCGCCATAATGACCTTGGCATGGGTGGCGACCCGCGGGGAAGAGGCCCTGATCTTATACAACCGGTCTCTGGGGAACGAGGGGTTAATGTACATGCTTCGCATAAACACCAGGCTGCTGCGGCTCTGGCTCTCGTATCTAAATTGCTGTGCCTGGTCCTCTGTATGGAACCCGATATATACACGCACGGCGCTTTTATCCATATACCATCTGGACATGCTGTTCAGCGACTGGGGATCTGGCCCCTGCGCGCATTTATAAAACACCGTCAGGTATTGTTCAGTAATGGCACTCATCGAGGTTCCGTACACATACAGGTTCAAGCTGGCATTGTCGACAGCCGGCATATGCGGCTTCATTTTATGCACAACCTGGGCTAACCGGCTGATTCCGTAGTGTGTCGAATGGTCGGTGCTGCGCCGGTAGCTTGTCGGCACAGAGGCAACGAGGTGCACGGTGACCTTGCGAAAATCAATATAATTCAATTGCGCAGCTGCTTGGCTTGGCACGCTCAGGTCCAAAAGCACCTCCGTCAGTGATATCCCAAACTCGGTTGTAGGCTGGGGCTGGTTGGGCGTATATGGCAGGTCCTGGATAAACAAAATGTTTTGGATTATACTCCAGTCAACCGGGATAAGGTTTGCTGAGCCTACCACCAATCGCACATGCGTGTCATAGAACAGCAGCATGAACTTCGAATGCACAATAGGGTACATCTGCCGGGGGTTGAATTCCGGGTGAACTATCGTCAACATTCCACGGTCAAACTGCATAGCCCCTCTGTGCTCTGTCTTCGGATTGTAGTTCTCAACCAGCACGATTTTTGTCTCTGACCTAAACTTGCCGGTTAGCCATTCCATATCCACAACATAGGCTGAGAGGATGGCCTTGCGCAGCTTCTCGGGCTGTACCAAAGCTTCGAATGTAATCATGTCGTCGCTAGCTGATCGCTTATCCTGCAAGTGCGTGGTACGGACGGTTCCGTAGGGATAACTGAGCAATGGAGTAGCCGACAGCCGACCCTGTTTGCCCGTGTCAGGCAGGATATCCTCAGCCTCAGAACCACTGTCAGAAGTGTCATCAGAAGATATAGCAATTACATCATCATCACCGTCATCGATATCGGAAGTATCGGAGATGGAAATAATGCTATTCGCTGCCCCTGCTTCGCCATTTAAGCATGAGGTTGATCGTGTGTTGAGGTAGGGTGTAGCTCCACGCTCTCTATCGTTGTCCATGTTGTTTGGCATTGCGAATAACTAAAAGATAGGCGGTATGAATATGTGATGAAGTAATTTCTGAATAACTGGTGTGAATACTGAGAGCTGAAAACCGATGTGGTGTGGTCACCACAACTGCTCCAGTCGAACAATTATGCGACATAGCCGATCGTGGGCGATGAGTCTGTACAACTACCGGTCTAGGCTACATCCCAAGCAATCGAGCAAGCCATAAAAACAGGTACCGGGTCGCTCTAGGAGTGGCCCTGATAGGATTCATCCATAAATGCCATTGCATCTAGTGGACACTAATGCTATGGAATCGATTGCTATTCAGTGCGAGAAATCTTGTCGGAAAAAGGCAGCAATTCGAGCGACAGCCGGCCCAAATGGCATGTGCTCGACCTTCTGCCCTGGCTGAGTGCTCGAGTGGGCCATCCATGACGGCAGCTTGCTGGAAATCCTGCTATCTGCATACCTGCTGTCCAAAAACACGATTGCAGCATAGTCATTCTTGTGCCGAATCGCCCGCCCAATAGACTGGTTTACGGCCCTCATACACAACGACTCGTACAGCTCTCGCCCGCGCGGACCCATCTTCCCTGCCGCCACCCCACTTGGTGCTGTGTTCGCGGGTTCCCCCATTGACTCGTAGAAGGCAATGCGCTCGGCGAGCTCTGGTGAGGCAAGGTTAGGGAACGGCACGCCGATCATGACGACAGCACGGCCCAGGTCATCGCTGAAATTAATGCCTTCGCTGAGCTTGCCGCCAACCACGCTCAGCAGAACTGCACCAGTGGACCCCGGTGCATGTACGCGCTTCATGTAATTTGGCAGCATGTCCTGGAGATTCGCAGAATGCGACTCGCAGAACACCGGCTTTTTCCTCTCGATACGCTGGATGATCCCGTGCTTTGTCCATTCGGCAAACATTTTCCCCAGCAGGGCATACGATGGGAAAAATGCGACCACCCCAGCCGGGATCACATTGCATAGGCTTGCCAGTGCCAGGCCGGCATCGCGGATCCGCACCATATCTGACTGGTCCTGGAACGTAAATCTCATCGGCTGGCCCGTCGGACCGCTGTCCACCACCAGCTCCTTGATGTGCGAGCGAGCGACCACATGCTCCCATGCAAACAACCTCGCGCTATGTGGGTCAAGCTTCTTCCGGTGCTCATCAGCAATATCCTCAGTTGACATACGCCGGATATCAGGGAGCAGCTGTTCGACGATGTCCGTAGCTGGCTTCATGGTGCCACCAGCCAAGATCACTGCGCGTGCCTCCCTGCGAATCTCGCCAAAGGCCTCAGACGGATCTAGCAGCAGGTACTTGAGCTCGACTGTGGGCTTGTCTTTAGCCAGTGTACGCACAACAAGACGGGCCCCGGTCCGGTCCGGTCTCCCAATGCACTCCATGAACGCCTCAAGCGACGCAATCCCCGAAGCTGGCGCAGACAAAATGGCTGGTTTGTCGCTGCCAGCCGTCTCCATCGACTCCACCCTCCCCCGCTTTGGTGCAGCCTGGAGTTCCTCCAAATGGCGCCTATCAGAAAACATGTTCAGCTTGCGCCCTAGCTTGCTTTCGCGCAGATACCGGTCGATCTTGTACACATTTATGTGGTCTGCATGTGCGCGCTGCAAAAAGTCGTTCACTGACAGGACACTGGTCGACTCCCCACCACTGGCAACCCCATGCATGTACTTGCGCAGCGCCTTCAGCAGCGCCAGTGTCTGGCGGATGTACACGGTGTTGCTGCCTTTGAGGCGGCGCCAGTACTTTGAAAAGTACATCTGCACCATCTCCTCAAGCCCCGCAACAGTGTGCAGGTCGATTGTGACCGAGTGGATGGCGAGGATGGTGTCCACCAGATTGTGCGCCTCGTCAACAATCACCACATGGTCTTTGAGCGATACACCCATGGACTCGCGCGCGCTCTTGGACAGCAGCATATTATACGGCAACGCTACGACCTGCGCCGCACGCACGGCATTCCGCGATCCATAGTACGAGCAAACACCAGCCCTCCTCCCCTCCTTTGCCAAATCCTCAATGTCCATGATTTTGCTTCCGATTGAGTCCTTGAAATCAAGCATCGGCGTCTGCAATGCTGGTAGGAATGGACACCGCCTCTTCTTTGGGTTCTGCTGCATCTCCAGACACCGCTCGTTAATTGGATGGACGGCTTTGCAGCCATGGCGTACCGAATCGTTAATGCACAGCTGCCAGCGCGAGCCCAGCGATACGCATTTGACACCCCGGCGGGCAAACTCGGTGCGCCTGATTTCGCCGACAAACTGCTGTAGCTGCGAGTGCGTGCGTGAGGCATAGTAGATTTTGGTCACATTCGGCTCCTCGGGCGGCCCACCATCGCCCCCATTGTCACTGAGGTCAGATTCGTCGGAGCTGTCGAAATACGGCTTGTTCTCCGCCCGCTGTTGCAGCAGCCTGCGCACATTGTCCGAGTACCGGACCTCGCTGTCATCGACATTGTCCTCGGTCGGCTTCCTGGCCATGTCGTCGCTATAGTACGCATCAACAACAAGCTCGCTATCACTATCCACCTCCGTCTTGCGCTTCAGCCCAGCCGTGCTATTGCCAGCGATATGTCGGTAATTCGACCTCCGCTGCATTGCCTGCTCCTGACTGCGCACTTTCTTCACCCAACTATCGTACTTGTCGCCGGCATCCCCATTATTGCTTTGGTTGAGCCGCTTGCGCTCAAACTCGACCACCCATGCAGGCGCGTCGGTGGCTGGTAATTCTCTGGCGGGCGGGCGCTCTGAGTTGTGCTGGAGCCATGTGAGCGCGCCGCAGATAATGCTGAGCGACTTGCCGGTGCCGGTGGGGCTTTCGAATATGCCGAAATCGCCGTTCTCGATTGTCTCGAATAGCCGTCTCATGAAATCAAGCTGGATGTCATAAGGGGTCATGGGGAACGAGTATTCTTTGGCTGTCTGCGGTGTCGGCAGACGCCCGTCCGCCAATGCTGGCTCGGTTGGCATGTTGAGAAATAATTGAAATTTAATTTTACAAAGGATCGATTTTTCTACAATGTAATTTTCCAAGCTGCTAGCTATTATACGCGATAGCTCGGGCGTAGTACATTTTGGATCCCAGCCCCAAGCTTATCTGCAATATGGTTCCCTTCATTTGATTATTCATGGCTTTGCAACATTGGCCTCCCAGATAATCCTCGGTGCATACAGTATTCTTCTCTCTCGCTTCACAGCTACATTATCGAGATATTCCTCGATGACAAATGGCTGTTTGCCATGTCACAAGTGCGTATTCTCCATATTTGCCAGCACCCAGTATTGAATAGAATGCAAGTGGCAGATCGCATTGTGCTTTCCAAAAGTAGGAGTGCACGTCCTCCCATGCGCCTTCCCTCCTTTCCAAGCCAAAAGCAGGAAGAAATAGGCCATCTGAAGCAACGACACTGTGGCAAAAGAGTCTACAAGCTAAGCCTGAGGGATCAAGTAGGTATGTCATGAGCTGTAGCTATTGTCGGTACTCACAAATACATGCGGAACTACCTCCAATACCCGCTCGGTCAGTTCCGAAAAAAGGAAAAGGAAAGAAAAGAGGAAAGAGGAAAAGAAGAGAAGAGAAAAGTGATTGCATGAATGCGCTGCCAAGACCTAGGAGGCGCTCTTGTCTAGTCACCTGAAACAAAAAGATTTTTCTCTCTCAATACCATTGAACATGCTGGGCCCAAGTGCAGTTGGTATGGAAATTCAAAAGGAGACAAGTGCATCCTCCATGAATGCGATTTGGAGGCGCGCCTCATTTTATTCACCAAGTACTTTGTCCTGCCCATTGCATGAATAGAACAAGTAGCAAAACATCCTGCTTGTAAAGCCATGGGGAGTCTTCGCCACATTCATGCACCATGTGTCCCTTGAAGGATCACTCCTCTGCTACATCTCAAGCATTCGCCGGCTGCATCCCCATTTTTCTTCATGACTCGCCATGGCGGGTACTAGATAAACGATTTCCGTGTTTTTGTTTTCGTTTGTTTGTTTGGTAGAGGAACAAACCCGCTGCCGGGCATGTGGTTCCTATATATCGCATGGTCACCTCGGCTTTAGTCGGGATTTCATCGCTTTCTGTTGTTTTCCGCCTACCCCCTGTCACACATACACTGAGGGTAAGGGTATAGATAGGTGAGGCTTGACTCCCCTTTTTCGTATATAGACCAACAGCTGCCTTTGCCCTCTCAACCCTAGACATTCCTTCTCCGACTCAAGTCCGGCCCTTTAGATTAACTATCTCTTGTATTTTTAATTCCTCCTTTTCACTTTTTCTGTCTAGCATTAATTACGCCGGAATCGAACTGGCTCCTGGCTGATCGAGAAATAAACGATATTGGGTTCTTCTAGGTCCTCCCCCTCTCTGGAGATTACTCCCTGATATTACTTTGGATCTTGACTATTTGAATTTCCCCGTTTTGCAAAAAGCGACCAGGGTATATATATCCATTTTTGGCTCCCTCCGGGACATTGTTCACTCACTCACTTGGACTCGTTAAACCTCAATTCAGTTTCTATCTACAACACTATCGGATACACTTTTATATCGCTATGCCCAGCATGCCCTTCACACAAAAACAGCACCTTGGAAAACAGATCATGCGCACGTGCCGCGACTACCCGCCACCCCCCAGACCGCCCATCATGTTTGAGTAGAACTGCAGATACTCATGGTGTGGGGGGAAGCACGCTGGCCATCTCCTCTCCCCCCGCTTTGGTAAAAGAAATGTCTTCATGTTTGTGTATATTTTTTTAAAAAAAAATCTACATCACAATTAACGCACTAGCCATCCATGGCATGATGATCCACGTCTTTGTCTCCAGAAGGGTATCATAAGCGCAGACACTTGCGAATGTTAATCAAGCCCAGCGTTCCAGCCTAAGACATCCATTCCAAGTCAGCAAGGAGCCACCCTGGCTATGGCGGGACAAAGCGATAATATCCGTCTTTAAGGAAAACACCCAATGTTTGAACCCAAGGGGGCAGGAAACGCGGTCGTGTAGACACTCATTCTGGGGCCGACTAAAATAGGGTGTATGTGCCTAGTACCTGGCATCTGTTAATTGCGATGTCAGCTAATTGGAGGACGGAGTTATGAATAGCGCCAATTTTGGTCAATGGGCGATTGTGGACTACGTCTATTTAATTGCGCATTTACGTGCTAGTTTCCATCGGCACCTCTTGAGGTAGTAGAAGACGACAGTGGGCAGAACCCCAAATCAGACAATACACCAACCCTTAACCATACTTTGACTAATCGCCCCACATACAACAAGAGGAGAAAGGGCTTTTACTTCTTGCTACCCAATTTCCAGAACAGCGTATTCCATTCACCAGCATTTCTCAAAAAAAAAAAAAAAAAAAAACTCTGCAAAGATAAGGCAGAAGCTAAAAAGGGAGCAAGGATGCGACGCGCAGTAACAAATAGGCGGCCAAAGCACACATGGGCATTAGATCAGATGCGCAGCGCCGCGCAGTCGCTGCAAACCGACAGCGGCCCAACCCAGGCACCGCTAGCAGCGCCAATTTCTGCGCTCCGGCAAATGGTCCAAAGCAGCCCGTATGTGCAGCAGCTGACCAGCGGCCAGCGCACATGCAACTACACACATCTGCAGCTGCCGCGGGACCTGCGTCTGCGGATCAAGCCCAAGCTCCACCCGACCACAGGGCGGCCGCAGCTGACAGTCGACGAGCTGGAGGGCCATTCGCGCGTGGCGACCAAATCCACATACCTGCCGATATCCGCCCGGCATTTGCATCAGGCGCTGAATGACCCCTTGTGCTATAGAATGGCGTCGGGGATCGGAGCCGTGCGTCCCGATATCGTAGAACATGCAGGCAAGGTGTTGCAGCTGCGGATCCTGTCGGCTATGCACCGCATGCATCTGCAGTTCTCGCAGCACGCCAATCCGCCTGCGCCGCTGGTTATTCCAGAGAAAGGCACGACATTTGGGCAGCCGAGGTCGCGACTGGATGTGATTAGAATGGAGGTCGATGGGCGGGTTCAGCGCCAGGACGCCCGGTGGCAATGCATGTATCCGCTGGTGGAACTGCCGCAGTCCCATAGCATTGACTGCGTTTTGCCGGCAGCAGGGCTACAATGCATAGTGCGGTTGCCGCCGCCGTTGCCATATACACGGCTGGCCATCAGCGACCAGCCGTTGTCGGTGTCGTCGGAGGCCATGGCGAAGAAGGTCTGGAAGACCCTGCGCAAAATGCATGGAAACTACGAACCGATCGAGTATGATGTTTTGGCGCAAATTGACTGGCTTGCGGTGCAGATTGCCGGGCGGCCAGAGCCGCACAATGAGCCGACGCTCAGCATGCAGGCGCTGGAGCAGCTGTATCACTGGCTGCCGGTGCTCACCCCGGGGCTGCATGTTGATGGACCAGTAAACCACAAGGGCAAGCGGGGGAAGAAGCTGCGGGCCATAGATAAACAGCCGGAGAATGCGTGGCCCAGGCCATTCAGATCAGAGACACAGCTCACGTATCAGTTTTCGCTGGCCGAGCCAGGGCTCAAGTACGCCCATGTTGATGGCGCCAGAACCAAGGCGGTGCCGGTGTATGATGGCGAGCGGATGTTTGGCAGGGAGATTGCTTCGACTGTTTTGCCGTGGCTGCTGGCCGCACGCGTGTCAGGAAAGGCTCGGCAGGGTGACCCAGATGTGCCGCATCGCGATATCGGAGTGGTGGCTTTGCCGTGCACAGCGGACATGGCTGCGCAGCTGCACAGACTATCAATGTATGCAGCGACAGAAAAGTAAAAAAATGATATTCAGAATAACCACCAGTCGAGCACTATTAGCTTTTCTCACATACGCTTTCCTTTGCGCTTGACAGGCGACATGGTCTGCTTTTCGGGCTTGGTCGGCGTCTCCGGCGGCAGATCATTCTGGGGCTCTTGCTGGGCACTGGGATGCTCATCGTCAGCCTCCGCTGCCTTGTCATTGTCGGACTGGGAGCCAGCAGGCCTTGCTTCCTGCCTTGGCTTCTTCTCGCGCCTGCTCTTCCTGACGGGGCTGGCCTCGTCGTCCTCCATATACTCATAGTCGACCGCTTCCTCCTCCATTGGCTCGCCGTCCTTGTCCGAGTAGAACTCGTCAACCACATCGGATCTCCTGCGCTGCTCATCCAGGGCTCGGCGGCTCGGATTGAACTTTCCGCATTTGGGACACGAATACTGAATCACATCGACTTCATCCGGCAGCACCAGGCCGTTGTGGGCAAAGCAGTGCCGGCAAATGAGCGCATACTTGTCCTGCGGACCCATATCGCCCACAAGCCCTTCAACCAGCTTGTCGAGCCACGGCCGCGGCTCTGACCCGGTTCGTGGTGGCTGGGCAGCCTGGGTGCGCACTACGCCGGATGCTACGGGCTGGAACACAGGCTGCGGTACCGTCGCCATGGCATTGCCGCCCATACTGGCTGCCTGGGCATTGCGCATGGCCATCAGGCCGTTGGCTGGCTGCGATTTCCCACGGCCAGCCAGCGGTGATGCCTGCGGCGAGCCAGCGGGCGCTGCCGGCTCTGTGCGCCGCCTGGCCTCTGGCTGCCCTCTGGCGGCGGAGCTGTACCGGTCAACCAATGTCTTTGTGGAGTCGTATGCGGTTTTCTTTTTCAGCTCGTCGACCCGCTCATTGATTTCCTGGCGCAGTTTCTTTATCTGCCTTTCATACCCCGATACAGCCCGCCTTCCTACCATCCGGATCGCATAGTTGCCGTAGTAGATTATAAATGGGCCTAGTAGCACTGCCAGGCAGTGCTGCGGGAAATTCAGTGCCTGCGAGTCGTGGCGCTCCGGGAACACGTACAGAATGAATCCCAAAAGGTACCCGATCCACGCTATGGATGTGTATGTGAGCCAGAACTGCGACCACCCAGACGTACGGTCCAGCGACTGCTGCCGCTGCTTCTCCGTGCGCTTCAGGTCCTGCTCCAATCCCCCTAGGATCTTTTCAAAGTCCTCGTCCTTCTTCTATCCATATTTCCCAAGCCTTTTAAGAAATTAGCAAAGCTCCTACTCACCCTCCTCCCCACGGGAGGTATTAGTGCGAAACTCTTACCTTTAAAAACGAAAACAGCCCCATGTTCTCCTTCCCTCCCTTTAGAAGTGTGCTAAATTATGCGAATGCAAATAAAAAGGTAAGATAATAGCAGAGGTGACAAGAGGCGAGAGACGAGAGACGAGAGAAGAGCCCGCGGAATAAGTGCTGGAAATTCTGTAAAAAAGGAGACCTGCGAGGGCTTTGCCCTGCTGACTGCCCCCTTCCGCTGGGTTTCTCACCACAATGTGCCAGCACTTCAAACAGCATACAAGCCGCCGAGTTCTGTCATGCCAGCAATGCAGTTTCGAAATCGCTGATTTGATTGATCAGGGCTGAGCTGATGCTGGGGCTTTGGCTGCATCAGTGGCTGCATTCGGCGTTCCTGGGCGAATATTGACACCAGAACAATCACGTGGCTTGTTCCAAGGCGCCGGTGTTTACACGCAAAAACTCTTGAGCAAAATGAAATGAGGGACAACAAAAATGCATTAATTAACAGGAGACAAACGGGCATACACATCGGGTCTTTCACCTACAGGCTAGCACGTGTTGGACAAAACCAAAAAAGAGGCGAGGTTCTTTTGGCTGCTGCTGTATTTCATTCAACGGAAATGGAGGCCGTCCATCCATGCGACAACCTTGGGCAGAGTCCGGCTCATCGGACGATTGACCACCATGGAATCGACGCTGTTTGCATTCCTGTCGCTTGCCACATAATAGCCCTTCTCCAGGCACTCCTCATCGGCAGCAACCGGCATTGGCACGGAAACATACGGGCTGGTGCGCATCTGTGGTTTCTCGCTGTCAGACATGGCCATCGTTGGAGCATCAGCCGGCGACTGCTCAAACAATTCTTCAATATCGTCCTCACTACCCTCCTGCACCCGGTCATACACGTACTCGGACGCTCTTTTCGCCGGCCCTGTGATTGGCAGCGCGCTATTCGTGCTGTACGAGTGTCTGCCCGCAAGCATATCGCGGAGCAGAATTGCCCGGTCCAGCGCACCGTAGTACGCGTGGTGGACGAAATACGTCAGAATTATCGCCAAAAGCACGTCTATCGAGTAGTGGTAGCGCACGGCCAGCACACTGAGAATGCCCGCGATAGTGTGAATTGCGCTATAGGCAATAAATGCCCAGTGCCGGGCGTACCGCGTCCAGAACAGAAACGAAATGACCAAAATCGTTGTGTGGCCAGAGAAAATCTTGTCAGTGCACGCACCCACCTCACCCGTAAAACTCCCAGGAATGTGCGCCAGCAATTCGTTTGTATCCTTGGGCAGCACCGGCACGCACCCCTTGATAGACGGCGGCATCGTCGTCAGCGAGATGGTAATCGACCGCAGAAAATACAAAACCCCCATCATCCACGCTACACGCCGCAGGAGCACCAGCTTCGCTTGCCACCCGCGCGCCATTAGCATGCAGCCGACTACGCTGAACAGACCTGCTGTATTTACAAGCGCATCTGACACCCACCCCTGCGGCACAAACGGCAGGTTGTCTAGCAGAATGTCCCGCAGCGGCTGGTTGTCCACCGAGGGATGCGGGGGTGGAGGTCCTCCTCTACCATGGCCATGGTGTCCATCTGTGTACCACCGCCACCATCGCATGTCGGACCACTGCTGGCATATTGTCATCCAGGCCACTATTACCACCAGCACCACCCATGCGAGAATCGTGTGCAGTGCCTCACGCGCAAATAGCCGCCTTGTCGTCTCGCTGATATGGAACATTATTAATGATATACAAAACTTATAGACAGAATGGTGTAGCAGTAGGTGTATCAGTTGGTTTGGGGGAATAGAGTAATGTGGATTGCTGAAGGAGATGGAGAAGGGGAAGGCGTCAATAAAAGAAAGGGCAGGCTGCTTCAAAGCGCAAAAGCCATCGACATTTATTAGGCCTTCACCGGCAACCTGAAATGCTAGCAAGATAAAAAATAAACTGCCATGTTCCTTGTTTTCTCGTTCAGCCGAGCCCATTGAAAAGGGGCCACAGCGTTTGTCGTATTTTTATCTTCTTTTGTGGGCAGCGAGCTGCTCAACAGAAAGGTGGGAGAGGGGATCTCCCCCTTTTCGGTCTATTTTTTCTAGGCAACTACAATCTGTGATGTTTGGCAGAAAGTGTGCTTTGCTGATTTATTGCCAGAACTGCCCAAAAATATAAAAAAATCTGCATATCTTCTCGCTTTTGTGCAGTCGACAACCCGTCACTGCAGCATGCGATTCTTTTTCTGCAGATCCCCGCCTAGCTCCCCTCCAGCACATTCATTGGGGGGAGAGGAACATGGCGAATGGTCCATGAACCTATTTGCTTGTCGGTTCTTAAATAAGCGCGGGCTGCGGGGATAGGTCGCAACGGGCAGGATCCTTGTTGATGGGGGCTCACTCCGAGTCAGGCCGGATGAGGCTGGGAGGCTTTGTTCACAGAGCGTGCCAAGCACTTGGCAGCTCCACTTTACTGTTCTGTAGCGACAAAATGCGTGATGCATGCAAGAGTGCTGCCCATCCACTGCAGCCAAGTGCGATACATGGTTACACCGAGGCGCCAGCTACCTGCCAGCCCCTCCTTATCGTGTCTTTTCGGCCTGCCTTGCACATAAACGCCCTAGTCATGAGCCTGTTCCTGCCATTTGCCCACCATCACGTGGCGTTTACCGATCATGCGCAAATCGATGCTCCTGAATACAAAAGCGAGAATTTATTGGGAGAAGAGCGTCGCAAGTTTCAGCCAAGTAGAATAATTAGCAACAGTAAGAGACGAAGGGGCCACATGTATTTGTTCATCGGAACTGAAGACCGTCCATCCAGGCGACAACCCGTGGCAGTGCCCGGCTCATCGGACGATTGACAGCCATTAGATGTATGCTGTTTGCGTCCATGCGCCCTGGCTTGTAATATTCAGTATCAAGACACTCCTCATCAGCTGCAGCTGGCACAGTCACGGCTATATGCGTAGCCAATCTTACTCGGCGCAGCATCTTCTCGGGGCTGGCCGGCGGTTGCTCGAATTGCTCACCAGCGCTGTCGTCATTTTCCTGCACCCGGCTATACGCATGCTCAGATGACTCTTGGCCAACATGCGAAGCCAACGACATGCTGCCTGTGCTGCTGCTGCTGCTGCTGCTGGCGGAATCCTGTGCACCGCTGTCGTTTGATACTACAATCCGATGCAGAATCGCCCTGTCCAGAGACGTGTAGTAAACGTGGTGAACGAAGAACGCCAGCACCATCGCCAAAAGCACATCTATCGAGTAGTGGTATCGCACAGCCAGCACACTAATCATTCCTATGACTGTGTGGATGGCGCTGTAGGCAATGAACGCCCAGTGCCGGGCGTACCGCGTCCAGAACAGAAACGAAATGGCTAGAATTGCCGTGTGGCCAGAAAAAATCTTGTCCGTGCAAGCCGATATCTGGCCAGACATGCTTCCAGGAATATGCGCCAGCAGGTCATGTGTATCCTTGGGCAGCACCGGCACACACTCCTTCAGCGATGGTGGTAGTGTGGTCAGCGAGATGGTAATCGACCGCAAAAAATACAGCACAGCCATCATCCACCCAATCCGCCGAATAAGCACCAGCTTTGCTTGCCATCCTCTGACCATCAGACTACAGCCGACCGCGCACACCAGTGCCGCCGAGTTAACAAACGCATCCGACACCCACACTTGCGGCACAAATGGCATAATTTCAAGTACCAGGTCTCGCAGTGGATGGGCAGTGACTGCCGTATCTATTCTGTTGCTGCTGTGTCTATGGTGCTCGCTCATACGCCAACTCCACCACCGCATGTCAGACCACTGCTGGCAAAGAGTCATCCAGGCTACTACGGATAGCAACACTGTCCATGCGAGAATTGTATGTAGCACCTCGCGCACAGCTAGCCGCCTGGTTGTATCGCTGGTACCGAGCATCGCAATGAATATATAGTGCCTAAGTAGTAAAGTGAGAGAAAATATTTAGATGAGAGGCTCATTCTGGCAAAAAACCAAAAGCTCATATGCCGCATCCTCGCTATTAAAAGACTTTTCTGGCACAACAGGCCGTTCTTGGCTAGTTAGATGCCCTCCCATGCCTTGGACAATATGTAGCTTAGCTGACACGGGCCAGCTAGAGAGAGGTTGATGAATCGCCCTCTTTGTCCACCGGTCATTTTTCTATCCAAAGGCACATAGGTTGAGAAGGGGGAGCAAGCACCACACCATGCTAAATTCGCCCTTGTCCTCTTTGCCAAGCAACCTTTCTGTCGGTCAGGACATCAACGATTATCCGAATTTTTTGTGAAAGCACTGCTCGCTGTTTTCAAATTCCCAGCCCGTGTGCCCGCTGCCCCACCATACGTCCATTGGAGGGACGATCCCAACACCCCCTCTTCTTGGCGCGATGCATAGAACTGCATGCGTATTCCTTCCGCGTTCGACGACTGAGGGCAGGCGGTGAAAAAATAACAAACAAAATAAATCAAGACACCCAGGCTTTTATTGCCACCCGCTCTTTCCACCGGTGGCATATGCCTGCTGTTGGCAAAGAATAAAGCTCGAATATGCCCAGCAGAGGCGCCTGGCTAGCTAAGCATGCGGGAGGAAAGCACAGACATCCCTTAGCAAACAATAGAAAAAAGCGCGGCGGTCCGAAAGAACCTTCCATCAAGCTCACCTGGATAGCTGAGCAGAGTGCACAATAAACAGAGGCCCTGGCATAGCAGGTGCGGGAAAAAGCCATGTATGTGCGGTGCGGAGTTGGCAGAGTTGACAGAAAATATGGAACATTCTATCCTTTAAACCCCTGGATTACCCAAGCTGAGCGCAGGTGAACCTACCTTGTTACTGAACCCACCTCAAAAAGAAGCTGTAACCGCTTGGTATATGCAAAGAAGTTCTATACAGAAAAACGAAATAAAAGTTAACAAGGATGGAGAGGGCGAAAGCGATGCTCCCCAGCCGTCGTTTATATCAGGACCTGCCCCTCTTCGTGCAGCACACACGCTGCATTGGTTGCCTTCACCGCTTTCCCTGTAGATTACAAAAACTACTGAATCGCCAAAAAGGAAAAACAAGAATACAAGCTGGTTTCAAGTGCGTGATTTTCCCTCCTGCTTCTGAAGCAAATAATAGAGAGCAAATAGCGGCAACTTGCTAAATAAAGAGCCGGCCCCCTTGTTTTCTGCGGGCATCCGTGGAAATAGCATTTGCTGTCGTCTTGGCAAACCTGCATCCATTCAAAAGCCGGATGTGCCCTAGTAAGGTGCGACAGGGGCGATTGATGACTAGCAAGTCCGCTGAGAACATGCGTTCCTGATGCCTCAAAGAGAGCAGTGTCTTTGTGCATTTACAGCTCTTCGTGATCACTAGCACCTTCACTACAGTGCAAAGTCAATGCAATACATATCACTGCAAAGCCATATGCGCTTCTTTTATTGATCTCCCATGGAAACTGCGCATACAAGTAGGATGCACATGTCTCTGAAAGCAAAAAAAACTATTCATTGGAACCGCTACCAAAGAACGCATCTAGAATTTGCTGTGCTGCCTGGACTGCCGAATCCAAATCCACCGACTCATCAGCCATGCCAGGGGTACAAGTATAACCGCCTCTTGGAGCCAGTGCACGGCACTCAAACCCAACACTCAGCATCCGGTGCGCCTTGTCACCAACAGCGCTATCAATGGCTCGGTCCAGCAACTCCTTCGACTGCGAATACCGGCCTTCTGTCCACGCATACATCAAAGATTTGCCCTTGGGAACAACCATTGTGGCACTCGTTAGGTAGAGCATAGAAACCACGTGGCTACCCTCGACAAAGCTCAGCATGCTGGTCGTATCTTCACCTAGTGCTGGAAAATCCAGGACTGTGAACCTGCGAGCGATTGGTACTTCAGTCTCGGATTCTGTGGCATCTGACAGGTACGACGGATGCATAATGAGGGATTTTGTTGTTACCCTGCCATGACTCAACTCAACTACATAACCTGACTCTGTCTTCTCAATCTGCTTGATCGACTCAGACAGGATATATGTACCGCCGGCGACTGCACATGAGCGGCAAAATGCCTGTGCGACCTCAGCCCCGCTGCCATACATGGAGCTCAGGAATGCCATGCGGCCATAACGCCCTATCGACTTTAGATACTTCTCCACCCGTGCACACCCCTCGCTGACAGAAATCGGACGGGTCGCCCGTGCCACGGCATACAGAACCGCGTTCAGCAGACTACCATCAAGCTTGAACTGCTTCCTCAGAAGATCGCCAAAATCCTCGTTGCCATGCTCACTGGTCAGCTTAGAAACCTGCTCCGGATCACTGATTGTTGTCAGGAGCCGCATCAGCTTGCGCTTCTCGATCAACTTCAGGGCAGTACTGGCAAATACCTCCTCCTTTGAGTCCGGCACCCGCTCAACGCCAGCATCAGTCACCAGCAGATTCGCATCGACGCCCTTGAACTCCATGTACTCGGCCATACCCGCTGCAATCAGCACGTCGATAAGCGGTCCGCGACAGAATGTGAGCTTTGGTGCTAACTCGAGTGCGTACCTGCGCGACTCGCCTGCCAGCCTCTTGAGTACATCAGAATTGCTCAGCTGTTCCAGCTGTTCGCTGCTTAGATACTCAGATAGCATCGCCAGGATCTCGCCTACCTGACAGCTGCCTTGCGCTGTCTCTGGCAGCAGATTATTAGCCGAGACCTCGCCGCTCTTGCGTGCGCCAAGCTGCATCTCAACATCACCAATAGCAATATCCACTACCGGGACCTGACTCCGATCTCGAAGCCTAGTCGCCCACTCAATGAAGCCGATGAGCGAGAAGCTGGCGTAGTCGCCACCGTAAAACGGGTTTCGGTCAATATGCAGCACCTTCTTTTCCGCGGCTGCAATGTCACTGGCCACGATCGACTCGACTAGCCCGGTGCCCAGCACAACAGCGTCGTACTCCTCGTTATTCAGTGTGTTCTCCTCTGCCATCCTTTTTCTTGCCCAAACTAAACTATTTAGCAATAATACACATGGATGCGCATTACAGGGCCGCTCCCATGCATAGCGGACATGTACAAATCACGATGGCTTAGACTATGGGATTGCCATAGCTGCCATTTTTGGGCTGTTTGTTTATTATCGCCCTCTCTGCTGCCTTCACCCATGCTGTCCGCTTTTTGCAGCTAGGAATCCTGCCACTATGTCACTCCAGCGCCCCGTATTTTATCCAGAGCTGCCAATTTAGCCGCCAAGGGGGCTTCGCCAGTACGCCACCCGCTCACACTACGCTCTCTCGCTCTACAGTGTATGCCGAAGATTGCCAGTTCGCTACGTATCTTTTGGATCATGAACAAGGTGTTGATCTGACGCCCCATGCCAATATACTGTGCATATGCGAATCAGGCAAGATATGCGAATCGGTCGCTTGTGCCTGCATGCATAGCAAGAGCAATTAGACCAAATTTGGATCCGGCGAATTTGCTTGTAGTATGCATTTTTAGAGAGAATGCCGATGGCAAACTACAGCAGAACAACAACCCTGGCGTACCGTGTGAACTAGGCAACAGACAAGCTCCTTACAGTTGTATCCTGCGCGACAAAAGCGGCCACCTCAGTAACGCGGCAAAAGACATGGTATTTTCCCTCGCTACCTCCCATAGCATGGCCCCTCGTCTACCGGAGCTTTACTGACTTGCAGCAACAGTAGCAGCAGGAACAGAGGAGAGCCCGCTCCGCATACTATCCCTCTTAACAATAACCGAATCGAAGGTTTACTGGTGCTGGATGTGTGCTGAAGTGAGTGTAAACAGTGGGCTTTACAGGTCTCGCGCATCATGACTGTCGACACAAGTTTGTATTTATGCAAGCTGGCAAATGATTTATGAGAAATGGCTACTGAATATCTGTATGCGTGTTGTTGTCAGAGTTTATATGTACATCGTGTAGAGGCTGTCTGGACAATGGTTGGAGCTAGTAGTCAAAATCGGTGGGCGGTCGACGAGGGGTAGGATAGTCGCGCTTAGGCGCCAGATCGGGAATGGTAGGGTAAACACTCATGGTTGCTTCTTGGTTTGTTGTGTGAATGCTGCTGTAGCAGGAAGATCCGTGTGCTGCTTAGAGAGGTGGGTAGGGAGGGAAGGTCAGAGGGGAAGTGTGTAAGGCCGAGTGAAATGGAGACATGCCCGTCTCTTTTATAGCATGCTCCACTCAGCTACGGCGGATAAAGGCCTCATGCACCTGTGCGGCTAAAAAGTAGCAGTGAGGGGGTGGGTGTAAAGGGTGGGTAGCCAAGCATTCTGAAATCAAGCTACATTCCTCATGCATTGAGGTTATTCAATCGCCCATCAGCAACTGCCCTTTTCGTCCATGTGCCAGACACTACAGCGAGATGTAGAGTGGGGACTGTGGGGACACGAATAAAAACCGATATTGCTGACAGCAATGATCACAAAGACTTGGGCGTTAATTCGACGAAGAGCACCAAGCACAGCATTCGCTGTTTCTGAAACAGGCGCTCTACTTGTGCCCCTTGCCGAGCTGTGCATACACCCTTCCCTGGTATGGCACAAATCGCCTTTCCCTTCGGCAGCTAGTTGTCACAAGCTGGCTGTGATGGCTTGCATGAAAGTAAGAGATGGTTGCCAAGGCGGCGACTCCCTCACTGCGCACTTTGCTTGGCCATCCCCAGATTGCGGATATGGTTGGAAATGTGGTTGCCGGATGCACCATTTTTAACTTCCGAGAACTGCGCGCGCTGGGAAGAATACTCTTGGGTTCCTGTACTCCGGAGTCAGTAGCACATCACACGACCCATTCACCTCTATTCCGGGGATTGCTTTCGTGTAGGCTTTTTCAACTTGTTCCACAACCCGTCACATGAGCAATGGTAGTAATGCTTGGAACTGTAGCCAGAAGCGAAGCTGTAGTCGCGTCCTCCGTGCCGGGCATGTTTGGTGGCCAAGTCTTTGCCCTGGCCTGATGATCCAAGAGGGGGAAATAACCAATCCAAATAAGAATACATTGCAATTCTTGGCGCTCGGAATAGACTCTGGGAAATAGGGCCCATTCATTGTACTGGAGCATAGCCCTCAAGCCGGTATTGCCAAATACGCTATTCAATCCTTCTGTGCCGATCAGGTGGTAGAGGGTGTCCTTTTTCCTAATGCCCGTTAGAGTGCTGGCTTGGCAACAGCCAGGACCTACATACTGGCAGCACAACAAAAGGTGCTCGGCCAATTTTCTCACCACCTGAGCGCACATTTTTGGCTTTTTCTTAGCCGGGTTTAGGCCACAATCAGGCTTATTATTAGTGACAAACTAACCCCTGTGCTCGAATGTACTACTGCTTCCAAAGGATAATGACACACAAGGTGCGGAGGAATGGAATTTCTTCGGCACTGTCAGCATTACTGCGCATAGTATGACACCCTGTCTTGGCAAACGCCGAAGGAACAGGCAGGCCTGCTAACATAAGGAGCACTAACTACATGCATGTCCAGTTTTAGTCGGGAATGGCTGGCGAAAACAAGTGGTACTTCCGGTACAATTAGCCAGGTGTGACCTGAATAGCGCCAGAACTCACTGAGAATAATATGTATATTCATGTTGGAATCAATACTAAGCACCCAAACTACTTTGCCATAGAGACAAAAGAGCCTACAGGCTGCTACTTGTAAAGCGAAGGTGGCTCCGTAACATCCTCGAACATGTCGTCATTATATTCTTCGTTGTCAGAATCGTATTCCATTTTACTAATAGCGAATGTGATGGGGGTGTGAGTTACAATGTGAGGATAGGATGTTGGGAAGACAAAATCGCTCAAACGACAGCAGGATAGCCCCTTTTATATCTGTTGTGCACAAAGTGAATGCCAATCAAACAAAGAGCACAATAATGCTGTTGAAAGAAACACACTGCCAATTCGACTTTGCGGACACATGCCTGGCAGGAAGTCGAAATGAACTATGATTACCTTTGTGTCCTTTCTAGCATTCATGGTATCGAATGTTGAATGCTTGAGTCCATTATTGTCACCTCAGTAGTATGCAAAGATGAGCACATCCTATACCCTATGATCTCGTAGACTTATGACAAGCTCTTTCTGGCAAAAAAAAAAGATTTACCAGCCAGGTAAACAAAAAAGAATGATCCATGGCGACAAGTAGCACTCTGGGTTCAAATAATAGCAAAAAATCTTGTGTCACAAAAACATGCAAAAGATAAGCTCTCCGACCGGGAATTGAACCCGGGTCTCCAATGTGACAGACTGGTGTACTCGCCACTATACTATCGGGGATCTTCAGCTCGTTGAGAATGTCATGTCGTAATCGGTCCACGGTTGGACCATGACAATGGTTACACATCAAGGGGTTTTATTTGTCTTCCTTTTTTTCTTTTTACTTCTCTTCTCTTCTTCGTCACATGCCGCTGTTCCGCTATCAGGACGGACCGCCTCTGACTATCGCCGGTCGAGTTGACGCCCACGAATGGATTCGTGGCGATGTACCTGACTCGCGACGTCCACCAACAGATGGCCTCTGATGTGTATACATCGGGTCTATACGGATGTGGGAACACTGTCCCGTGGTCGCCCGGCAGCCGATAGCAGCAAGTAGCATACTCCGTTTGCCGAAGTCCATCCCGCCGAACGAGTATAAATACGGCCATGAGCAGTGAGCAACTTTTAGTTTTATTGTCTACTTTTTAGTATATGATCTCGTTAAGGAACAGTTCACTGAGTTATATTTCTATTTAGTTTTCCAAAGATAGTTAGGACCGTTACCATCGAAGTAGTAGATTACCTCGCAGATTTCCACGAACGAGAGAAAGAGCTTGGTAGTTTACTATTTCACTAGGATATCTGAATTTCCCGCGACCATTATTATTATTATTATTATCATTATTATTATTACTGTTTATTCACGGATATTCGATTCAAGCAAGACCATCGACCACAATGTCCTTCATGACCGATCCAGACAGTGCTGGTGATCGACCCACTGATCAAGCCTCTCCTTCACCCCTTTTAAACACCACAAGAAGTGGGGGAAATAAGATATATATAAAGCACTGGTTTAAGGTACCGATATTCTCTTTTCTATGCATCTGCTCAGAGCGCAAGCAGTACCGCAGAAGACAGACCCTAGTTACTTTTGCCATGATATGACATGATATGACCAGCCTATTCATAGGATTATTATGCACTTTTCTGGTGCTAGTTGTTTATGTATGTCCAATTCTATTTGATTTACTTCATGCTCTTGCAATATTGAGAATTTGGGGTTTTGTTTAATGCAACTATCTCCACTTGAGATGGTGAAGCCACAGTGCAAGGGCATATGTATCTGTCAGCTCAGTACTAAACCCAGTGCTCCCCAGCGCACAAAAGAAATATAGAAAGAGCGAAGCCAGTTAGGACTAGTTAGAACATTTAGGACAATTAGGACAATTAGGACAATTAGGACAATTAGGACAATTAGGACAACAGGATAAATCTGTCGGTGGCGCAGGACTACACAGACACACAAGCAGATCCTACTTAGGGGATGGACCCAATTGTCCTGGTACTAGCTGAATATTCGGATTCTGAGCCACTAGTCGTCCACAGCAACACAATTGTTTGAGTAAGAAATTAAGAGGCCACTGATCAGAAGTTGGTTTGCTGAATGGCTCTGAATCGGCGACTAAAGCGTCTGTGGTCCAGAGGTATGATTGCTCCCTGCCACGGAGTAGACCCGGGTTCGATTCCCGGCGGACGCACTTCTCTTTTGCTCACTCGTCCATTCCTGTTTTGAGTGGGTGGCTGCTCACCGCTCTCGCTGAACTTTTTGCTCTAGCAAACAGTCTGGTTTGTTTTGGCTATTGTGACTCCCTTGACATCAACCATCTTGGCCGTCGTCTCTTTTCCAAATAGTGGCTGGTGTGGTCTCAATTGCACTGCACTGACTACATGTTGAGTAAAGGCTAGTTAAAATTGCACTGCTAGGCTAAAAGGATGTTAGTTGTATCACAAGGCAGGAATCAGATGATGCTAGTTTGCATGAATGTATATTAGGAAAACAAGAGCAGAAATACAAAGAGACAAAAGTTGCCGATGCACTAGTTCCTCGAAGGAACACATACTTCATCTATTCCTATCCTTACGATCATGAACATACATCGTACGTGTTTCATTAGTAAGAACGAATGTTGGCTTTGGCATTATTATGAGTTTCTGATGTCTGCATCATGAGGGGTAGTATGCAGGTTTCTGTATATACTAGACTCACTAATCAAGTAGACCTGCTACTATCAGTGTTTTTGTTTGCTCATGGCCAAGCTTAACAAAATGCTAGCGAGTGGCACCATAACCGATATAGTCATGATGACTCAATAACATCCATTCATAGATGTTGCTTATATATATGCAGACACATTGAGGAGCAAGCACAGAGAGACAGAGACAAACCAGTTAGATCGCAAAGTACATCATTGTATGAGATCAGACTTGCAATACTGTCAGTCAATATAGGAGGAGGTTCATCACAAGCACGAAGTCATAAACATCGCATAATCTTGAGTAGTGAGTTGCACCCTACTTGGGAGGATTGAGCATGATATTTGCTTACTGAAGTAAGTGCAGGTATAAGACAGTGGCTGCTCCAGTTGCCGTAGATGAAGCAAAAAGGGAGTATCCATAATCCCTTTCAAAACACAGGGAGGCAGCAAAAACAGGAGTCAGAGGCTTGGGAGTGCGGGGTGTGTGAAGGAATTGGCTAGAGAGAAAATGAGAAAAAAGCTAAGGGGTGTGTGAATCGTCTCTCCTGCAACCCAGGTTTGATTGGGTTAGGTTATGAATGTGTTGTGTCTGTGATCTGTGATTCGCCACCGCGATTTTCACAATTTGATAGGCAGCACCAGGACAGGATTCCCTAGATGGATGAGGGGAGGGGTGGGACGGGGGCGGTGTGGATTGTGTGAGGAAACAAAAACAAAGAAATTAATATGCGCATAATGGGCACGCACTGCTGTAGTGACAGGCGGCACCAGAAACCGGTTTAGGGTGCTGGGTCTAGGCCGCAGTGGCATTGACGAGGGAGGGAATGCATGGGTATGTCTACTAAGGAAGCAAAGGCCAAACAGTATTTTACTTCTCTCCTCCTGATTATTCTCTTTTGTTTTTCTTTGCGTTGTTGTATGTTTTATTGAACTTTGACCCAGCTTGGGGAGTTGTAAGTCACAAGTATACTTCAGACTGAGAACTCCCAGTGGGTACCCTTCTCTGTATGTTTTGGTTCCTGGCCTGTGCGTATGTTAATAACGTTTGTTCTCCATCCAACAGTGAGAAACCTGGATAGATTGCTCGCAGTTGTTACTTAGATGTGTGGACCTCGTCGTGGTCATGTTGTACACGAGGGGATACAGCGTGTGTGCGTGCGAATGACACTGGTTCATTTGAGGTAGAACTCAGAGCGGATTCGGTCCAGATACTGGTCCTGATTCAGTGATTCAGCCCGGCTAGCTCAATCGGCAGAGCGTGAGACTCTTAATCTCAAGGTTGGGGGTTCGACCCCCCCGTCGGGCTGCTCTTTTGCCATTCTCCTTTTTGCAAAAAAAAACGGGATCAATCGAGGTGGAACTCGGTGTATTTTTTTGGCTGCGGAATTTTTCGATACGACAATGCTACTGCGCTGGATTTACATGTTGACAAGTAAGTTTTTGATGGTAATAGGGTTGAAGAGTATTGCAGGGATACTTGTGCTTTTTTTTTTGTTTTCTTTCACAGCTAGCTATAGGGCCGCAAGCAACTAAATGCAAGAAAACAGCAAGCATAAGTGATGAGGAAAGGAAACGTTCATATTCTGCACCTGCAGTATATTCATTGTGAGGGAGAGTTTACTGGCATATCTAACTCTGGCATGGCAGCTGAAGGATATCACTAGAAAGGAAGTAGAGGCAATGCGGTTTGGATTCAGTCACCCCAAAGTCGAGTTAGTCTGTTTCAGATTGTTGGGGTTGAAGGTGCGAATGAACGACTCTGCCCTCCCTGAGACAGAACCCAACCGGAAATTAGTGGTTCTGCCTCTGGCCGCGTGGCCCAATGGATAAGGCGCTTGACTACGGATCAAGCGATTCCAGGTTCGAGTCCTGGCGTGGTCGTCAATAGAGCAGCTTCTACATTTTTATCATTTTGCACCTTGCAAACTGATCTGGGTCTGAGCCAAACGTCTTTACTAACTTTTGCATCAACCATTAGAAAATAACCCAGTTTTTGTAATCTTGCAGTAATCGCTTTTTAACTGGTGAATAGATTTCATAATGATCTACTCGTTCATCTTTGACCTTGGTAACCGGGGAATGGGAAAGACAGGAAAGCTGGAATGACAAAAGTTGTCAAGATACTGATTCCTTGATGAGACGATGTATCTTGGCTGCTCTATTCCCCTGCGACCACGCTCATGCGCATTATACATTTTGTCGTGCTGACATTCGGGCAACCCCATGCCCTTCACCACTATGTGCAGATCCAAATCCCTACCTGTATAGACATTATAGGCCAGAATGGCCCATCCTCCCTTTTTTCTCTTCAGCAATTTCTGGTTATATTCATGACATAAAGCTCATAACTACTGGACTCTCTGAAGGTCAACATGTTGGCTTGCCCGATGTTGGTTTTATCGTCACCGAGAGCTTCTGAAGTCTTCATCGTGACATCCAGTGCTTATTAGATCCTCGTGTATATGATAGTAGTGAGGCATCATGCTAATAATAATTGAATATGATAAAGAGAGTGTGGAAGCAAGAGGTGACGATCTACAGTGTAGGAGGTGCGGTTGATTAGACTCTACAGCTGCTGGCCCAAACCAATACTTGCCTTGTCTAGTCGATTAGAAGCATAATGCCATATGTGTCAGTAGTACCACATCAGAAGCCAAAGAGACACACGCATTGACAAATCGTATGGCTGAGCATAGATAGACTATGGCCATGAGGGATATGCCAAGGTATCTGCTCTCTATCATAATGCTCTGCTCCTACTATTAATAATCAGACAAGTATTTATTACCATATATAGGGGAATATATATATGAGAGCAAAATTGAGGAGAAAAGGTGGACTGTTGGGTGCTTGAGGCCCTTTTAAGTATATGGTTAATCTTAACATCATGCTGCTAACACTGCCCTGTGCCACCATGCTTAACACCTACATCAGATATTTGTGTAAAAAGTTAGGCTCTGGGTGTCATAACAAAAGACATAGTGCAGCTAAGCAAATGATCCATAGTCTCATTGTTCATATACTTGCCCAGTTCTGGTCCCTTTGCATATATCTCTTTCAGACATATGCTTATGCTCTGCTTTCGCCTAACCATATCTCTAGAACTGGGTGATATAGATTTACTGCCAAGCACTATTTATCAGTAAGCTATGAGATAGGTGTGCAAAGTGGTATGTGTACGATTCATGAAAAAAACAGCTAGCAGGTTAGATAAAAACAAAAAAACAAAAAAAACAAGCGGAGCTTAGGAACCAAATGGTAAACAAAGGGTGTATTAGTATATGTTAGGATCTGTTAACCTAGAAGATGAGTGGTTGTCCGGTATATGGAAAAACAACTTCTCAAAAATATGTGTAAGGGGAAGAAGGGAGGCTGTTCGGCTGTCTGGGCCTTTGTACGTGTGTGTTTCAGCCTTGAAATTCAAGATCAGGAGTCTCTCCTGCGCCACCATGGGCAACATGATCGATACCAACAAAGCAGAGCTAGCACGATTGGAGAGTCTAAAGTACAGGCAGGTGACGCCACAATCCACTTAGGATGTAAATAAATTTGATTGTGATCTGTACATCGATACTGTTAGCAGCAAAAAAAAAAGAGAGGTCTTGTAACCGTCGCCTCAGCTTCGTCGACAAAAGCAAAAAAGGAGGGTTACGTTGATCAGAGTGGGATTCGAACCCACGCCTCCGGAGAGACTGCGGCCTTAACGCAGCGCCTTAGACCGCTCGGCCATCTGACCCTCAGTAATTGATGAATTAGAGTAAATTAGTATATACATAAACTCAAGCTTGCTTTTGTCCTTCTGCCGACGCCTTCTGTTTACCACCAGTTCCTTTCTTCCTGCCTCTACTCATCAAGGATTTGGTATGACCATTGCCCAGTCTAACGTAACAACGAGCTGTGCCCTTTCATCTCGCTACCTGTGATGATTAACGGCTGCAAGCTGATCTACAAACCATACTATCAACAGCGCCAGCACAATGGCCTGTGAGCAATCGCGCAGAGCTTAGGGCCCACTTCCCTCCTTTTTGTATCATGTCTGGGTACCAATCTCCACGCTCTGACCTTTGTTTTCCGAGAGCGTACAGCTATTCCAATTGTCCGCATTGCTTATTACAAGCCTTACATAGGTCCTCCTTTTTTCTTCTCTGATGATCGTCTTCCAGTCCATCTTCCTTATGCTTCTAGTATCACAGAGCCAGTATGTCTGGTCGCTCCTCTACTCATCCAACTGGCGGCATGGCCAGAAATGTTTCTATTTTAAACACTGCATCTCCTGATGGCAAACTGCCGGGCAGTCTCTAGCACCTCATCGGGCATCCCGGCTATCTGGGCTACATACAGGCCATGCGATCTCTCGCAAATTCCCGGCTTGACCTTGTGCAAAAACGCAAACCCGCCCTCACCATCTTCATATATCGCCGTATGTAGCGGCTGCACCCCGGCCAACGATGGCACGACATGCGGCACCAGCTCGTGGTAGTGTGTAGCAAACAGCGCCTTGCATCTGACCTTGTCGTGCAGATACTTCAGTGTCGCATAGGCAATCGACACTCCGTCTGTGGTCGACGTACCGCGCCCAATCTCGTCCAGGATCACCAATGACCGGCTGGTCGCATGCCGCAGGATGTCTGTCGTCTCGCTTATCTCCACCATAAACGTCGACTGGTCGAGTGCCAGATTGTCATGGGCCCCGATCCGCGAGTAGATGGCATCAACCACATGCAGCTGCGCTTCGTTGGCAGGCACAAAGGTACCAGTCTGCGCCAGAATCAATATCAAGGCGCCCTGGCGCAGGTATGTACTCTTGCCGCCCACATCATAATTTGTTATCGGATGCCATCAACATAATATAGAGCTTGAATAAATTACTCAGCAGCCACCATAATATATAGGTACAACAAAAATAGTACATCCAACATATCCCGCCTGGGTAAAAGTTCGACAACCACGCGGTCTGTTATTGTCTCTGGTTTTCCATCTCTACAACATACGTTAGGCATCTACAAATTAACAGTATCATGATATACAACGTCGGCACCCGGCGGTACCGTGTTTCAACCCCACTTGATGCGTCTAGTCCGTCCTCAACCGAAAGGTTTTGCGCCAAAAATTCTTTCCAAGGCAGCCAAACCACCAAAACACATCGCATAACCATCACTATTGCCCGCGCACTGCACAAGTACCTAATTGGCAGGCAGGGTTCTACCCTTAGTTCAATTCGGGAGGCATCGCACTGCAAAGTCACTGTACCACGCGAGAACTCGAAAAGTGACACTGTCGAGCTGGAGGGCAGCGAGGGAGAGATCCAGAAAGCCCGGGATCTTATTGACAAGGTGGTCAAGGAAAACTTGCAAAAGGTGCCATATACTCACTTTTTGTCGTTGCCGATTAGTGACTTGGATGTGCAGCGTAAGATCAGTGAGTTCCAGCGCGATATACACGGCGAGTATTTCAAGTCTCTAAGTGATACCAGCTTCAATGCACCTGCATCAATGCATGTGACTATCGGTATGCTGCGTCTTTTGACAACATCCGAGATCAAAGGTGCAGTCAAGCTGCTGAAGTCTCTGCACCAAGAGGTGTACGATTTGCTGGGCACGCGGTCGCTGGTGGTCAAGGTTGGCAATCCTGCGGCGATGGAAGCTAATCCGAGCAAAGCGCGTATTATTTACCTGAATCTCGAGGATTTCGAAGACGCACAGCGGCTTGAGAAAGTGTGTGGTAAGTATACCGCATGTACAAAAGCCATATGCACGATATGTATACCACCTGGAGTAGGTTAATTGCTATGTTCTCTGTTTTTAGGACTCGTGCGAAGCCGGTTTACGGATGCAGGACTAATTGATGAGGTCCGGCCGTTAAAGATCCATGCGACGATAATGCGGGCGGCGCAAGACAGCCCCACGACAGCTGATGAGCCCAGCCAGGCAGCGGATGACCGGCGTCGAGATGTCCGCGTAAATGCAGTGCCGATGCTTCGCAGGTATGGAGAGTTGTCATTTGGAGCGTGCAAGCTTGGGCAGATACAGATTGCAAAGCGGTTCCACTTCACGGACACCGGGGCATACGACAGCGAAGGCGCGATTCTGCTTCCATGAATCCTGTTGTTTTGGTGGGAAATAAAGGAAATCAACCGGGTTCACTGTATTTGGGTTCCATGATCAAGACGGGACGGGACTGGGTGAGAGGGTGCCTATATTAAAACACATTGCCGATCGGCAATTATGCGGGATAGCCGCATCCAGAAAGCCGCACGAGCTGTCTTTGTAGCGTGATAGGACAGGTAGGTCGCATAGAGGGGGGAGGTTGGTGTGAGAAAGAGGGGCGGTTTGGCAGGGCTCGTTTAACCACGCTTTAGGGATCCGTGGCCAGCCCCAATAAAACGATTGATTTCGCTGCAGAAAACCGACTATTCTAAGCGAAGAAATAAAAGGCCTTCCCCAAGCTGCATGTTTCAGGAGCTAAAGGCGCGTTTGGGCGGTCGTTGGGATTCACACACGCTCCAAAAAACAAAGGTAAGGAGGGATGTTCCTCAAACCTGGACAACCGTAAACATCACTTTTTTTCTTCAGCCAGCCTTTTTCCTTGCTAATTTTAACACACTTTTCTTTGGTTCCTTAGTTGCTGTTCTCTACACCCCGCACATAGAATGAGTTATGCAAAGCAGCAGAAATATGCGCTCGCGATTCCAAACTCCCCACATATCGAGGGTGAGACGACGGCAAGTATCAGTAGATTTTTGATACCATTAATACCAGATTAGCATGTGAATCACATAGCAGCTAATCATCATGTACTTCCGTAGCCGGTGTTGAACCGACATGCGTCCGACTATAAGCTCCTGTTTGGCGTGGAAAAGGTCAAAACAGCCTATGACAATTTCTTGCACGGAATGGAGGTCGCTGGAGGGCGTAAGTATTTGGTGCCGATTCCCGTGTAAACATATGCAGCTCTGGCATGCGCTATGGCTTATGGTGCATCTGTCTACACAGAGAAAGTGGCCTCCATTTGCATGCAAACTGATGCCTGGATTGCATTCCAAACCCATAGCTAAGGCGCGAGTCTTTGGATACCGCAAGAATTCGGCACAGGGCGCCGACTCGGAGTTCTCGTGGATATCGTTCGGGGAGTTCCACGATCGGTTTAGATGCCTTGCACGTGGCTTGGCTGGTCTTGGGATGCGCCGGGGCGATAACATTGGCATATTCTCTGGGAACCGATTGGAATGGCTGATAGCCGAGTTTGCTACGTATTACCACGGGTACGTGTCTGTGGCGATCTACGAGACACTGGGGCAGCTGTCGTGCGAGTATGTGCTGAATCTGACAGAGCTGACAACAGTGTTTTGCTCGTCAGAGTGTGCTCAAAAGCTGCTAAAAATGCGTGACCAGATCCCGCTTCTGAAGAAGGTCATTTTGATGGACCCGCCGGTGCAGGAGCTTGTCGATAGACTGACAGATAGGGGGTTTGCTGTGTACGATATGTGTGATGTCGAAAGGTATGGCCGCGAGTACCCTGACATTGAGTCACCGTCCAAGCCCGGATATGACGAGGTTGCAACAATTGTGTTCTCATCGGGGACTACTGGGCAGCCCAAGGGCGCTGTCTTGACGCACGGCAACATTGTGTCCATATGTGCAGGCGTCAATTTCGTCATGGACCAGCGCGACCTACCGTACATTGGGCCCAACGACTGCGCTGTCAGCATTATTCCGCTCTCGCATGTCCAGGGCCGCTCGCTAATGCATATGATCATCGCATTGGGCGCGAAGACAGCATTCACACGCAACGATCCAAGGTGCCTGCTTTCTGATTTGCGGCAGCTAAAGCCGACAATATTTTTTGGTGTGCCCAAGTTCTTCAACCGCGTGCAAGACAAGGTCATGTCATCAGTGAAGGAGCGCGGTAATATGATGAGCTCGATTTTCAAGCATGCGATGCGTGCCAAACTACGCAACATGAAGCAAGGGCAGAGGGGGCATTGGCTGTGGGACCAGGTTATCTTCAAGCCCATCAGCGAGACTCTCGGGGGCAATATCCGGCTAGTCGTCTCAGGAACATCGTCGATTTCGCGCGAGGCACTTGACTTCATTCGCTGCATCTTCTCGTGTGATGTCGTGGAAGGATACGGCCTCACAGAGACCACAGGTGCCTCCTGCATGACAGTGTCAAAGGATAACATCTCGGGGCACGTTGGATCGCCGTTCCCGACAAGCATGATCAAGCTGGTCAGTGTCAAAGAACTCGGATACAAGGTCGACGACAAGCCGTTCCCAAGGGGTGAGATCTACGTCAAGGGCGCAAATGTGTTCCGGGGGTACTACCGCCAACCAGAGTTGACAGCCCAGGTTCTTTCGCCTGATGGGTGGCTACGGACAGGAGATCTGGGCACATTTGATGCACTAGGACGGATGCGGGTGCTGGACCGCATTGTCAACATTTTCACTTTAAAAACCGGCGAGTCCATTGAGCCAGAGCGCCTCGAGTATGTGTACTGCGACAACGGACTAGTCAGCCAGGCATTCGTGTATGGCAGCTCGGATCACGACCGGCTGGTGGGAATAGCAGTGCCGGACAAGGAGTTCATGGAGGTGTTCCTGCTCAACAATAAGCTAATTCCTGAGGGCTCGCGAATCTCACACGAGCTTATCTGCGCTGACGAGAACATCCGCAATGCTGTACGCAATGAGATCAACCGGCATGGCACTGCTCGTGGATTGCGGGCGCATGAGCTGATCTCTAGTCTGTTCCTGGAACCGCACTCGTTCGATTACTATGATTTGCTGACGCCTAGTATGAAGCTCAAGCGGTATGAGGCGCTGCGCCACTACCGGTCATGCGTCAATCGGCTGTACCAGGATATCGGCGACCAGGGCTCGGTCATGTGCAGCCCCGACGGGAAATCTGACAGGAGCTACTCATTCTACTAGAAAACGTGCTTATGGTCAAATATATAAATTTCGCTTACTGGCTCTTGGGGCGGGCCTCCTGGCCGATACCCTTGAAGAACTGCTCGACCTGGTCGTACGTGTTCTTGTACACACTGTCCATAGTGCCCTTGCATGACACAGTGATGACCTTGCCCTCCTTAGCGTACTCGGTGATGACTGGCATGCTGTCGTTGAAATACGTCTTGAAGCGCTTCTTGATTGACTCGATGTTGTCATCGGAGCGGCCGCTGGTCTTTCCGCGGTTCAACAAACGCTCCAGCAGCACGGACTCGGGGCACTCAAAGTACAGCACCTTCTTAGCCTTGCAAACTGTGTCCTCAAACGCCTTGGCCTGCACCAGGTTGCGCGGGAATCCGTCAATCAGGAACCGGTCGCTCTCAGGGTGGTCCATCATGGCGTTGCGCAGCAGCCCGATTGTGATCTCGTGGGGAACAATGAGGCCCTCCTTGATATAGTACGCAATCAGATCGCCATACTGAGACACCGGCCGCTTCTGCTCGGCGCGCAGCAAGTCGCCAGCCGACAAATGCACGAATCCAAAGTCATCCACGAGCTTCTCCGAGTTCGTGCCCTTGCCCGATCCAGGTCCACCGAGCACAAACACAATTGTCTTCTTGTCGAACGGGAACTGCTTGATCTCCTCCTCGGAGTACGCCGCGCCGTCGATCTTCGCTTGCTTCTCGTCACGTTCCTTCTTCTGCTTCTCGTTCCACTCCAGGTACGGCTTGATGATCATCATGTAGCCCGACCCCAGCAGTGACAGCGAGGCCACAATCGCGAACGGGTGGAAACCAAAAATCAGGCGTGACTTTCCGCTGCCCTTGCTGTTTTGGCCCATGTTGAACTGGTTCGGCTTGTTCTGCTGCTCACTGGCCCGCACAATGCGGGAAGGCTTCGTGAACATGCGCTTGGTGGCAGAGGAGCGCAGAGGAGCACGTGCCTGCAGCGAGCGCAGCAGGGTGTTGCGAGATGCCGAGAACATGGTTGCTTAAATTTCGGGATGGGAAAGGAGGAAAAGAGGGTAAATTCGAACAGATGAGGGTAGGGAAGTAAACAAACAGTTCCGTTTCGAGACCCCGCTCAACAGTTTTCCATGTGCCCAACGCAGTGGAACAGATCCTCCACTTCCCTTCATTAATCCGATGATCAGCTGATGGACTATGCGACTCAGCTTCAGATTGGCAAGCAGTGTCGTGCCTGGTCCGCAGCAGGCGCACTGAGAGCAGGGTTTCCATTGAGGCCATCATCAATTAAAGCGAACTCGCCTCTGTATGCTATACCTGCCATTGCAATCCATACAGCAAATGATAGGAATATGTTGAACGGCTGGCACCCAGCACAACTAGCCACACCAGATTTAGCGTGTAATCTAATAATCGATGTGTGAAATACACTAGGGCGATCAGCCATATGCTTTATGCACGCCAAAATGTGCAACTGCTGCACACTCGGCATGAATAGTGGAGATATATGCCAAGCGCATGCTGTGCTCTGTCGGAACCCGGGCACTGACCGGTCAATATCCGCATGGGCATGTGAAATGACCGCTTGCCTTGGATCAGTCAAAAGCTAGCTTTTTCACTTTCAAAAACAGGCCCTGGAGTAGCGGGCCATGGCCATTTTTCTTCCTTTGTGGGTTCTGCACTGTCACACGAAATACGCTTTCGTGTGAGGGCGGTCGAAAAATCCTTTCATTTTCTACGTAGCAAATCGCGCAGAGGATCTCTCAGCGCGATTCGAATGGTTTTATTCAAAGTACTCTGGCGATTTCCACCCCAAATACACGGCACGGTTCCCTTCTGTTAAAAACAAGGGCAAGCTGCGATGCTGCCAGATCGGCTGCTGGGTGGTACTCCTGCAACATCGTATGGGCAGGAAGAAGGAGATATGTCATCTACACATTCCTGGGATTGGCACTGCCAGTGCACACAGCGCCATTACCACCTGCACACGCACTCCCTTTAAGAGCACTTTTATAACGCACCTTGTGACTCGAAAATCGGTGGGAAACCGCAGGTTATAAAACCGCCCCTTATCCCCACCACCAACCACTCTTCTTATTCCCTTTCTCCTCTCCTACACTTTTTCATTAACACTTCTATTCATACTGCGTGTATATAGCCATGCTTAGTTCTATTGAGCTCCCAGGCGCGCCAGCCATTCCCAATGAGACCAAGGTGAGCGTCATGCCTTGTTGGAATTCAAGCTCCACACGACACCCGTTTCTAACTATGTCCGCCCTGTAGCCGCGTATCAACAACAACTTGAAGGACGGAAAGCTGGTGTCCCGACCAAAGGGCATCAACTCGCTGTACGAAAACTTTCTGCAGGGGCGGCGCCTGGCTGGCCGCGACGCACCTGTATTCGGCTACCGCGTAGTCGTCGACGGTATGGGCAACGTTGGGCCCTATCGGTGGCTCTCGTGGGACATATTCCATGAGCGATTCGTCAATTTATCTTCCGGTCTCGTACACCTGGGTATGCGCGCTGGCGACAACATCGGTATATTCATGAACAACAGCGTCGAATGGGTGCTGACCGAGTTTGCTGGCTACTATCAGAACTTTGTATCGGTTCCCTTGTACGAAACACTTGGCCAGGCTGCTATCGAGCATATGGTGAATGAGGCTGAGCTCAAGACGATTGTCTGCACAAACCAGAATGCGCGGTACATCCTGAGCTTGATTGAGTTTGTGCCGGTGGTTATGAACCTGATTGTGGTCGACACGCTAACCAACGATGTAGTTGCGCTGGGTGAGGAGCATGGAATCAGTATCCGACCGTTCCGATACGTGGAGGATTCGGGCATAAAGGGAGTTGTCGATCCAGAGCGGCTCCCTGGCCCCGATGATGTCGCCACGATTGTATATACGAGCGGCACCTCGGGTACACCAAAGGGCGTCGTTATCACCCACGGAAACATGCTGGCATCATGCGCTGGAGCCTCAATGATCCAGAAATGTGGTGATATATGCAATATCTCACCTGAAGACTGCTCGATGGGATTCCTACCGCTAGCACATTGCCTCGGCCGCATGGTGCTGCACATCATGCTTTCGCGTGGCACCAAGACGGCATTCGCTTCTGGCGACACTCTAAGGCTGATTGATGATATCCAGGAACTGCGACCAACGATATTTGTTGGTGTGCCTCGCATATTTAACCGCATCCAGGACAAGGTTCTATCAGCAGTGCGCACACGCGGCGGTTTGCCCTCAGCGCTGTTCCAGTATGCGCTGACGACCAAGAAGGGCAACCTAAAGCACGGTCAAGTCAACCACTGGCTGTGGGACCGCGTGATATTCAAACCGCTGCGCGAAAAATTTGGCGGCCGCCTCAATCTGATTGTATCGGGGTCGGCTCCTATTTCGCCCGAGACGCTTGAGTTTTTGCGCTGCTGCTTCTCATGCAATGTTGTTGAAGGATACGGCCTCACAGAAACCATGGGCCCAGCAACCCTAACCAAGTGCGACGATGTGGAGCCCGGAAATGTCGGTGGACCTTTGCCTAGCACCATGATCAAGCTACGCAGCGCACCTGAGCTCGGCTACACCGTCGACGATAAGCCATTTCCGCGTGGCCAGATCCTTATCTCGGGCACCTCGGTTGCCAAGAAGTATTACAAGGAAAACAGCAACATGGTGCTGTTGGAACGTGGCGACGAATGGGTAAACACAGGCGACATTGGCATGTTCGACAAGTACGGCCGGCTGCATATCATCGATCGCATGAAGAATTTGTTCAAGCTGGCGCAAGGCGAGTACATTGCACCCGAGCGCATCGAGAACATTTATATGGATCACTTTATTGTAAACCAGGCTTATATCTACGGCGACCCGCTGCAGAATGCACTGGTTGCAATTATTGTCCCGGACGAAGAGTTCCTGCCCATGTTCTTAAAGAGCAAGAACATTCTGCCACCCAAGTCGAACTTGCCGCTCAAGGATATTTGCCGTGACACCAAGGTGCGCAGAGAGGTCACAGCTGAGCTGGCCGCGTGGGGTAAGGCCCATGACCTCAAGGGATTCGAAATTGCAAAGAGCATATACCTGCTGTCCACACCATTCGAAGACATCGGGCTGATTACGCCCACATTCAAGCTCAAGCGACGTGATGCACTGTCGTACTTTAAGGACATCATCGGCGATCTGTACAAGGAGCTCTCGACCACCAAGTAGCATACCGTTGTTGCAGATGCACTGAATATAGTTTACTTGAATCCACCAGTTGTTCCGCACTCGCAATGCGAGCTCAGCTGTGACACCTACACTACTATTTTTGCTGTCTTGTCGACTTAGTAATAGGCAATTGGATGGAGGGCTTTTTCTGATGTTTGTATCGTTTATGGCTTAGGCTGAAAGTGTGGTCGGCGCTGTCGTTTCTGCTTTAGAAAAGAGGCCTGTGGGCGAGTAGCGTTAAGATGTGCGCTGGTTCTCTAGAAGTATATTATAGATATACTATAAATACTCTGCTCATGATGCGAGCTCGACTGCTGGTCAGCATGGGTTGACACGTCGATAAGAGCGTCGCGGCAAACCGGTCATTTGAACGTGTCGGATGGTTGTTGGTGCAATAGCGATCCTAGACATCTCCCACCTTGATGGCCTGCTCAGCGCGGGCGTTTCAGCGCTGATTCGCTGCTGTACGCCTCTTGCGCAGCCTCTTGCGCGGGTTCTTTGTTGCAGGGGTGGTGCCAGAAGCATTGGCAGCAATGGTCGTAGAACGACGGAACCGTTCAGGAATACTGCCTGAACCACAGAGTGACTGGAAAACGAGTCTGAAGTTTAAAACTGCTGCGAGATCGCGGTTCAAGAGCCGAGACGAATAAACTCGCCTGTATTGTGCCATGGTCTGCTTACATGACTCGCTTGTACAGCGGAGAAGGACATGGCACTTCACAGTTGGGTTCTTCGATCTCTGGTAGGGCTGCAGGTTGGGAACATGCCGGGATGTCTGCAGCGACTTTTCGCAGCAGAACGGGCACATCGACGATGTCCGGAATTCGTCGATCAGATAGACTTCAAAGCCATGGTGCTTGAACTTGTCGCGCCATCCCTTGCCAAGAATCGGCGCATGGTGTCGGGCCATCGGCGCACTCCAATTGCCCATGATCAGCACTGGATCTGGACTGAACTTGCTCCGGAGTTTCGCGGCAAGCCTGTGGTCTGCACGGGCCTGGTTCATGAATGAATCAAGGCGCAGCTTGCGGTGAAGTGGGTACACCTTGGGACTGGTCCCGACACCCGGATGGGCCTTCCAGCGCCTCTGGTGCTGCTTGTTTGACTTAGTGGGCTGCTGCTCTGGTAACCTTCGCGTTGTCATCGTGTTTGCATAAAACGGTGCTAGGACACACCGCACAGATGCACGGGCAGCAACGTAGGCACGGAATTTTGCTGGGCTAAGGGTCCGGCAGCAGTGCTTGGAAAGCTCTGCCTCTGCCCTGCGGACAGCATCTTCTGGGACTTGATCCTTTGTACCCCCCGACGAATCCTGTCATGGTGGCGCAGCTTGAACTCCTTATTGCGCTGCTGCCGTGTGTAGCGGTAGAGCATTTTTTCACCCTCTTTCCCATTGCTGCTATTTCCGTGCATCATATACAGTAAATCGCCCTGACCTGGATCGATGAATACACAGCGGCCTTCCAGATTCTGCAGCTCTGACTGTGGGATTTGGTGGATATAGCGACAGTCAGCTATAGTATTGCCTCCCACAGCACCACCTCCTGCAACATCGCCTGTAGCATCGCCTCCTGCAGCATCAGCCTTGGATACCTTGTCTTGTAGCAAAATGAATATCGTTATACCATCTGTTGTCGCCATTCCGTGGAATTTTCTATCACCATGCGCCTTAAATGGCTTTGATGTTAGATCTGTGACCCGGCCCCACACATCCCACACAGATTATGTGATCCCTTGGACCGGGTCGTGTGCACAGACTGATGGTGCTGATGCATATGCATTGTTAAGTGCTGCAACAGTGTCTGCTGCTCCCGCCGATGCAGCAACAAGTGAATCAGCCGCTACTGCCGCAGTTGCTGCAGTGGCTTCTGTTTCATCTGATGGCACCTTCGCTGCTTCGCGTGCAGCCTTCTTGGCCAATTTTTCTCCCCTTTCTGCTGCTTTCCTCGCCTCTGTTGCTGCCTTCTTTGCTGCGCTGATCTTGGTAACCTGCTCGCGTGTTTTCGAAATAAACACCTGTTTGATTATTTGCTTGTCTAAGCGCACATGGCCTGGGATCCATGATTTCCGCAGAGGCAAGCATTGGGGAGGAGACTTGCCAAGCTGCTCATTCTCGATAAGCTGGCATAGGCGAATGTATGCACGCAGATGCTCAAGTGGATTTGCCTTGGCATCATAGGCATTAAGGACTGGTGCCAGCTTGTTGTAGATTGCAAGCATCAGTGGGGTGAGCACACTGAGATCAGGGTGCCTAGAGGCCACTGCCTGGCGGAGCTTCTGTGCAGGTGTATAAATACACACTTGACATGCATTATTGAACTCAGCCTTAGACACATTGCCTATTGTACTATGCAGTGTGTTTTCATAACTGCGAATATCAACCAATTAGGCCAGAATCTGCTGTAGGCAGGTACCATAGTGCAACACAATGATGTTCTTATATATTGTCATCAGCTTGGTATCAACATATATTGCTACCTGATTCATTTCACATGTACCATATAGCTTAATATCACTATTATATACTAGATAATCATAAATATGGTATCTAATTATATCCCTGAAATCTGTGCTTAATAGTTCTGACCTGTCCTTCCAGTTGATGAAATTCTTAGCAGGTATAGCTATCTTTACCTTCAGGTTGTGATAAATGGAGGCCATTCACAAATATAAATAGTTAAAGAATCTAAATAACTATTATCAGAATAACCAATTAACAAATAAGAAATCAATTACTAGCAGTAGATAAATATTTTAAAATACAGAATGTTTAGTAGTGGCCAAAAAGATTCTAGCAACTAGATTAACAAATAAACAAAGATGCCAAATATGGTGCTTCTACGAAACCCCCTTCGGCATCCTGAAAAATTTCAGTTGATACACAATTAATATGCTTCTACTGAGATAGAGGCTGCGTCCCGAGAAATCAACTGAAATTTTTCAGGATGCCAAAGGGGGTTTCGTAGAAGCACCATATTTGGCATCAGAACAAGAAAACAATAAAAATATTAATAATTATGAAATAGCTAACCAATTCTGACTGATCTCCTTATAGAACTAGACTTAATCAAAAGGTTCCATTTTAAAACATCATGTTCAAGTCATCAAGTCGTTATCATCCTATTTATAACTATTTTTCTAATACCAAGTAATCATATATATTATCAATTTTAAAAAGAATCAAACTATGCCATTTTAAAAAATCATAATAAATTCATCAAGTTGTTAGAACCCCATCTGTAATAAGTAGATATGCACCAAGCAATCATATATACAATCATTTTTAGAAAGATTCAAACTGTGCCATTTTAAAACATCATATTCAAGTCATCAAGTCATTAGTACTCCATCTGTAATTAATCAATATGCACCAAGCAATCATATGTATCATCAATTTTAGATTGAAGGAATCGATTTTGAATTTCAACAATAGATGCTTCTAACTCTGCTTTTTGGGGCAAAGTATGTATTGGTTCCACTTGTGTTGACTTATCATGTGTATCAGGGTAATCAAAGTTACTCATAACCCAGAGTGAGTGATGATGATCAATATGTACATCACTGTTTGCTAGTAACTTCTTCATATTATAGAGTAAGCAGCATAACTTCATTTGCACATTGTAAACATTCCTATTCTTTACTCTAACAATCTCCCTGTTTGACAGCCTTTTGAATGTATTGCCTAGTTCTCCAAATGTATTTTCTACCATTGAACGGAATGATCCAAGATGGGAATTATATTCAGCTTCTGTTTCTGATAAACTTGTTCCTCTCTGCTTTCTTACTGGTAAACAAAAGTTGTGCAGTCCAAAAGTATCCTGCTCTTCTTCCTCAGTCATCTCTTCCAAAATACTTTGTGGATAGCCACCATCAAGCACAATGCAATCAATAGGTGATATGTTCTTCAGTAGCCCCATGTTCTTAATCATTCTTGAGTCTGGGTGATCTCTACAGTCTTCAGTTGGTGAAACAAGTAGAACCATTCCATTCACATCAATGCATACTTGTGTGCGATATCCTGATTTTTTCAATTTGAATGAATAGAGATCTGGTTTGTATGCTCCATTGTGTAGTGCTCTTGAGTCATGGCCATCTAACATTAGTGTTACATGTTTAAACCCTTGTGGATTCTGTATCTTTGCTGCAAAGACTCGTAGTTCTGGAGTTGAAAACATTGTTTGCAGATAGTATGTTAGTTTCTTGTTCAAATCTTTCATTTCAGAAATATAGAACATATTGTGAATAGCTTGATAGCTGCTTCTTGGAATGAATCTTTCCATTTCATTGATTGACAATCCTTCAACAAGTTGGTACAAGATGAGCAATCCTTTCTCTACACTTCTGTAAGGACATGGATAATGAGTGCAACCAAACAAAACATTCAGAAAGAAGAAAACAGGAATCATCCCTAGATGTTTAAGAAGTGTATCTTTTATATGCTTAATTTCTCTTACTTCACGAACTTCACTTCTGTGATATTTTGTGGGCTTTAAAATTACCCAGTCATCATTCAGAAACTTCCATTTGTTTGTGTACAGCTTATGAAACTCCCTTTCTCTGAGTTCTTGTAATTGATGATTCATCATTGTGAGGCACTCATAAATTTAAAAGTTGTCATTTATTACAATGGGCCCATTCTACACTTTCTTCACTACAAAACTTGCTGACCTTGATGAGCAAGAGAGAGAAAAGCTTGCACAACTACTAACTAAGAATTTCAGTATGAGCAGGAAATTGTCAGTATATATCAGAGCATGGATTGAGAGTGTTTCAGAAGATAGGGGTGTTACTATTAAGCATGTGTTTGATGTATGCAACTACAGTTGTGCAGATATGGAAGTAATGGTTGCTAACTGCCCATTTTAAAACTAGATCCTCGCAATATGGATAATACGATTATGAATTCTAGCTACTTTAAGTACTACTTCTTGATTTGGTTCACCAATAATAGAAGCAATATATTCACCAAATGGACTACTTGCTTGTATTTTGATATGAGTGTGAGTACTGCTAACTACTTCATTGTGAATCATATAGATATCTAGATAGTAGAATGGCAACCCTCTAAAAGTATATAAGAAATAATGACTAACTAGGAACTCATCTCCAGCATGAAGTATGTTATAAGCAACTTTGTATCTAGCTGGCCTAAGATCAGTATTTTCTCTTATGTATATGGGTTCTAGATCATCAAGTTCAATGTTGCTGATATCAGCAATAAGATCATCTATTCCTAGGTCATCAGCATCCTCACTAATACTTGAGAGAGTTGAGAGACAAACTTTCTCTCTTGCTTGTTGAGCAGTTAGCCAATCAATATGCATCCCACGATAGTTTACAAGTCCCATTTCAGCAAATGTGTGTTGTTGTCTTTCTCTTGAAGCAACAGGCCAGAAAGAATTCCTCTGACTTGGAACAATGGTGATGTTTGTGTTATCTCTTCTTAGAACAACTTCTGATTCAACAGGACCACTGCTGGTAGCATATGTTAGAAGAACAGTTGGGTGCCCATTAAATGTAAGATTGGAAACAACAGTCATCACATCCTCATTCTCTTTCAACTTTTTAGCTATTCCTTGTTTCTGGAGATCAGTCAGAATTGGTTAGCTATTTCATAATTATTAATATTTTTATTGTTTTCTTGTTCTGATGCCAAATATGGTGCTTCTACGAAACCCCCTTCGGCATCCTGAAAAATTTCAGTTGATACACAATTAATATGCTTCTACTGAGATAGAGGCTGCGTCCCGAGAAATCAACTGAAATTTTTCAGGATGCCGAAGGGGGTTTCGTAGAAGCACCATATTTGGCATCTTTGTTTATTTGTTAATCTAGTTGCTAGAATCTTTTTGGCCACTACTAAACATTCTGTATTTTAAAATATTTATCTACTGCTAGTAATTGATTTCTTATTTGTTAATTGGTTATTCTGATAATAGTTATTTAGTTTCTTTAACTATTTATATTTGTGAATGGCCTCCTTGGGAGTACATCTTAACTCCCTTTTGGGACTTCAGTTGAAGAATAGAGATAATATGCCTGATATATCTGATGCAAGATATACTAGTAATGGCATTGAACAACAAGGATTTGTTCAGCAATCTGATATCTTTATGGATTCATGTGTTGTTGAGATACCTGAATCATATGCTCTTATAGATCAGATTAACAATATTACTCCATTTGTTAGATTGCATAGAGTTTTTGGTGATGGATACAGATTTAAGTATATGAAGTGCATGACAAGTGCAAGAAATGGTAAAGTCTCTGTTTACAAAGTATCTGCTCCAAATGTTGCAATAGCTGATCCTGCACTAACTGATATCTTTCTTAGGATGCATCAGGAACATGTATTTCTTCTGAACTATGATATTACAATGGATTGTTTAAACATATCTTCTAGGGCTGTGATTAAGGAATTTCTTCTTGATAATGAAATCAGTAGCAATGATATTCTTGATGATGAAGATAAAGTTGGAGCAAACTGTATTAGCTGGTTTACTGATGAAGATGAAATAAAAATTAGGAACAAGTTGTATAATAAATTTGTTCAACTTCTAGAAAGTGGTGAGGTTCGTAATCAACTTACTTCTAAGCTATCAGAGCTAGTGATGCCAACTTCTCAGCAATTTGGTGAAACACTTGTTGCTTGCAGGAATGAAGGATTAATGAGACTTGAGCTTACTGTTCACTCTCCTGAGTTGAAAGAAGTAGAATGGAACATAAACTTAATTGCTAGTACACTGGAGTTTCTTAGTGATTGTAGGACATTTGCAACATCTTATGAAAAGCAATGGATGGCACTAGTTGATCAGATTTATAACAAAAATATGTTATGCATTTACTTCCATAAAGAACATGCTCTTGGTTACTGCCATTGGTTCAATAGGACAACTATGAAGAAACAAGGAATAGCTAAAAAGTTAAAAGAGAATGAGGATGTGATGACTGTTGTTTCCAATCTTACATTTAATGGGCACCCAACTGTTCTTCTAACATATGCTACCAGCAGTGGTCCTGTTGAATCAGAAGTTGTTCTAAGAAGAGATAACACAAACATCACCATTGTTCCAAGTCAGAGGAATTCTTTCTGGCCTGTTGCTTCAAGAGAAAGACAACAACACACATTTGCTGAAATGGGACTTGTAAACTATCGTGGGATGCATATTGATTGGCTAACTGCTCAACAAGCAAGAGAGAAAGTTTGTCTCTCAACTCTCTCAAGTATTAGTGAGGATGCTGATGACCTAGGAATAGATGATCTTATTGCTGATATCAGCAACATTGAACTTGATGATCTAGAACCCATATACATAAGAGAAAATACTGATCTTAGGCCAGCTAGATACAAAGTTGCTTATAACATACTTCATGCTGGAGATGAGTTCCTAGTTAGTCATTATTTCTTATATACTTTTAGAGGGTTGCCATTCTACTATCTAGATATCTATATGATTCACAATGAAGTAGTTAGCAGTACTCACACTCATATCAAAATACAAGCAAGTAGTCCATTTGGTGAATATATTGCTTCTATTATTGGTGAACCAAATCAAGAAGTAGTACTTAAAGTAGCTAGAATTCATAATCGTATTATCTATATTGCGAGGATCTAGTTTTAAAATGGGCAGTTAGCAACCATTACTTCCATATCTGCACAACTGTAGTTGCATACATCAAACACATGCTTAATAGTAACACCCTTATCTTCTGAAACACTCTCAATCCATGCTCTGATATATACTGACAATTTCCTGCTCATACTGAAATTCTTAGTTAGTAGTTGTGCAAGCTTTTCTCTCTCTTGCTCATCAAGGTCAGCAAGTTTTGTAGTGAAGAAAGTGTAGAATGGGCCCATTGTAATAAATGACAACTTTTAAATTTATGAGTGCCTCACAATGATGAATCATCAATTACAAGAACTCAGAGAAAGGGAGTTTCATAAGCTGTACACAAACAAATGGAAGTTTCTGAATGATGACTGGGTAATTTTAAAGCCCACAAAATATCACAGAAGTGAAGTTCGTGAAGTAAGAGAAATTAAGCATATAAAAGATACACTTCTTAAACATCTAGGGATGATTCCTGTTTTCTTCTTTCTGAATGTTTTGTTTGGTTGCACTCATTATCCATGTCCTTACAGAAGTGTAGAGAAAGGATTGCTCATCTTGTACCAACTTGTTGAAGGATTGTCAATCAATGAAATGGAAAGATTCATTCCAAGAAGCAGCTATCAAGCTATTCACAATATGTTCTATATTTCTGAAATGAAAGATTTGAACAAGAAGCTAACATACTATCTACAAACAATGTTTTCAACTCCAGAACTACGAGTCTTTGCAGCAAAGATACAGAATCCACAAGGGTTTAAACATGTAACACTAATGTTAGATGGCCATGACTCAAGAGCACTACACAATGGAGCATACAAACCAGATCTCTATTCATTCAAATTGAAAAAATCAGGATATCGCACACAAGTATGCATTGATGTGAATGGAATGGTTCTACTTGTTTCACCAACTGAAGACTGTAGAGATCACCCAGACTCAAGAATGATTAAGAACATGGGGCTACTGAAGAACATATCACCTATTGATTGCATTGTGCTTGATGGTGGCTATCCACAAAGTATTTTGGAAGAGATGACTGAGGAAGAAGAGCAGGATACTTTTGGACTGCACAACTTTTGTTTACCAGTAAGAAAGCAGAGAGGAACAAGTTTATCAGAAACAGAAGCTGAATATAATTCCCATCTTGGATCATTCCGTTCAATGGTAGAAAATACATTTGGAGAACTAGGCAATACATTCAAAAGGCTGTCAAACAGGGAGATTGTTAGAGTAAAGAATAGGAATGTTTACAATGTGCAAATGAAGTTATGCTGCTTACTCTATAATATGAAGAAGTTACTAGCAAACAGTGATGTACATATTGATCATCATCACTCACTCTGGGTTATGAGTAACTTTGATTACCCTGATACACATGATAAGTCAACACAAGTGGAACCAATACATACTTTGCCCCAAAAAGCAGAGTTAGAAGCATCTATTGTTGAAATTCAAAATCGATTCCTTCAATCTAAAATTGATGATACATATGATTGCTTGGTGCATATTGATTAATTACAGATGGAGTACTAATGACTTGATGACTTGAATATGATGTTTTAAAATGGCACAGTTTGAATCTTTCTAAAAATGATTGTATATATGATTGCTTGGTGCATATCTACTTATTACAGATGGGGTTCTAACAACTTGATGAGTTTATTATGATTTTTTAAAATGGCATAGTTTGATTCTTTTTAAAATTGATAATATATATGATTACTTGGTATTAGAAAAATAGTTATAAATAGGATGATAACGACTTGATGACTTGAACATGATGTTTTAAAATGGAACCTTTTGATTAAGTCTAGTTCTATAAGGAGATCAGTCAGAATTGGTTAGCTATTTCATAATTATTAATATTTTTATTGTTTTCTTGTTCTGATGCCAAATATGGTGCTTCTACGAAACCCCCTTCGGCATCCTGAAAAATTTCAGTTGATACACAATTAATATGCTTCTACTGAGATAGAGGCTGCGTCCCGAGAAATCAACTGAAATTTTTCAGGATGCCGAAGGGGGTTTCGTAGAAGCACCATATTTGGCATCTTTGTTTATTTGTTAATCTAGTTGCTAGAATCTTTTTGGCCACTACTAAACATTCTGTATTTTAAAATATTTATCTACTGCTAGTAATTGATTTCTTATTTGTTAATTGGTTATTCTGATAATAGTTATTTAGTTTCTTTAACTATTTATATTTGTGAATGGCCTCCTCTTCATAGTTGTCCTATTGAACCAATGGCAGTAACCAAGAGCATGTTCTTTATGGAAGTAAATGCATAACATATTTTTGTTATAAATCTGATCAACTAGTGGGGGTCATTCCTGAACTTATAAATTTTAGTAAATTACAATTTTGTTAGATAGATATTTGAATAATCGTTTTCAGAACTATTTTTAGCTACTAGATATTTTTGGAACAGATATTCATAATTGTTGTGTCCAGAATGTTTTTGTGTGTATAATTGATTTTAAAAATACAAATATTTTTTTTGCCATTTCACCCAAACCGCCATCGGCATCTTGGAAAAGTTTCAGTGAACATAATTTCCTTGTGGTTACTTAGCCATATCTATTGAGATATTGACTTTTGTTGCCCAATGATAATTAACCCCAAATATGCAAAGGTTTTTCTTTCTGGTTAAAATTATGTTCACTGAAACTTTTCCAAGATGCCGATGGCGGTTTGGGTGAAATTTTTATTTCACTGAAATTGCCAATAGTTCCAGCATGCATAAATAGTTAATGGGCAGATAAGTATCTCTGTATAACCCCCAGTGCCATCCATTGCTTTTCATAAGATGTTGCAAATGTCCTACAATCACTAAGAAACTCCAGTGTACTAGCAATTAAGTTTATGTTCCATTCTACTTCTTTCAACTCAGGAGAGTGAACAGTAAGCTCAAGTCTCATTAATCCTTCATTCCTGCAAGCAACAAGTGTTTCACCAAA